CAAAAAGAAATGTAACAAACTAACCCGTAACAAAGGGTTTTTACTTATTTTTTATAATGCAATGAATTAGGTTAAGGGAACCACGATTTTGCCACTCTCGTGTGAAGTTTTGGAAAAGTTCCAGGATTAAAAAAGACATTTTAAAATTGTAAGCTAAATTATTTATTTTGTGGGTACCTAAAACTAGAGAGAGCACAGTGCGTAAAAAATATAATTTTTAGGGTGGGTTGCACCATCTTACTTTAACTGTGACAAACGTCAGAAATCTGTCAAACTCCATACAAAATACACCGGTTATCGTAATAGTTACCGTTAAAGTTAGGTGGTGCAACTCAGCCTTAGTGAGTTACTTAGTATCCTTAATAAAATTAGAGATTAATCATCAAAAACGTTCACAAATAGAATAAAAGAATTAATGAAAGTAGCGACACAATGAAATTATAATAATACTGTAGAGAAAACCGTGGTACCGGCCATGTTTGCAAAGATTCTAGTTTTGTTACTGATGTGTCAGTTTAATTAATTGCTTTACAGAATCTGTCACTTGAATGTACTTAGCAAGTTTTGTTCTATTGTATAAACTATGTAAATATTATTTGCTCTTGACGTTGAAATAAATCTAAAGGTTTGGTTGCCGTAATACAAGAGAAAATGTTGAATAAGTGTAAGTAGAAATAGGTACCTAAGTACTAATAAGATATACTTCGAGTACAATCTAACTAGTACTTTCTTAAATTGAAAACAGTTACTTGAAATAAAATAATTTCTGATTCTAAGTAATAATATCATCACTTTAATATACGAAAGAAAAGATACAACACTTAAAATTGAAATAAACTACTTTAGATGATAAATTGCGCCTTGATCGAGGTTTGTATTTTTTTTTTTACTTTAAAATATGACATCCCTTTTTAGATTAGATTCGCATTATTTCACTATTATTTCTTAAAAAAAAAAACAAACAGAAGCATTTAAAACTTCCTCGTTTTTCGAAATCGGTTAACAAAATCCAAAATGACGTTGTATGTTCTGTAATACAAATGAGATCGCGTCCCGTGTACATTAACAACGTTGCAAACAGAAGTAACAACAGATTATTATGCCTATCACCTCGTCGTGCACAGATTATGCAAATCGCAGGCACCAATCATCAGTCACTCTCCCAATTACTGCCTTATCAGCGCACACGCATTTAGCCACCCTGCACACTAATCCACTTACCTTACGACTATAGTAATAAAGTTGAAAATCGTGTTACAATCGTCAGTATTACGGTTGACGTTATCGCGTCAAGTTACGAACGATTTGTTTGGAAGTCAAAAGAATCGGCGTAACGTTTTTGTTCTTTTGCCAAAGATTTTTAAAGTACCCTGCCTACTAATGGTATGCAACTCAGAACAGATCAGCGGTAGAGTCAGCTCTAAATAGTAAAGTAAACAAAAGACGAAGTTTTGCTAAATTTCTTTCGTTAAAAAAAAATTAGACGTCTTGTTAACAATATTNCCATAACCTAATTAATGGTAAAATAGACTGCAGTGAGCTTCTTTCGCGAATCAAGTTACAGGTGCCTACTCGTGCCAATGTCAGGAGAAATTATCTTAGACTTCACATTGATGCATGTACCACTAATTATGGACGCAATTCCTTCTTTAACAGAGTTTTCAAAACTTTTAACAGCAATTATTCTGAAAATGTTGACCTTTTTCATATTGTGAGACCAAACTACTTCAAAAATCAAAGTAATAAGGAATTCTTTGGCGACACTACTTAGCACTCTCCCGGTAAAAAGTTGAAGTATCTGTTTACTGCTTAATATTCTGCTATTTTGGTATGGCTTTAGTAGGAATTTTCTGTATTGTTTTAACTTTTTTCATATATTGTAGTTATACTGCATGCTGAATGGTTTTGTTTTGGATTGTATCTTGATATGCTATTTGTGAAAACTATGTAAGGCATTTTTGATCTTAACCGCCTCATCTATTAATATATTAGCATATATGCATTATGCTGTTTGTTTTCCATAAAATAAATAAATAAATAAATAAATAAATAAATAAATAAATAAATAAACTAGGTAAGAAATGATGTTAGTTACGATAAAAACGAAAAAAAAATTGCAAGAAAATAAAAAAAAACGTCTTGTTATGTAGTTTAGTTAGATAAAATGCTATTGGATATTTTTTATAGTAAGTAGTAAATTTACATTCAACCACACACGATTCTAAGAATAGACGGATTTCTTTAGAGAAGTTACTTAGTTTAAATATCTTAAAGCTATTAATTACATAACAGCATCCTTCCGCCGCGCGTCGACAGTTCAAACACTAAAGTTAGTTTTGACCCTAATCACAGGCACTTCCGCCCCGCAGGAGACGTCAATAGCGCGGACTCCACAGATTCCGCGCTGTTTGAATGAGCTTGGGACTACTCAGTGCTCACGCACGCTCACACAATGTTGAACCAGTGTGTAGTGTGTACGTAAATGACATGGCAGGCGTGTCTGCACGTGTGTTCTTCACAAAAGATTCGTCATCGCGATAGCTGTAGGTCGCCATTCTAGCCGGTTTTATAATAGACTTCAACTTTGAACGTGTCTTTATCTTAAATGTGAATCCAGTTTTTTGTTGATAGGTAGCACAACCTATGTATGTTATTGTCCTCTAATATACATATTATAATGTTATTCAATATTATAATTTTTGGCTTACTTACAAATTAGACTAAACAGTCTAGCAAACAAAATTATAGTTCTAAAAAGTAATTTACATGATATACGAGTAGCTGTTATTTTGAATAATAAATACCACAAGAAAAAATTTCTTAAATTACTAATTTATAATCGGATGTTACACTTTCAATGATATCAGGTGTAGGTCAAATCTAGCAGTAGAAGTCTTTGATTGTTACTATAAAAGTTATGTAATCAATGACCTAGACCGCCCGCGCTTGCAGCAAGCTGTTGTCACAGCTGAATAACAAGTGACGATGAGATGTTATGCAAATAGTCAGCAGCAGCACTTAGTGCAAAACGCTTCCAATGACTGGTCCCGTGACGACGAGATTGCGACCTCAACGCACATGCACTGTGCTGCCCGCTCTTTGCTGCAACGTTTACGCCCAATCAGAGCCAACGCAAAATAGAAATCAGCGATTGGATAACATGAAAACAAAATATGATTGCCCAATCATTATTATAACTTCCTAGAGCGACAGGGATATGCAAATTGCAAACTAAGCATTAGGTAACCGCCACTGATGCACCTTGAATCGCGCGCGCGCCTCAACAGTAGCGCCAATAAAGTCGGACAGATTTAATGCAACACTCACGCAACACGAAGCCATAAACAGGTTCTGCTGTGCGCCTGCGGGCGCAGCGCAGCCCGAGATCGTTGATCCCTATGATACGCCTTATTTACAACTCGGACACATGACGTAATTAGGTAGGTAGTTCAGATTTTAATTTCTCGCGCCGCAGTCGGTACGACTGGTCTGACAACATTTGGGAAGTTGCGTTAGGGTATGGCGCTACTATTCCATATCATATCTGGCGACCGCGGCCGTTCGTACGGAGACACGTTACAGATACCTACTCGATATCCGCATTGACATTCAAGGTTCGTTCCGCGCGAGCGCGCCGACCTCACCGTTACATTATGTTATACAACGAGTAATTATGTCCACGCGCTTATTAATATTCAGAGATTGCGCGCGCGCCGCCTGCGTCCCGTTCGGTGCCGTTCCGTGCGAGTAAAAGTGCTCGCTCTATAGCGGAAACGAGAAAGTGATTCGAAGGTCGAGCGTGGACCTCAAAGCTCCGAGTCGGGCGAGGGCCGCGACTGCAGCGCTGCAGAGCGCGTCGGCACAATCGCGCTCACCTGTCTTGTCGTGGGCTTGTCGTCACACATCAACGGGCTCAATGCAAACTCATCCTGAATACATTTATAGCTGCAATAAAGTGTGTAACAATTTAAATTTCTAGGACTACTATGAATGAATAGAACTAGAATTGAACTCTATTCTGCTTCTACGAATCATTCGAAACCAAATAACGGAGGCTCCCCGAGGCCTGAATGCCTGAAATATCCCAAACTGCAGAAATCAAAAAATTAAATATTATAGAAATAGCAGCTGATCTGAATATTTGGTGGATTTATATTGTTATCAGCAGTTTTGGCGAACCGCAAACTAGGACAAATAACAAAAACATAAATATCCTACCTAACTAGATCTGCATTCTGACATCCGCTGCGAAAGAAATATACCAGATCACTATTTTTTGGCTCGCCAATAGACGGCCAAGGAACAGCGCCGTGTTTAGCGAATCGGGGCGTCTGCTTGCCCTATTTGTACGAAATGTAAACACCGGGGCTCTCCTATGCTATGCGAGTCTTGACGTCTTGACACAAAATAGCAAGTTTCAATTAGATTTAGGCGTATCCCGCGTATCCCACAATGTGTATGAGTTTGAAATCGCATTGAAACTCCGAAATAGTATTTCATACTTATGTCGCACTGATTATCGTCAATAACCACATAATCGCAAAAATATTGAAAGAACACTGCAAACCTCATTCAAACATAATAAATAACATAAATAAGATCTCGCATCTTACTAGAAAATAAATTGCGTCCACGTAACCAAAGGGTTAATATATGTATTTTTAAAACGAAGGGAATCCCGACTCGAATGTCAGCTCTTGATTACATACTACAATCACCCCTGAAGTGGCAATGCTTCTTGATTCCTATCAAGTTATCATATCTATTACAGATATCGACAATGTGGATTTTTAGCAAACTTTACTCTTGAGAATAATAATAATAATAATAATAATAATTTTTTATTTCGGAAAAAAAATATTTTCCATAGTGGGTTAGTAGTTACAGATGTACTTATNACCGTCCTTGCCATGCAGATGCGTCAGTGAGAACTAATTGCGCGACTTTTGTCACCCCCTGATGCTTGGCACCCGGGGCGGACCGCCCCCACCGCCCCCCCCTTACGCCGCTACTGTCCCTATCGCCGCCAGGAGGCTGTTGGAGCTGTCTCGGACGCGGCTCCACGCGGAGGCAACCCGCTTGCGCATGACGACTGGGAAACTGTCTATGCGAGCCTCAGTGAACATAGCTGACGCGCTACAGTACCGAGGCAGCCCCATCAGCATCCTGAACCCATTATTATATTATTTAATGTTTGTTGAAGTCCAAGGATGGTTTTTACAGCGAGAAAAGTTTGAATAATTTCCGGGTTGTGGGTAACTTAATAATTATTGATATATCGTCCTACCTACTGTGTGTCAAATAATAAATCAGTTGTTTGCCAAACACCGGTGTTTTAATACGCTACATGGTGGCAGCGGTGGTTTTATGTGTTGAAATTACAATACCTATACATTATATTTGCAAATAAAGTACGTGGTGATTGTAGTAACGTGAAGGTGCGTGAAGTAATACGTTCGATATGGAGCACGCAAGACCACCACCGGAGTTAAGTTTGGAGGGCAGCTCCGTCAGCAGGGCTGACGCCTGGAAACATTGGAAGACGCAATTTCAATTGTTTCTTAAAGCATCTGGGGTGCATAAAGAGAAAGCGGACGTTCAAGCTAGCCTATTGATTAATTTAATTGGGCCGGACGGTTTCGACGTTTATCAAACATTTACGTTCGAGCAAGAAAGTGAGAAAGATGACGTAATCGTGCTGATAAAAAAATTTGATTGCTATTTTGGCGTGAAACCGAATATCACACTGTCAAGATATAACTTCTTCACTAGAAACCAAGAGGTCGGAGAATCTATTAATCAATATGTGACAGCTTTAAAGTTACTGGCGAAAACANGTTTTAATATGTGTAGCCAATATTTGCATTTTTAGTTTTTGTTCGTTATCCTGACACCATTTTATTTTTGACTTAAATAGTTTTCTACTTTCTTTCATGTTATCATAATAATATCCAATTTTAGGTTTGCCATGTAATACCCACATCTGAAAACACCTCCGAGCGTCACTGTGAAATGATTTTACGTACTTATTCCAACCTACAACATTTTTATTTCTCAGTTTCTTTTGCTCATAGGTCGCTATTGCTGCCCCTCTCAAAGTACATACAATATTATCATACATTTTATCAATTATTAACTTATGATCTAAACTAGAGCAATGACGATTAGCACAAGACCTGAACTCTTCAGGAAAATCTATAGTTCTAAGCTTTTCAGAACAAAGTTCAAAATATTTATTTATTTGACTTTGATTTCTCTCACCCCACACAGCTTTATCAGATTTAAAATCACTTTCTTGTTTTTTACAATAACTCAGTTTTCCCATATCAATCGTTATCTCAAGTGGAAAATGGTCAGACCAGAAAATATCATAAAGTACTTTAATATTTACATCAGAGTTAGTGGCTGACTTAGTAGTAATGCAGTGATCCAGCCAGCGATGAGAGCTATTTATATCACTTACATAGGTAAACGTATCACAATTTCGTAAGTAGTCATAATCCACTATATCCCATAATTGATCACAGCAAAAATTATACATTTCATTAAAAAACAACTCACTAGGATGCGCATTAAAATCTCCTAATATAAACACGGAATCTATGTTATTACACTCTATTAAAGCGTTTATTTCACTGAGACAACTTGTGAATTCGATTAAATTGTCCCATGTGTCGCAGGGCATGTAGACGCTGATGAACAACGTAGTTCTGTCATTCACAACAGTTTTAATCGCAGCTAAGCGCACAGAATTACACTGCACAATGGACACCGAAGTAAACAAAGATTTACGCCACATAATTGCCACACCACCATACGGCCTACCTCTTAGCAGCCCGTCACCGGTGTTAACCGCAGACTTACTGTAACAGTCGAATTCTGGATGGATTCCCGCTATGTAGGCTATATCATGCGGTAATAGCCATGTCTCCTGCAACGCTATGATATCCGCCGATTGACATAACGCTCTTATGCCCTCGGCTGATCTTGTTACTGATTTACAGTTAAATGATATAGCTTTCAAGTATTTATTATACATTATTTTGGTGATGCAACACGTTTACTGTGGTTTTTTCCTGTTGTATGGCTCCTGAAGTTAATGTATTTGCGAAATGATATTCCCTCAGGCCACAGACTGCTATCAAGAAAAATATCTATTTTATTTCTCGGCACATAAACCTTAAAGGCATTATATTCCCTTTCATACTTCATTTTAATCTCTTCTAAAGATACTTTTACTTGTGTTCTCTTAAAAATGTAACTTATTATATCATCCACTGATGTTTGCTTGTTAACGTTATTAATAAATAACGGTATCTTAATGTCGGCAGCTTTAAAATTATCCGTAGACTCTGTACTTGCCTTTCCTTTCATCCCTATAAACCTATTTCTCAGCTTTCGCTTTTGCACAAGAGTCCATTCCTCGCCTGGCTTCGATATCTTCCATTCACCGTCATTAACAATATCAACAAAAGATCGTTTGTTTACATCAGTAGATGCCAAGTCAGTCGGGTTCCTAGCGGGCTCGTTAGCGCACGTCCGCGTCACCGCGTTCGAAACCGCAGTGCGGAGGCCGCTACCTGCCATAGGTGCGCCGGCGCTGCAAGCGGGCGGCGCGTGACGCGTAGTAGGGGTGTCCGAAACCGCAGTATTGGCCTCCACGCGCCCACTCCGCTCGCGAAGTGAAGTGAGTGAGCTTTGTTGTTGAGGTACCCGACTTATCTTGTTGTTCATACCGCCCAAATCTAATTCGACGCGATTCTCAGGGGATAATGAAATGTGTGGTAGGCCTATGGGGCCACTATCATAGCGTGAATCCGTTAAATAGGCACCCCGTTTTGTGTTGATGTTAGTGTATTCAAAGTTATTGACAATAGATGCATTTCTCATGTCTGAAATCTCTTGTTTCAATTTATTATGTTGCTTTATGTCAACATAATTCTCTTTAATTTTCAACACATCGTTTTCCAAAATTAGCAGCTTCTTTAATAAGTTCGTCACGTCAAAAAAAAAAAAAAAAAAAAAAAAAAAAAAAAAAATATTAAATAAAAAAAAAAAAAAAAAAAATAAAAAAAAAAAAATAAAAAAAAAAAAAAAAAAAAAAAAAAAAAAAAAAAAAAACTGGCTTGACTAACTGGCTTCAAAATAATAATTTAAAAATCAATTTATCAAAAACAAATTTAATTAACTTCAATAATTTTAAATTCAATAAAATTGACATTACATTTAACGGACAATTTCTCAAGAATGCGGAATGCGTGACATTTTTAGGTTTAATTATTGACAAAAAATTTAATTGGAAGAGCAAACAGAAAAGGTGTGCAATAAATTAAATAGCTTTGCATACGCTCTGTATAAGTTATCAATCGTGGCATGTAAGAGCACGGCGCTAACTACGTACTTTGCATACGTGGAATCGGTGCTAAGATATGGCTTACTTTTGTGGGGAAACGGTACGGATAGCAGGAAAGTTTTTATTGCCCAAAAAGCTTGCATACGTGCAATATGCCATATAGCCCCAGACGTTTCTTGCAAACCGTATTTCAGACTTTTGAATATACTTCCTCTACCATGCCTCTATATCTTCGAGGTAGGAAAGTTCGTAAACTTACACCAAGAAATGTTCTTAAAGGCAAAAGATCAAACAAACCGGCAACTTCGAAACCCAGATAGACTAGTACTAGACACGATACCAAAAACAACGCGTTATAAAAAAAATTGTTATGCCATGTGTATCACGATCTATAACCAGATACCTAAACACATTAAACTGCTCCCAAAATCCCGGTTTGGAAAAGTTCTACGTTAAGTTAAACGTATTTTTTATAAGTGGCTTATAAAAAATACGTTTTATTCAGTGGATGAATTCTTAAAGTACAAAGGATAACTTGAATGTTGTATGGATAATACAGTTTGAGTCACGTTAAAGTGTACATATGAAAATAGATGAAACTAGACCTATTTTTATCGACAAAAAAGAGGTCAAAAAATTGTTGAGATTTTTTTTTAATTTTTTATAGAATTTTTTTTCTTCCAATTACTTATTGTAAAGAAAACGTAATAACTTTTAAACTAAGCGGTATATCCTGATAAAATAAAAACAGTAATAATTCTAAATAACAGGCAATACTAAAACAATACATAAAATACACAAAAAATGCCAACAAATAATAAAAAATGATTCTTTTTGATAAAAATCTGCTTAAAAATTCGTATTTTTTTGGTTATTTGATAAATTTCTCCAAAAAATGCCCCTATAACAGATAGTTTTTATTACTTTTTAATATTCTCTATCGTATTACTTTTGTAAAACTAAAAATCGCATGTCTCTATCCCTATCACAACATTTGCTATGATCGTTTGAACAAAGGCCTGCCACCACATTTTTCTCCGCTACAGGTAGAGAAAATTTTAATTTTAACTCAAATGCTTATTTTACTTCGAAATCTTTTGTTTTTATTTAAAATCTAACTTGTCTTTATCAAAATTACAAATCTAGAGTCACTTTCAGTTTCGTTGTTAACGAAGCGTTGAATGGCGCGCCCGGAGAGGCTTAGTTCAAACGGTCATTGCAAACGTTGTGATAGGGATAGAGACATGCGATGTTTGGTTTTACAAAAGTAATACGATAGAAAATAATAAAAAGTAATAAAAACTACTTGTTATAGGGGCATTTTTTGGAGAAATTTATCAAATAACCAAAAAAATGCGAATTTTTAAGCAGATTTTTTTCAAAAAGTATCATTTTTTATTATTTGTTGGCATTTTCTAGGTATTTCATGTATTTTTTTAGTATCGCCTGTTATTTAGCATTATTACTGTTTTTATTTTATCAGGATATACCGCTTAGTTTAAAAGTTATTACGTTTTCTTTACAATAAGTAATTGGAAGAAAAAAAATTCTATAAAAAATTAAAAAAAAATCTCAAAAATTTTTTGACCTCTTTTTTATCGATAAAAATAGGTCTAGTTTCATATATTTTCATATTTACACTTTAACGTGACTCACACTGTATAGTTGATTCATGGATTTATTGACTAATCATAATTGACATTAAATTTAATTTTCTCACTCTGTAACCATTCTGTATATTTGCATGTTATAGTCTATGACTAAATAGGTCTTAAGTAACATTATATCTAATCAAATAAGAACTACTCTGTAACCACCTATTTAAGGCAAATAAATGATTATTATTATTATTATCCCTTTCGGACCCGCGATTAAACTAGAAAGAAATTAGTAATTTTGAACATAAATTTTAGGTAATTTGGGACCGCAGATTACGAATCTGCTATAATTTTCCAGATTTTCCGCCGCCATCTTGGAAAATTCATATACCAACAATTGTATCAAACTGGGCCCTTCACTTCCTACGTACAATTGTGAGGGTCAAAATTGTAAGGGTTTTGGAAATTTTATCAATAGCATGTATTCCGAAAAACGTATTTATAACCAGTAAGGAATAAACAGGTTTAAATTTTATACCAGCATTTGCCATTTAATGTTGATTTGTGGGCAAAACCATCTGTTCCAAGAGCTCAAAAGTAAATATAGCGCTTGAAATATTCCTATGGAGTTTTAATATCTCCTGAATCATGAACAGCGNCAGTGATCAGTGATAATGATGAGGGTAATTTTGGAATGATGAGCTTCTTCATGCCTGGGTGCGGGCAGCGCAGGACCGGTCGTTATGAAATCCTTGGGGGAGGGTTTTGTCCAGCAGTGGACATCATTTGGCTGAAACGAATGAACGAACGAGCTTCTTCATGTACAGCAACGTCAAAAGTTGTTAAGTTCTCAACAAGGTACGACAGTGTGTTGTCTTTTTGGCCAGTTTGGGTGTCACGAACTATTTGACGCTGACTGTATGTACCAAACATTCTAGTATAGATCGCCTGTGGCTGCCGGAGTTGCGACGGTGCGGCGGGGCTAGGGTTGCCAGGCGTCCGGCTTTAGCCGGACATGTTTGGCTTTTTAGGGACTTGTCCGGCCAAATATTGCCTTGTCCGACCTGTCCGGCTTTTGTTAGCCTTTTTATTTGGTTGCCGTGCCAGGCGAAAGTCGAGCCACAGAATCATATGAAGCGCACGCATCAGGATGTTGGTTAGCAACCGATGATGATAGTACTCACTCATGCCCGGCCAAATGAAGCACAAAGTCCGGCTTTTGTGATTTTGGACCTGGCAACCCTAGGCGGGGCTTACCATGCGGTCGCGCTCGTCCTCGATGGTGCGGATGAGGTGCGCGAAGTGGTGCAGCGAGCGGCTGATGACGCGCTCGTCCTCCGTCATGGACGCGCCGATGCACGCGAACTCGAACTGCTCCATGCTGGCCGCCAGCGCCAGCTGCGCCGCGCCCAGACCTGCGCGCCATTTCAAATTACACATACACTGGGAAACCTCGTTACATTTATTTAACATTCTATAAAAATAAATAATTTATGTGTCTGATTATTTTTGAAAATACCAAATGAAATAAGCATAAGGAGGTAAGACTATGTTTATGCAAACGAAGTCGCGGACAACAGAAGAAATAAAGTGTTTTAGATAGCGCATTTTACAGCCGTATTTTTCCGCGAAAGACTTTCGTGACAGACTGAAATGCACGCGGGCGAAGCCGCGCCAGAACCTTCTAATGTAATAAATAGTATTTTTATAGTCATTGCCAAGTCAATTTACATACTTATTCACATTATAACCATTCAATCATATTCTATCAAACATGGAATAATAAATAAACCACACCAATATTTAGTCTGTTATAAGCATCATCAGGCTTAATGTTAAATACTTCAATCTTAAGCTGACTGATATACCTAACAAAGGATAAATAAACATTATCATAATTATTAACCAATTTGGCACATTGCTTGTTTATAATTTATTATTACTATTTGAGGTGTGCATTGCAAAATTCAGATTATAATATTTTTTTTTAAATACTTCAGCAGACATTGATGAAGTGTTAACCAAGTTAACAAACATTGCAGGATTGTTATTATGATGTGTCAATGCAGCATGATTATCAAATGTTTACTAGAGAAGTCCACCACACCTCATGTTTCACCATCAGGAATGGAAACCAGATTAAGTGTGTTGTGTCACCCAAGAAGGCACTGATTACAACCACACAGATAACAACATTAGCACAACTCAGCAAAGCTTATCTTATTATATCACAAAAGATAAGAACATAACTTTCCACTTGTACAGTTTTAAATACTTATAGACCGAAACGTAATAAACTTATTAAATAAAATTCCTGTTGCAAAATTCATGTAAATTATTATTTTAAAAAACCATCCTACATCTTCATTTTATAACCAATATTAAAAATAAATAAACATACATTTGTTTAGTTCCTTAAGTAGTTTGCCTAAATCATCAATAAATGACATCATTACTGAGGAACATTTAAAACTTAATTGTATTCAAGCCTGTATGTGTGTGTTGTGTAGGTGTGCACTGATAAGGCAAGGCCTCTAATGAGCGGCCACTTGTTATTGTCTTAGCTATAGCTCTGTGCTGGCCCGTTATGGCCGTCTGAGCAGCCTGTCATGACTCATTGCTACTATGTATCAGTAAAATCTATACAAATATAAAAGTGTCAAAATGGGAACATACACCATATCCAATCAGCCAGGTTATTTGCCTGTCTACTTAAATAGAGTAGAGTACAGTAAGTAGACTCAAGTGCCCAAGAAGTTCAAGCTTCTATTATTAAATTACATAAGTGTTTTTGTTGACATTAACTACAAGTGTGCATGTATTAATTAAGACAGCCATTGACACACATTCTGTAGCCAGTGGAGCAACCAGGTAATAACTGACACTGATGTAATGAAATTAGAAACTTAATTGCGAAGAATAGACAGACATGCCATGTACGACTTGCAAGAAAATTATTCTTGACCCAAAAACGTTTTATATCCGAAAATTAAAGATTTACCTACTTCTTTAATAATACTTATTTGGTAACCCATCAAACAACATAACCAAAACATTGTCTTACCTATGACCAAAAGTTGTCATCAAGATTAAATAATGTTTTTATAAATAATTATTACTCTCGATATGGTAACAATGAATGGTGAGAGGAATATAAAGATAAATAAATAGGACTCAATGCCGAACTACAATAAAGAACTTGGCCTTGGTATTTGCTTGTGTACAGATAATTTCACAAAGACTTGAAATAATAGCTGTTTTGCATTTCATAGCACGGTAGAAACGGTGAACACCGATTTGGGTGACAACTTACGTTTTGCAGCCTGGACGACATCCTTGACTTCCTTGATGAGGCGCTTGATCTGCTGGCTGGTGCGCTCGAGCTCCTTCTCGTGGCGCTGCAGGTTCTCGCGGAACTGCGGGCTGTCCGCCAGGCACTCGGTGAACTCGAGCGGCTGCAGACCCACGCCCATCCTCACGGCTGCCCACTCGCGCCGCCTCTATCACGGTCACAACACCATGCACTTTCACCGACGGCCCTCCGATGAGGGCATTGCAACTCCCTTTGCTTTCTTGCACTCCTTGGACGGAATTTATAATAATTGAGGGAGCGACACTCACAAAACTCACTACACCGCTACAAAAAGGATAAAAAACGTAATATTTTCGTTTCAGTCAGACTGATATGCAATCGTTGCGTAGCTGTCAGATAATGCACTAATGTTGCCATAAATTATTTAAAATTTCCTTCTACAGAACCGATTGACCAAAATAAATATCCACCAAAATCACTGCCCTTATCTTTTTATGGCACGCATCACTTGATAAGTACCTCCATGGATCCGTACGTGGGCCCCATGGCCTCCAGTAGGTTAAAGACGACCTTGTCTTAAAAAAACTTCACAATATAGAATTAGTACAAAATAAAAACATTTTAAATAGTTATCAGACTGCTAAAACATTTTTCTTTTTTTTTTTAATATTTGAGAAAACATTATTAAACTATCAAAACAATTATTGAGCTTCAAATAAATCGATGAAATTGTAGAGCTCCACAGAAAAACTACTAAAATAAATAAATTAGAGCCAGTCTTATGGCAACATTGAAGCTGTATCGATTCGTTCCGTTTCACGCAGGTACCAGCTACTTCAGAAAAAAATACATTTTGCATTTGTAAATTATTGTCTAAAATACTTAATCTCGTCATCCCTAACTACAACTAAACACTTTTAGTTATAGTAATTCATTTCCATGTATGCGTGTTTGTCTTGTTGGTTGTCCTAATATCAAATAAATAAACAACGAGTCGAATGGGTCTATCACAGAAAACGCGCGCCTCCTTTTCAAAATATCGAGATACCTACTATATTTTCCCTCGTGTCTCAAATTATCTACTAATTGAGCCAAATTAAGCCCATCTAAATTGGATCAGGTTTAAGCGTGAACAGGTAATAGACAGAGTTACCTACTCACCGTTTATGTTATTCTAACAGACAGAGGGTCGTCCTGAAATTGAGGGAGACTACACTTTTTAAGAAATAAAAATTGTTGTATTTTTATTTTAGTTTATTTTATTACCATTACAATACAAAATAGATATTGGTGTAAATAATAGGTAAAACCGTATATACAAATTACTTGAGAAGTAAATAATTGCAACTTTGAGCCACATCGGCCGGCGACGACACGGCGACCTGTAAAGAGCGTCCCGTCCGCGACCACACCCGAAACTTACCGTTCGCAAGCGGGCTTAGCCAACGGGGCTCGATCAGAGTGGAGCTAAGCAGCGTAGAAAGCTCTCAACAGTTTAGTACTTTAGGGTCTACTACGATCAGAAAGACGTGTAAAGAAAGTCGGTCGTGACGTTTGAGTGTCGCTCGTGGCAGCGCGCGGGCGCTAGGCGGCGTTGGACGACGCAGCGCCGGCGGCGTCCGAGTCGTCGCTGTCGTCTTCGGAGCCGCTCTCCCCCGACTCGTCCGAGTCGTCCTCCTCCGAATCCGAGTACGAGTATGAGTATCCGCCCTCCGCCGCGTCGTAGTCTCCTGTTGTGTGGGGCAACAATCAAAACGATAAGTCTTGGAAGATCACACCGATACCGCCACGGGAATTGAAATAATGTCAGTGATTAGCAATTCTTTCAAGCGTTTTGGCGACGAACTGCGAAAAGCTGTTAATGATAGACATGGCAGGGAACAGTACCTGAGTAGGAGCCCGCGTCGCCGTCCTCGTCGGGCTGCACCACGCCCTGGCGCCCGTAGCGGTGCGTGCGCGCTGCAACAACACATCGGTGATTTAATCAATACACGTGAAACCGAAATAGAAACGCGCAAGATATACGTGCATATTCCAGGAAGAGTCGGGTCTGTTTTGTTTCAGAATATTATTTATACGAACACAAAATGACTGAACCTAAAAGTCGATATCTTTTTGGAGACGACAGCAACAGAACTCTAATTACAGGCACGTATTGGCAGAGCCGCGTACCGGTTCAACGTTCACTCACATAGCAGATGAGATAACATTGCAAAACGCTACACAAGCAGAGCTTAGTGCAGTAACCGCTGGAAAAACTGTCTGTGTCAACCTTTTGTTGGCAATTTCTTAACGTCCTATGTCCCCTAGATGGGGCAGAGGGCGTCACACAGTCCTCCATCGCGTTCGGTCTTGCGATTCGCGTTTTATCTCGCTCCAAGTCTTGCCGATTTTCTTCCCTTTTTTTCTTTGTTGGCAATAAATGAGCTTTTACTTTACGTAGGGTCTGCACTCACTGGACACGCTGAGGTCGGCGGTGACGTGGGTGGGGTGGCCGCAGCGGGGGCAGGGCGGCGCGGCGGGCGGGGGGGCTAGTGTGCACTCACTGGACACGCTGAGGTCGGCGGTGACGTGGGTGGGGTGGCCGCAGCGGGGGCAGGGCGGCGCGGCGCGGCGGTCGGGCGCGGGCCGCGCCAGCTTGCGTCGCACGTGCTCCTCGCAGAAGCACGTCTTGCAGCGCAGGCACGAGTACTGTCCCAGCCGGTTGCACGATTGACCTGAAAACAAGAACACATTCACATAACATTACAACATGTAATGAGACTCACTATAGACCCTCATTGTTATTCAAACTTCCCGCGTACAAACCCTGGCACGTGAGTAAAAATGATACACTATGGTTTTTTAAAAAGTTGATTTGACAGATTGTTTTTGTTTAATGGCGTCTGTACGGAAAACTAAAGGAATATTTTAATTGTGAAGCAAATAGCTTTAAATGTTGTTTCTCTTTTCAGGTAGGTAATTACCTATTTAATTCTATGTAAAATATGTGATTGTTAAAGCAGTTTATTAAAAATAAATATTCTCTTTTCAGAGCAACACATTTGGCTTTTTGTATTATAAAACAACATTTACTCAGCTATTAATCAAGAATGGAGAAACTAAAATTTGAATTTGTTATGAAATCGGGCGAGGACCCGAAGACTAATACGATCTGCATAACTTCTATCACGGATGCCGACCAACGTACATTTGGAATTCCGGAATCATTACAACCTATAAGATTTCACGAAGAAATAATTAGAACAAAAAGTTTCCAAAAGGTAAAAACGACATTAAAAAGACGTCATGATAAAAGGCAGGTGTGGATAACCCTGTCACCAGAATTAAAAAGGGCTTATGTCGATGAGGATGGAAACTTCGAAATAAACAAAAAACAAATCCAGGACCAAACTTAAATTCGGGCTTTTGTCTCATCTTGGTCCAGCTACTTACCCTTTTGAGATAATGTCAATAGACACCATAGGTGGACTTGGTGGCTCACGTTCTACTAAAACATATTTACACCTTCTGGTTGATCATTACACCAGATATGCCTTTATTTTGACATCTAAAACTCAAAACTCGAATGATTTCATAAAACTGGTAAGAAAGGTGTCACAGGACAATAAAATTGGTATGGTTCTATCAGATCAATATCCAGGCATAAACTCTAGGGAATTTAAAAGTTTTCTGGAAAAAGAAAAGATTCCCATTATTTTCACAGCTGTAAATGCACCTTTTTCTAACGGTTTAAATGAAAGATTAAATCAAACTTTAATAAATAAAATAAGATGTAGGATGAATGAAAATAAAAATAAACTGGCTTGGACGACTGTTGCTCATGAATGTGTTCAGAAATATAATGAAACAGAGCACAGTGTGACAGGTTTCTCGCCAAAATATTTATTAGAGGGTAAGACCGTTGGTGTATTACCGGATGGATTAAGACAGGATATATCATGTGGAGACTTAATGAGAGATAGAAAAATTGCATTGGAAAAAAGCATAAAATCACATAATTATAATAAACAAAAATTTGATAAAAATAGGAAAAAAATTGAACTAAAAGTAGGAGACCTAGTATATGTGGAAAATGGAAACCGGTTGAACAGGAAAAAATTAGACGAATTAAAAATAGGTCCTTACAGTATTGTAGAAAAGATTTCAAACTCGATTTATAGAATAAACACAGGACATAAAAAAATTGAATCAAATCTTTACCATCTTACAAAGCTTATTCCAGTATCGGTGGAACCCTAGTCTTGGAGGGGGGGAGATGTAATGAGACTCACTATAGACCCTCATTGTTATTCAAACTTCCCGCGTACAAACCCTGGCACGTGAGTAAAAATGATACACTATGGTTTTTTAAAAAGTTGATTTGACAGATTGTTTTTGTTTAATGGCGTCTGTACGGAAAACTAAAGGAATATTTTAATTGTGAAGCAAATAGCTTTAAATGTTGTTTCTCTTTTCAGGTAGGTAATTACCTATTTAATTCTATGTAAAATATGTGATTGTTAAAGCAGTTTATTAAAAATAAATATTCTCTTTTCAGAGCAACACATTTGGCTTTTTGTATTATAAACATAAGACAAAGCATATCATGAACTGCGCCCTCTAAAATAGAGTTGCCACGAATAGTGATTTGGCCGAATACCGAATACCGAATATTCGGCAACGCTGTCGGCCGAAGCACCGAATATTCGGCGGCCGAATATTCGGCACAAAGTACATGCTAGTCGAGCGCGTAAATAATAATACGACAGGTTGCGGGCGGTGTGAGGCTATTTGACTGTTTCATTCAATTGCGAGTAAATCACGTCACGGCACGCATTGTCAGATTAATATAAATTACAAATTTAATAAAACGTTACGGTTTTGCTGAAAAGTTTGTTCTTTAGTTCTTTTTCAATTGTTTGTTCATTAAAAGCTGATCCTCACAAGTGGTGGTCAGCTAATGAAAAACAATACCCAAACCTCTCGAAATTTGCTAAAGTTTATCTTTCTTCTCCCGGGAGTAGCGTGTATAGTGAGAGGTTGTTTTCTGAAGCTGGTATCATTTATGATGAAAAGCGTAATCGTTTCTTGAAAATAATGAATTGCTACCGTCAAATGCTGAAAAGCTTGTTTTTATCCATCACAACTTACCGCTGGTTAATTTTACTTATTATAGTATCGTAATTTGATAATAAAGACAAATCTTGATTAATATGATGTGTCTTTTTTTTCAATGATTTGGTATTCGGTATTCGGCCGAATAGTACCTATTATTCGGCCGAATACCGAATACCAAACAAAGTGGCCGAATAGGCCGAATACCGAATAGTAGCCGAATATTCGTGGCATGTCTACTCTAAAACATCCGCGGAGTTCCGTCATCGCTCGAGTGGGGGTGTCGAGAGCATCCCTCGCCAGTCTTAGCCACCTGGCGCTACAATTTGAGAAGTATGTAATAGTAACTCACACTTGTAAGTCTCGGACTCCAGCACCTGGCAGGAGGCCTGGTGCTCGAACTGGTCGTCCTCGCACAGGAAGCCCTGGCAGAAGCAGCAGCGGAACACGCGCCCGCCGTGCTCCCACACTCCTGCGCACAGAAAATGACAGATGATTAAAATGTAAATAAGATTAATATAAAGGATTGCTTCTTGATCTTTATACTGTGAACAAGTGTTCTATCAACATCGGCACGCGCCACGCACCTCTCTCGCACTCGAGGCAGACGGCGTCCATGAGCGGGCAGGTGCAGGCGTGCGAGGTGAGGCACTTGCGGCCGTGGCACACCCAGGCCTCGCAGTAGTCGCAGATGGCGCCCACCATGCCCAGCCCGGTGGTGTAGACGCCGGCGTGGCGCACCACGCAGTCGCCCGCCTTCAGCATGCACTTCACCTTGCCGCACGCCGCGCACGCCGGCAGCCGTTGCACCGCGCCGCAGAAGTAGCAGAACGCGCGGCTCTTCTGCTTCCTGGAACACAACGACCTTCGTGCTGCAACCTCACAAGCTAATGAGGGCTATCGTTTTTATACTTAACAGTTGGCACCCCTGGCGATTGACAGGACCTTACTCTACAGTGGCGCCATCTTGATGAGTGCAAATGCGATAGTCCTCCTACCACTTTAGCGCTCACCAGTTGGTGCCACTGTCTTCGCTACTAGCAAGTGACAGGACCTTACTCTACAGTGGCGCTAACTGGTGAGCGCTAAAACGATAGCCCTCATTGATAAAGGACGGTTGCTAGTTACGTTTTTCACTAAAAAACTCATAAAACTCATTTATGCAAGTAGGCTTTTAAAAATCACTTTTACACATCCCAGTATTAACCCTGCCTGTCCAGTGAGTACAATAAATGGGCCAGTGCTGAGAAAAAGCAAAAAGAAACTCAGTCACTACTTTAAAGTCAAACTGTTCTAACAAAATATTAACATATTATGCTCATACCGAAGTCGTGAGTATTAATCGATCGACAGCACTTTCTATGAACAATCATAATCAATTGTATCAATTAGGGATTAGATCAACTTGTTTGGGCATCCGGTAATCATAATAATTTATTTGAAATTAACATACCTAGTATATAAAAATGTTAAGCACAGACAGTGAGAACGATACATGTTTTAAAATCGGTATAGCTCATATTACATTCAAGCATCGTTATTTACCTACACTAACATTGAAATAAAAAAAGAAAGAAGATTACAGGTGCCAAAGACTAGAGAAACCCACACAATTGAAAAAAAATAATTATTTTGATTAACTGTCCACAATAACTACAAACAAAAATTCTATATTCTGCCACAATGCACATAGCCTGTGTACAACACTTCATGGATGTTCATTTATGTAGGAAAAAGGACAAAATAAAAGTAACTCAAATAACCTCTGGAAGGTTATATTAATCTTATCAATTATTTCATTAAAAGCCCTACTTTTGTTATGAATACAAGTGAAGCAGAGAATAACCGTGAGTCGCGTGGTATTTAGCGACGCTTACTTCTGGCACTTGTCGCACTCCATGGGCAGGTTGCAGGGGTGCTGCGCCAGGTCCACCACCCCGCGCGCGTTGCGGATCTCCTTCTGCCGCAGCTTCTGCTTCTCCGCCTTCTTGCGCTGCCCAGTCTTCTTCTTAGGCATTGTTGTTTCGTAATTAACTAAAAGAATTCAACTAAAATTGCCACATTCACAACCACAAGACGACATCAAGCTATGAAATGTCAAAGATGTCAAAATCCGCTGACTTTGATGTTTATTTGACAGTTCGACTGACAGAATCTGTGGACAGAATGCTACAAACAAAATGCTACCTTTGGTTTCTGAACGAATTCAATTATAACCCGGCAAAATATGGAAGATTCAAATGATATTGACTTTCTTAGTAAGAGGATTCAATTCGCAAGTGGCGACGTAGCTGATAGATGCGCACAACAAATTCATGGCAAAACAAAACAATCAACAAAAGTTTATTTTTAATCGCCTTGCAGCGCCACTTGCTCAGTTGCGTTCGTAGCGAGGGTTCGCGGGGAGTCCGCCTGGGTCCCCTGTCCGCGAATTTCCGTGCTATTTGCACGATTCAATTTATAGTGCGTCATCAGGAGTCGGAGTTTCATTACAATAACTGTATCAGACCGTGACCAGCCATGATTAGTTATCCATTGGTAAGTTATATTTACATACATTAATCACTTCATTCGTATGTATCTCTATTATGTACCGTTTATCTACAGGTATGATGACCACAGTAACAGAGGGCACAAGTAATTTTATACAGACGAAACCTTTTTATTTATATGGTCTGACTAAATGTTAAACTTACGGTTAATATTAATTAAAGCTGTACCAACGGCAGTACTATTCTTTAGATTTTTTTAATCAAATTACTATAAATAACTGATTTTGTAAAAACTATGTAATTAACATAGCTGGGCATTAACTCGTTAATCCGTTAATCGTTAATTAACGAAGTTAACATTTCTATTAACGGATTAACTTTTAAGTTAACTTAAAAAAATGTTAACGGACTCGTTAACTTCCGTTAAATTATCCTAAGTCCGTTAATCGTTAATCCAGTACCTACTATTTACCAAAAAGATACAGCAGGCACGCTGAAAAACGCTAGAAAAACGCGTTCTGACAAGTACGTTCGGGATTCCAGAACTTCCAGAACCCAAAACAAAAGTTTTTGTAACCAGATCACTAACGACACTTGTTAGTAGGTATGTGTGGGACAACTATTGCAACTGAATTTAAGACCAGTTTTCCTGAACCGATTGAGCTGAAATTTGGTATACTTATGTAAGTACGATGACAATGCAATGTTATGGTACTATTGAGCTGGTCTGATGATGGAGTCATGAGGTGGCCATAGGAACTCCTAAATGAAACGGTGGCATCGCATCGAATTTGGGTTCGTTGGATTTGTCTTTTCGAGCACTTTAGTACTAGATGATGTCCAGGGTCCTGATGATGGAGTCAGGAGGTGGCCATAGGAATTCCTAAACGAAACGGTGGAAACTTGTCGAGTTTGGGTTTGCTGAATTTGTCTTTTCGAGCACTTTGGTGCTAAATTGTATTGTAATTGAACCAAGGCTCTGATATTGAGATACTTACTACTAAAAAGTGAATAAAATTATAATAATTAGAAAACTTTTTTAAAAACTAGCTTTTATTCTGAATGCAGTTGTACTAAAACGAAAAAAATAATTGTACTTATGCAAGGTTCAAATACCTAATTTCGAAAGCTTGTAGCGCAAACATAAAAGAGGAATAAATTCCATGCGCGATACAAGCTTTCGAAATTATTTGAACCTTGCATACAATTATTTTTTTCGTTTTATTATCATGTGTTAACGGATTAACGATTAAAGTTAACTTGCGTTAAATCTTGCGAAATGTAACGTTTTAACGTTTAACGAAGTTAATTTTTTTATTAACGGTTTAACGATTAACGAAGTTAACTATTTGATTAACGGTGCCCAGCTATGGTAATTAAAATACGTCTTAATAAAAATTTCCAAATATTATTACGTGCTCGGTGATGTAGGACCTAAGTACTCAAAATGTTTTCTTTAAAAAAAACTTTTATTGCTTTAAAAAAGTACCAAGATGTATTGGCGCGGAGTATCTACTAGGAGACGGCGTTGTGTGGGAACTGGCGAGGGTCTGAGGGTGTTGCTTGCGCAGATGAAGCGGCTGGGCATGACGGCGGGCGGGCTGGTGCCGTTCTTCAAGTGCGTGATCGTGTACTTCGTGGTGGTGCGCGAGCTGGCGCCGTCGCTGACGGTGGCGGCCGGCAAGTGCGCGCCCGTGCTGTGCCTCATGCTGTTCGCGCTGCTGCACCCGCCGCCGCCGCACGTGCGCGACCAGTGAGTCCTGTACCTCTAGCATGAACAACTTTCGTCTTCGAATCGTTTGCATATTCGACAAAATTCGATACTCAACCTTCGAATTAAACGATAACGTGACAATTTTGATTCTCAAAATAAGTTTCGTGCAACCATTTCTCATACTAAGTTCACTTTACGACACGTTCACAAGGTCGCTGTTGTAGTTTTGGTACTAAATCTTTTGATGGCGATTCGAATATGCAAACAATTTGAACTCGAAAATTTTTCGTGGTAGCCGTTACTGCTCGATTTCTCCTTTTAGCGCTTGGAAACCGAACTTCGGAAGCACTCATGTAGAGTATTGTAGAGTTTACGCGGGACTCTACCTCATAACGCGGCGAGATCCTTTCAGCGCGCCTACTACATCTTCTCCCCGTGACTTCGTTCATTACTTAGCCATAGATTCATCGCAAATTCACAAGCACCTATTGTACTTAAAATAGAAATTTAAACAAGAAATGTTAATACAGCTATAGTCGCGAAATGCGATGTGCGCTTTGCATTGAGTGCATTTCATTCGAATGTTTAAAAAATGTTTTGCAGGTTCTCCATTCTCAAGAGACTGCGCGTTCTTTCAGAGTTGGATAGATAGGTATTTACTTCCAATTATCTTCAATTTCAATGGCAGGGTGAAGTGAGCAGTCATTCATTATCACGTCGTGTCTAACTACTATCTGCGGACAACGCAGGTCTACATACGCAGAAAATATACATAAACGCTGTAAATGGTGGACATAAACAACAACCGTATCTCCTCAACTACATAAATAAATTATAATATCATTCTACAATCAACTACTTAAGTATGTGTTTGTGACTTCTGGACATTTAAACGGGTGCCTTTTCTCTTCATATTAACATACTCCCTAAGTGATGAGTCACGTACGTCACTGGAGTGCAGTTTTATTTTCTTTGTGTGAGGATACGCTTTGTTTATCTTCAACTGCGAGTCGATTTCATCGGCAGTCAATAAACTCGGGACGCAGCGAAAGGTCATCTAGATAGAAAAGATAAGAGTACCTAGATAATAATCAAGGTCACTGGTAAACCTAAAAATACCCAGTTAATGCGCAGTTCGTCCCTAACTTACTTATTACTGTACCTACCTACATCTATACTATACTGCAAGGACCAATTTTTGTCAAAAGAAAATTTAACCATGTCATGTACTGTACATAACATAACATGTATGTTTATGTATTACGTTATTATGGCATATTTATGCAAGAGTTGCAACGTGTTGTTTGATTTGTGCGGCAACAACACCGCGTGCGAGGTCTCCGCTCGTACACAAATATCTGGGGCTGCGCGGGGTCGGCGCCGATCGATCTCAGACTCTACCATTTCTAGGAAACAGGCTGAAAATAGACATGGTCTGCACTCGTATGTCTCACTATCCGTAATATTTTATTTTCTTTACCACTAGCAATAATTATAAAAACCCATGTTATTATCAACGTACCTGTTAATTAAATACCTATAGATAGCTTGTATGTTTTAATAAGTACAAAAATATCCAGTAAATAAATATACAATTTGTTACTATCAATATTGTAAACTCTTTTTATATCACCTCGATGACGCTTAAGGGAATGGCATTTTCTACCTATTGAAATTACTAAACCCAAACGAAAGGTCCTGGGTTCAATTTCTGTGGGTCTTGCTAAGTAGGGATGTCGCTACATTATCGCTCGATTGACAGTAGTCTACTCGTAGATGAATAGTGATTAGTCTAGATTTAGAAAGGAGCTTTGTTGGTTTGAGCGCGGCTAGCTTACGCTTTGCGTTGTGGTTGTGTGGCAGGGGCTGGTACGCGTCGTGCGTGGCGACGGGGCTGGCGCTGTCGATGGTGGGCGACGCGCTGCTGGTGTGGCCCGAGTGCTTCGAGGCCGGCATGGGCGCCTTCGCGCTGGCGCACCTCGCCTACCTCGCCGGCCTCGGCTTCCGCCCGCTCGCGCTGCACCTCGCGGTATGCAACCATCCTCGTCTACTTCAACAGCTTAAGATCCATCGCTGCTCCGAGCAGCCTCTAGCGATAGCCGGTGCCACTCAATAGAGGCTTCAGGAAAATCAAAAGGTAGTATAATGAAAATTATACTGAAATCTATATTATTGCTCCAATTCACGACGAAGCCTAACCTCGAACAAGTTCAAGAATTCGAACAATCCTCCATTAAAAATTCTTCAACATTAACCTTTTACCTGTAGCGACCTTGCGTAACCTAACATGCAGTCAGTGACTGAAACATTATGTAATGTGTACTTATGCAGATTTGCAGACACGCAACAGCTACATATTATTATGTGGCTAATAGCCTACATATTATTATAAACAAGATTTGTCCCGCACTAACTAACAAGCGAAGTCAATATAAAGCTTGTAAAAATAGGTTGAGTTGAGGACTGGGTTGATCACCTATTACAAAAACACAAAATAGTAACACAGATGTATTTACACATAATGTCATATTTTAATATTGGACTCGCTACTACACGAAGCACCAAAACCAGCGACAGACCACGACTTAAAATCAAAAAGACGCAGAATGTGCGCTTCGCAAAATGGCTCAACTCATGTCAACGGAAAGTCTGGTCTTCCAAGTATGATTTATTATGGTACACCGGTGCGTTGCGTTCCGCAAGCACCAGTACAGTAGTGTAATGAGTGGTCGGGGCTGCGCAGGTGGCGTGCCACTGCGCGACGGCGGCGTTCCTGCTGCTGCTGGAGCTGCCGGGGCGGCTGGCGTGGCTGGTGCCGCTGTACGCGGCGCTGCTGGCCAGCACGGCGTGGCGCGGCGCGGCGCGCGGCGGCCGGGCGGCGCTGGGCGCGCTGCTGTTCCTCGCCTCCGACGGCCTGCTCGCCTACGGCATGTTCGGCGGCCCCATGCGCCACAACCAGGTACCGTTGTGACTTCTAACGCCGCAGACGCCTCACCTGTATCCCTGTTTTGTCAGCAATCGAGATATCCCTGTCCCTGATTGACCTGCACGCTGGTGACTTCACCGTTTCACATCCTAAACGGTTGTTGACGGCTCCCCTGAAAAGTTTCAAGCGAGGGTTTGTTGCAGCTGTGGGTGATGTCGACGTACTACATGGCGCAGATGGCGCTGGCGCTCAGCGTGCTGGACCCCACGCCCGAGGACTAGGCGCGCCGGACCGCGGCCGCGTGCAGACGCCGCTGGACTTAGAGGACCATCAGAAATGAGGAGAAGCGAGCTGGTAAAACAACAAGACGACTGGAGTTCCCAGGTGTCTGCCGATTTTCAAGATCGGTGTAAGATTATTGTTCATATGGTATGGTTGTAATTCTTCCATGATTTAATCGTTGGTGTTTATGGTGTTATACAGGTAGTTAGATCTTAGTGTAATGAGTTTGTGTCGTACGTAGTTAAGTAATTTGTTTGGACAGTATCGGTAAGAGTGCGGCAAGTGGGAAAGTATGTATGCACAAAAGTTGTGGAAACGGTCTGTGATATGCGTCAGTCACTGTCTTCTCATTATTTTAAATACTAATAATGTTATTTTAAAAACGATAAACTTTGAGGAGTCATTGATTTTGGAGTGTTAAGTTCGACAAGAAGATGCGTGCAATGGCTCTCGTGTTTGGTATCGAATAACCAATTGGCTCACAAAACAGAGTTGTTAGCGAGTGCCAAAGAATATTAAGTCGAGCGTCTGACGCAAATGTTTGTCTTTCTTCTTGAAAACGTGTATGTTATCCGTTTATGTTGGTAAATAATCCAAAAGACTAACTAAGGTCCATAAGAGGGCTTGTGATCCAGAATGAATCTTTGTATTTGTGATATCATTAGGTATATCCGCCTTTGCTATTTAGGAATCCTATCGACAATATCACGTTAACTAAATACTGTAGATAATATCATGACATTTCACATTACGAAATGTATATTTTACGAATTTTGTACATTCCTATTGTATTTAATTTATCTGACTTATGTGTGCTGACCTTTTGACACGTGGAAGATGAGCGAGCTTCCGTAACTTACGGAGAACGAGTTCTACATCTATTTGTATAAAACAAACCACTTCAAACGACTATGTGACGCCATTGGAAAGTCAATCCGGCTCATCAAACAAATGGTCTCAAGGTAATGATATACAGGGTGGTGACCCGTTGGTGGGCGATCATACAAAAGGATTAATTCTACTGCTCATGTGCAGGAACAATGACCAAAAAAATGACGTTCCCATACTTAATTGACTGATCACTGATGACAATTTATATCAAAGGGAATCTTTTTAGAAGATTTGAACTTCCTTTTTGGAGATAGACAACTATCATAGTTGTTGCATTTGAGAAGTAGAATCTATCCTTTGTTTGATCACCCACTAATGGGTTATCCTGTAGAAGTCACAACGTACTAAGTGGCTTCATGTCAGGTGGTCAATGGTATATGCACATTTATGTGTATACTACATATTTATTTTAACTTTGGACTGTTATTGTATGAGACGTGGCTGGCCACTGCAAGGCGCTGGCCAGTCGCGCGTAACTCGGAGGCGCCTCCGCGCAGCTGCCAACCACAGCCAACCAAGTGTTCGAGACACCAAGACTTAAGTATTTTTGTATCGTCTTTTATGTCATGTTTCGTCTTTTTGCACATATTTTTTTTGGTCTGGATTATGATTCAGCTGTTTATCTCGTTAGTGATCCGAAAGAACTGGTACTGTGTCTTCTGATTTAAGCCCCTACTCCGCTTTGGATACATCCGACGCAATCTGTTTCTATCCTCACTTCAGTATACTGATGTTCATAGAAAGGCGTAAAACTTACGCGGAGTATGATCCTCCTGTTTAGTGACATGATCCTTTTTCATGTGATTTCACACTATCGTATCTATCACAGAGACTGGTTATCGGTTTTCTAGACGACCATGTTTGTCCAAGATTGGTAAATATACACTCGACAGCAAATAAATCGAACCACACGCGACTCGAACTTTAAAGATTTTCTTTTGACACAATAATGGTGCCCCAACAATATTGGTGTTATTTGAAAGCCCAATAAATATCCTTAAAGAAAAACACATTTAATTTCTTAATAAATGATTAACATATACCATAAATGTGACTTGAAAAAAGACCTCACTTTGGGCTCACCTCTGGGATCAATTAGACCAAATTTTATGGTTATAAAACCAAATAATGATCACACGTGTCCTCTTTAACAGATGGATAGCGATTAATCCCAACTTAACAGTTTTATAGCCATAAAAGTTGGCTCAAGTGTAACTATCTATTTTTTGAAGAAGTGACTCTGGATCCTTCTAAAGAAACATTTTTGGGGTAAAAACCTTTCCTATAATGAAATGAAGTTTAGAACTAGGCTTTTGAATGGTACCAATATTGGTGTGAAATGCATACGTTTCAAAGTGCTTGTCGCGGGTGGTGCGATTTATTTGCTGTCGAGTGTAGATTGTCCGAGTACGAGCACAGAGTACTTGACCTTGTTGCGCCTGTGCAGAAAAGATATCGGTATATATTTAGTATGTACTGTATTACATGTTTAGTATTAATATTGATTGTTTATATGGCTCATCACAACTAATAGTGAATATCTTTATAATGTAGCTCAAGTTCATTTATTCGTAATCGTAAATAGTAAAGTTGATGAAGGAGTGCATATAATATAAAATTAGAAGAATCTCCAACAATTAGCCGGCGTCATTGTAATAGTATAATAATAAGGACTTCTAAACATATCTGTACACGGTAAAGTTAGCTCAAAAGTAAGACCTTTACACGCGACAACACTTTCTCAACTGGGCAGATGAGGTGATTACAAATTATAGACCCGAAAAAAAAAATCACTTCATAATAAGCTCCACTATACGAGTACATTGCCCCTGCATGACGTGGCGTCTGCGTGTAAGGCTCTATCAAGTTTTCAATGCAAGTCGAAACTCTTCTGTAACGCTTACTATCCTATAAATACTTCGTATTAGTGATTGTACCTTTTAGAAAGTCTATTTCATGTTATTTTGTGTAATGTAAGTAATATTTTGTTAAATGTTATACATCTATTGTATTCCTAGTTATTATACCTAAACATAAATAAATATATGATAATATTGATACTTTGTTTAAATTCCAACATCCATCCTATTTCTTAATGCGATTCGTGATTTGTGTAAATAAAATACAGTAATTATATAAAAATATTTATTAAAATATACTTAGATAAACTTAATTATATTACAATAACAACAACTCTGTACAAGAGGCAGCGGCCGCGACCTCGCGCTAGAGCTCTCTTGGAATAAAAGTACACAATTGCATGTGTTCCTAAGCGACATAATAACATCATTGTAAAGAAAGATCATATTTACAAGCTGTGCGATGTCGCACGTGTTATTTATGAAATCATATTAAAACATTTCATTTTTAAACATTTGAATTTATTATTGGCGCCTCAAAATGCGGTCACTCGCATGTCGACTGGCGGTATTTACAGTTTTATTGCCGATCTTTAAGATTGCGAGCACGTTATAGTTCAATATTCATTTCGGGTTATGAAAATATTTTTTATGGTAATTCAGTAATTTATTTATTTTGCGGTATACGATTTTAGATTCTAAATACCATATGAGCATTTTTGATGCCTAAGTGGAAAGAAACTTGTACCTACTGTTTGTTTCTGCAATAAGGCACAATTTAAATTTATTAATTGTAATGTTTCAGAGTCTGATTAATAACACACGAAAAATACTTTTGTTCGATCAATTTATCTGATGGAAAATATCAACCAAGTTACACTACTCATAATGGACCATTATTAATATTCTTAATCATTTTTGATGTCAATTGTTTATTCAACTTAGTTAAGATAACAAAAGAAAGATGTAAAGACAAAGCTGAGGCAAATTGAGACATATTATAATCAAATCCAAAACGTGCCAATTTACAAGAATTTACTTTTTCTTGCCGCAATGCGATGTCGTGTCATGTCACCGGTTACAATGGAATCACAACTATGCTCTTTCTTAGCAATTTTATATTAAAATTTGTCAGCTCAACGATCACTCATATGGAAAATTTCCCCCTTCATGCAATATCGGATTAAGCGTATTACTACTTCTCTCGTGACGGTAATATTTTTCAAAGTTGACGTTTTTACATCAGTAAATAAACACCCCTTCAAACCGAAAACATGGTCGCAAAATACTTTGAGATTAATCGAAGTTCCCGTTCCACTCACGTGTGTGTATCGCTCAGGCCCGACGCCTGGTGTGTGCCGTGTGTGTGTGTGTGGGGGTGGGGGGCAGGCGCGGCGCATGTGTGCGTGCGCTACTCGCGGCGCAGGTTGTCGAGGCGCGCCTGCAGCTCGGCGTCGGCGTCGGACACCGCGCCCCCGCCGCCCGCGCCCCCACCCGCGCCCGCCGCCACGCCCGCCGCCTGCGGGGTCTTCGCTGCGGGACACGTCACACGATCACATTACACAATTTATTGTATTGACCCGTTGCACTATGAACCAAAAGCTTAATCTAGCTGGACAAAAAGGGTCAACGCATATCTTTCATTCGTTTAGCAAAAACGATAAATGCAGTCATTATTTTTAGCATAGAAAGCCAGCCAAATCTTTAAAAGTACTTAGGCTAAGGTTTAGCATTATACCTTAGTACTTTTACAGAACTAATGCAAAGATGTTAAAATATCAAGCACCAGTATAAAAAAACAATAATTTATAGCCTGACCAGGAACATAAAAACCCTGGCACAGAGGCGCTTCAATTGCATTTGATAGTGCAACACTGAGTACAGTCGTACATGTGTTAAATTGATAGGCTAAAGGACAATGACCAAAAATGTATGGAGTGTGGTCCAAATGTCCACCACTAACGAGACCTATGTAGTAAAATAGTCTAATAAATACTGATTTATTATAACCAAATCGCAATCAAAAATATGCTGTCAGTAAAAAGTTATGACTGAATGAAAAGTCATGTTTTTTACCTCTTCATCCGAAAAATGTTCTTGATATCATTCTATCCATCGCACATTTTGGATTAATCTATGCATTTTATGTCATGTCGCTTAGTGTGCCGTGTTAGAATTATCGCTAAAAGAAAAAAAAATAAGCTCAGAAGAAGGACAACAATATTGTAATTATGGTCGGGTGTTTGCTGCTCCGCCCCCATTGGTTGTAGGGTGATGTTATATAACCTTAAACCATCCTTGATAAATGGGCTATCCATAACCAAAATATTTTTTCAAATCGGACCAGTAGTTCCTGAGATTAGCGCGTAAACTACTACAATTTTTCATACGGTCATAACTTTTTACTGATAGTTTATTTTTTTTTCGTCCCATACTGAAAGTTTATCTCTATTTGATGGACTATAAGCCAATATAGGTCTCATTAGTGGTGGACATTTGGACCACTTTTGGTCATTGTCCTTTATGTATCAGGATTCAGGATTACGGGCTAATTTGATATTTTCATAAATTAACGAACAATATTATTAAAGATAACCTGGTTTAAATAAATTAACACCTTTGCTGCGGCAGTAACTTTCTAATACTTTCCATTCCTTCGGTACAAGGTCAGTAAACCTGGTATTAAAACTTACATTGTGGCGGCACAAGGCTTAAAGACCTTGTAATATTTAAGATATATTAATTTTATTTTTGGCTTCATGTTAATAGATATTGTGTTTTTTTTCTTTGAATATTAATAATAATGCATTTATTGACATACACCTGAAGGCGTTCGTGAATAACTTGTTTAGTATAAAAATTATATGTCAGTCAATTTGACAACCTTTGTCGGAAACATTATTCAATGAAAATATTGTCCGAACCCTTAGTATTTCTCTTCGACAAATACATTAACACATTGTGAACCACTTTTCTTTCACAACTATAAAAATATTTTAGCAATTTAATTCACAAAATCAATTGCACACATTTAAAATAAAGTTTGTTTACACTTTGACAACAATAGACTGACATGCAAGGTGACATGTCAATGAAGTTTTCAGTTACTGTTGCCATTAAAAGAAATTAGTACCATTAGTTTTCCGCAACATGGCGAGGGTTTTTATGTTCCTGGTCAGGCTATACCTTAACTAACAGGCCCAGTTTAAAAGAGGGTCAGCTTATGTTCATTTTTTTTTAACATATTATATCAAAATAAGAGTTTTTAAAGCGTTTAGTACCTATTCCAAGCCTTAAATAATTTTGTCCAGCTAGATTGGCCTTTTTATTCACAGTGCGTTGGCGTTTAGGGTTGGGAGCAGACTTCCCTTCGACATAAAGTTCGATAACGACGATGCAACGAGCGTTTGAACGGAGAGAAAAGTTTATATCAAATCGTTCCAGCCCCCGCCGGATCTTGCAATCTTAACTATTAAATCTAAGCCGGACCCGGACGAAATCTTCGCTTCTGAATATCGAACTTTCGGTACGTTGGCAAAAAATGTTTAAATAGATTTTTAAAAAGAGACAAGGTTCTATGAAGTAATGTAAGAGCTCACCCGCGACCGACAGCGAGCCGGTGGCCTGCGGCAGGCCCGACAGCTGATCGTTGAGCTGCAGCCCCAGCTCATCCAGGATCTGCCCCACCACCGCGTCGCTGCAAATAATGACATTCGTTAACACCACAATATCACACAAGAACTAATCAACATGAAACTATTTATAAATTATGGTAGAGTAACAATTTGAAACCATAACACAAACGTTTTACAACTAATAAGTGTAGTTAAGAGCTTTATGTATTTCTTTAATTTACATAGAATATGTGTGGAAAACCTTGGGGGAGGCCTTTGTCCAGCAGTGGACGTCATTTGGCTGAAACGAACGAACGAATGATGTGTGTTGATTTTCTATCTGGCAAAAGACAATTATTCAATGCTGCGCGAAGCACGTACCTTTCCGACTCGTCGTCGTCGGCCTCCATGGCCTCGTCGATGGAGTCGTTCATCATCTCTTCTTTCATGTCCATTATTTCTGACTGCTTCTCAAACTCCTGTAAAATAGAAACATAAATATTAGTATGTACAACATAAAGGTGGCGGTTTGCGTCACGTCTCTAAATCGCTCGCGAACTGACACTTCGACGATGTTGTCTAGCGGTCGCGATATCTCGTCTCGGTCGCTAGTCTCTGTCGCAGCGCGAACGGCCGCCTTTTGGCGATTATCACACTGCACCGCGCTCCGCCGCGGTACGCGGTACGACAGATTTAATCATTGTACCTCAGTTTGTATAGAAAACACGCGCGGCTCAACACACTGACAACGCGTTTGCGAACGGGATTCGTTATATGTAATCACGCGGACCGCGGCGGAGCGCGGTGCAGTGTGAAATAAGAGCGAAGTTGGAGGACAGACGCACCTGCAGTATCTTCTGTATCTGCGGCATGTTGAGCTGGCGGTTCATGGTGGCCATGGCGCGCGTGACGCCGCGCATGGCCTGCGCCATGGTGTTCTGCGACTTGAGCGTCTGGATCTTGAGCGACACGGCCTGGATGTTGGCCTTCATGAGCATGAACTTCCGCACGTAGCGCCGCGTGCGCACCAGGTCCTTCGCCATTATCTTCACGGCGTCCTGCGGGAGGGGGCGTGAGTGGAAGCTTGAAATAACTTGTCAGCTGCTTCATTTATGCAAGTGCTAACTACTGATATGAGGTGAAGTTGAATACCTAAGCTGTGTCCATTTATAACTAACATTTTGTCAGTTGAGACCTTATTATAAAGAACATGATTGAAGTAGTAGTAACTGTATTAAGTTCATAATCCTACTTCCTACTAATATCATAAAATTTAAATCAAAGTACATACAGTTAGAATCAAGGTATTTTTACAAATATAAATACAGGGATATAAATGGTATAAAATAGTAGGTAATGTGGTGTCAAGGTAAGACTTTCGAAATTTAGACAGTTTAAAAGTCAAGGTCTGTTTAAAAAAAATTATCTAAGTTGGTGAGTAACATTAATAGTCTGATATAGAGGAAAATATTTTGATTGGTTTGAACTTTCTGTTACCTCACTAAAATTAAATTTTTTGGCATCAATTCCACCAGTTAAAGGCTTAACAAAATTTCGGCATCTGCACTACATTGGCAATGACAAGGCCTGGCCGGGTCAATTTATTTTCCTTCTCGAACAGATGTTTAAATAAACAAAACATGTACAAAACTACAAAGTGTCCTCTATGTGAGTGTGGTGTGGTCCTCACCATCTGGCCCTCCTTGGCGAGCTTCTTGATGTCGGCGATGACCTTCTTCTCCTGCTGCTCCATCTTGAGGCGCTCGCGGTCCAGGTCGCGCATGGCCTTGTTGAGCGCGCGCTGGTTCTTGCGCAGCATCTCGTCCGGCGTCATGCGGTGCCCGAACAGCCACTCCATGGTTCACTCTTCAAATTATAAATAGGAGATTTATACCCGTTTTCACCATCAATCCCCAAGTTTTAAGTGACCCCTATGTAAACAAAATTCCTGCTATTTGTTACCATAGGGTCACTTAAAAATTAGGGATTGATGGTGAAAACGGGCATTAATGACATAAAACAACCTTGCATCAATCCTGAATCAGAGAAAACAATAATTTATTTTAGGAGGCAAACATTATAAGAAACATGATGTCATTAAAATAGGCAACTATTACATGATTGCGAATAAATCAAAGGTGTTTACTTAAAGTTAGATGTGTCTAATGTAAAATAGTAGTATTCTATTGTAAACAGTACAAATAACTCACCTTTTTTGGATGATGATTCACCACCAAATTACCAATCAAAACCTATTGTTTATTTTGATATTGGGGGGTTATAAATGTTAGTGGATACCTGTTAACATAGTCCTGCGTGTTTTATATTATTAAACTATTCCATAGGTTTCTTGTAAAAGCTAAAAGTAATGGATTTATGCAAATATGTAAAATTCCCCAATCAGTAAATTTTGACTAATTTGACAGATTTGACATTATGTTATGTAGTACATAGAGAAAAGTAATAATGTAGTAAAAAGCCGTCAAAGTGACTTTTTAATTTTTAATCCAACATGTTTCTAAGACATCGTTAACTTTAAAAGGAATAATGTTTTCCAACTTGGTCTGAGGGTTAACTGGAAGAGAAAGCAATAGGGCATTAAGTTCACCTTGTGAAGTTTTTTATGGTGAGTTTCAAACTGGATACTTTATCTAAACTTTGATAACTTACGCTGTTTGTTATTGTAAAAAAAAGTAATGTCAGTCTGACGTTTGTTGACAATCAATCATAATCAAAACAAACGTTTTTCGCGGTAGTTTTCACTGGTTTTCACCATTTTCACGATTTTTATCAGCTGTAAAAGTGATTTTAGATTAATTTATTAACTAAGTAATATTGTTTTTTCATACCGTTGAATGTTCGATTGATATTATATCGCACTTGGCTCATTGAATAAAATAAAACATGAGTGACGATGATGTTACGGTCATGGAAGTAGATGAGGTTGTGCCGAAACCCTCTAAATCCACCGCCAAGCCTGCAAAATCGACAGCGCACTTACCTTGGATCGAAAAGTACCGCCCCCAAGTATTCACTGATATTGTGGGGAATGAAGATACAGTGTCACGGCTGGCGGTGTTCGCGCGCACCGGCAACGCGCCCAACATCATCATCGCCGGGCCGCCGGGCGTGGGCAAGACCACCACCATCCTGTGCCTGGCGCGCGCGTTGCTGGGCGCTTCATTCAAGGACGCCGTCTTGGAGCTGAACGCTTCCAACGACCGTGGCATAGATGTAGTCCGAAACAAGATCAAGATGTTTGCTCAACAGAAGGTAATTATGTAGTTGACCCTATTGTTACTTTTGTGTAGGGCTTCTTATCCTTATGATAATGTCACATGAGCTGACTTTTGATTACAACAATGAAATGTATGTGTCAATTGAACATACAGCATCATTTTTATGTTATGTCTTTTGTTGCCAAAATAAAATCAATTTCTTTCTTAAGTTCTCTTTCATTAATTACTAATTGCTTGTTTCTGTGGTGGTCATTCACAGTCAACATTGGGCCTTTGCATTACATGCATTGTGAATGGAATATAAAGCCTGTGTGTTACAGATTAATTTTAAACCTTTTACTTGGCTTAGTATCAAACCAATTTATCTTTCAGTTGGGTAATGCTAACTTTGTATTTGATATAAGTACTCCATCTATTGGTATATACTTCATTTTAGGTGACCCTGCCTGCTGGGCGCCACAAGATTGTGATCTTGGACGAAGCAGACAGCATGACGGAGGGCGCTCAGCAGGCTCTGCGGCGCACAATGGAGCTTTACTCCAGCACTACTCGGTTTGCGCTGGCCGCCAACAACAGCGAGAAGATCATCGAGCCCATCCAGTCCCGCTGCGCCGTGCTGCGCTACTCCAGGCTCACTGATGCTCAGATACTTGCCAAAGTGAGTTCTTGTTAGTTTTGAAATGACTCATTAATTATTCCTACTTTACACCCGTAACTGTTACCTGTGTAACTGTTAGGTACCTGTGTAACTGTTATATGTCTTTTTCAGTCAGTTTCAACCAAATGACGTCCACTGCTGGACATGTCTTTTTCATTATAACAAAAATAAAATAACAAAGCTAATTAATATTATGTCATCAGCAATGGAGAATAAAACAAAGTCTAAAGAATCTCTCTCTTCTGATGCAATTTAGAACCAGATGGATCTTCTTAATTTTCTCTTTTTTGGGGTCTTCTTCTTTTCATGTCAACAACAAACCTACACAGTGTCAGCCCAAAACTCCGCCAAAAGAGTGGGATTGTCAGCAGCATTCATCAAATCCTCCTGAGTGCAGCTGCTCTTTTTTGGGGTGATGAAGGAATTCAGTCAAGACCCTATACTACAACTATGTGTCCAGGTCATAGAAGTGTGCGAGAAGGAGCAGCTGTCGTACACGGAGGAGGGCGCGAGCGCGGTGGTGTTCACGGCGCAGGGCGACCTGCGCGCGGCGCTCAACAACCTGCAGGCCGCCGCGCACGGCGCCGGCCACGTCAGCGCCGACCGCGTGTTCCGCGTCTGCGACGAGCCGCACCCGCTGCTCGTGCGCACCATGCTCGACCGCTGCGTCGCGCAGGACATACACGCCGCTTACAAGGTCAATATCACAGATTCTTTTGTCATTTTGCTTTCAATGTGCTGTTTGAAACGTGTTGTTCTAATGAGGGTTTTCGCGATTGAAAAATCCGCCAGATGGCAATACGTAAACGCGAGGTCCATATGCTGCATGATTGGTGGATTTTAACATATCTGTCGATGTCATGTCAAAAATAACCAATCGTGCAGCATTTGGACCTCTCGTCTACGTATTGCCATCTGGCGGATTTTTCAATCGCGAAAACCCTCATTAGAGAAGTACAGTCTAATTTTTTAGAAATCAGCAGAAATGTCATCAAAAATGGCCAACTGACATAAAAATATTTTTAGTCTGTGAACTAGTGATGCGACAAAACCTCTCGTTAATCGCGAAGTGAAATTATTGTAGTACTTGCGTATCATCGCCGGGTGATCGTCAAAATACTAAAAATATGAAACAAAGTCGCAACATTGAATGTGAACTGATTATGAAATTTTCGAGAACAGGAAACAAACTGTATGCACAGATGTAATCAAAAAACACACTGGACAGTAAAACAATCAATGATATCCGTAAAGTTATTAAACTTCAAATAACTAGTTGCAAAAAGTTCTGTTTGACAGTGTTGCTACTAGTGACATCTCGCTCGCTCAGTTCTTTGTTGCTCTATTTCGCTAGGGAGGTAATTTAAGATGCTATCAATGTATTGCCATCTGGCGGATTTTTCAATCGCGAAAACCCTCATTGAAAGAAGATTTTTATTTTCTTTTATTTTATTTACTTATATAGGAAAATAAGCAATGGGACAATACGTAAGCATAATTGCATAAAAAAGTAAAATAATTTCGTTTAAATAAAACCGACTAAAAATTAAACTAACTCCGAAAAAGTATACACTAAAAGTAGAAAAATAATTTTACGTTATCTCCAATATTGTCGAAGTTATCGCTGGAAAACTAAACAAAGTATCGTATATTTTTTATTTAAAATTAATCAGTAATCGGAATAAGTGAAAACTTAAAATAATATCGATTAAATTTACAGATTATTGTCTATGACTCACAGGTTACAGCACTGATGTGTCAGAGACAAGTCATAGACAATATGGAGATAACACATGATTTTAAACGTCAAGTCAATTTGACAAGTCTCACAAATTTGCATCGTCCACGTATTTTGCTAAAATAATTTGTTTCAAAGATTGATTTCAAACTTGTATAAACGTGAAAATAAAGTTGGTTACATGGGCTTGTTAAATAATGTGTATGATATTATGAACACGTAAGTGATTATGGTGTAATTGTGTATGAAAGTGTTTGTTTACATCTCTGCTGGATTCTAAAAAATCAAGGTATAGAGATTACAAAATGACCCATATTTAGGTAAATTACCAACCCACTCTTGGGTTTGACGCAGACTGTCCCATTCGCATCTCGCCACGAATTAAAACTAGTGTTTCGTCATCACGCAGATAATCGCGAAGCTGTGCAAGCTGGGCTACGCGACGGAGGACATCGTGAGCAACATCTTCCGCGTGTGCAAGACGCTGGAGGCGGGCGAGGACACGCGGCTGGCGCTCGTCCGCGAGGTCGGGCTGACGCACATGCGCGTGGCGGACGGGCTGGCGTCGCCGCTGCAGCTGGCCGGGCTGCTGGCGCGCATGTGCCGCGCCGCCGCGCCCGCCGCCGGCGCCGGTGCCGGCTGGTAAAACTCGAGCCGGAAGAAAAAAAACCCATAAACTGTCCAAACTGAAACATTATTATTAAAGCTTTCCGCCCGCGGCTTCGCCCGCGTGGATTTTTGTCTGTCACAGAAAAACTTTATCGCGCGCGTCCCTGTTTCAAAAACCGGGATAAAAACTATCCTATGTTCTTTCCCGGGACTCAAACTATCTCAATGCCAAATTTCATCAAAATCGGTTGCGAGGTTTAAGCGGGAAAGCGTAACAGACAGACAGACAGACAGACAGTTACTTTCGCATTTATAATATTAGTTGGGATTAGTTGGAATAAAGCCTGGTCCGTGAGCACGATTATGTTGCTGTCGCGCTCGCACACCCACTGCGGGCGCCCGTCGCACAGTCGCGACAGCAATTATAATTACGCGCGAGCGATAAGGATGGGTAGCTTGGGGTCATTGGACAAAATTCTACGTGCTCATGGACCAGGCTTTAGAAGGCTGATATAGATTGAAAAGAGTGTGCTACATATTGATTGTTAATATAATTTGATCAATGTGAACTGTAAATATTGTTATGGAAATAAAACCAAGTTTTGTACAATATACATTTTTATTTTAATATCATAATATAAAAATTTCGAACTTTTAAATATCAAATGCAATAACGATACATAAATCGATAAGCTTATTATCTAGAGTATAAAAACAATAGTTTGTGGAATGTAGCTCACCGTGTGATCTCTAACAATTTGTTGTGCTCCACCATGAGACTCTGGAATGCACCGGGTTGAGGTTCATTAGTAAAGACACTAAAGTATGCTTATCACTAAAGTATTTTGTGTCATGGCAGCACCAATTTCGATATTCCTAAACCTAATAACGTACGCAGCTCTCGGACAGGAGCCGAAGTTGAATTTACAAACTGAGGGAGGAATTTAATTTGTTTAGTTTACGAGGCAGAAGATGGGCAGGCTTCGGCGCGAATGTTGGTGAGTAGGGGCAGCGGGCCCGCGCGCCGTCAGTGTATGACGCGCTGCTCGTCCACGGGCTTGCCCTCGATCATCTTCTGGTGCTCCTCGCTCAGCGCCTACGCCACACGCAACATTCAGACCAACGATCGACTTTTGCCATAACATTTCAATTAAAAAGAATGATACAGTATATCGCGTATATTTACACTGTTAGTAAGCCGAATATAATTGATAGAACATGCAATTTTATTGAATCTTAGAGGTCACTATTATTATCTAGCATTCTGTATGGACCATCCACATTTTTTTAAGAAACAAAAAATTGTGGATGAGAAATAGAAACCGATCGCAAGTCTGAAATCCCTTCATGCAATCCCTTTCAAACATCCATGCTTTCCACCAAAAGCATTTTTTTATTCTAGGAGGCATTCAAAATTAAAAGATTTGAAGAAGTTAATTGCGGAAGGTTCTTTGTCCAGGAGATTTTTAAGTGGATAAATACCACCACCTTAGTAGCTTGGCAATATTTTGTTAACTACCTGCGATAATGTAGTAACCGACTCGACAGAGAAGACATTAAAAGGGACAGTCATTGAAAATACAGAAACAATATCAATGAGGGCCTAACCAAATGCATTTCTTTTATTTGCTTGGAAATTAGAATAAGTGGAAGTTGAATTAGGTCAAGATTTTTGCAAACAATAGGTGCGGTGTATAGCGCGAGGTTACGTTAAACAACTAAGATCAAGCCAAACCTTTGCACTGATTTGATCATTTACAACAAAAATCATCGATTGCCAATAAAAGAAGCGTATGATTAGATTCGGCCCCGAGTACTGAACGATGGTTGAATACTCAACGAGGAGGAAGGTAAACTTGGATAGTCGGATGACTCACCTTGAAGTACTTGACGGTCTTGACGCGCAGCTCGAGCGTGGCGGCCTCGTCGCACACGAACAGCGTCTGCGCGTGCTGCTGGAAGGCCGACACCGTCCACATGTGGTTCACGCCCTCCTCCACCGCCTTGGCCAGCGCCAGCGACTTGTGCACGCCCGTGATCAGGATCATCACCTGCGCACAACAACGACGTTCGTTCGTATGGGTGCCACCCACTGGGAGATCCTCGCACGGTGGCGAGGACATTAATGACTCTGGAGACTTTACCCATGGTTAGTACAGTAGGCGCGCGAGTTCATGTCCATCGGGGCCTTACTTACTTACTTATTTACTTATACTTACTTATGAGTTGCAAAAAATATGGAATAAGTAGATAAGGTTGACCTACTTAATTGGTAATAATTATCGATATCGACATTAGCATAATTAGTTAGGTAACAGCACTACCGCATTCCTCAGGATGGACATGAACTCGCGCGCCTACTGTAGGTAACAATGATTTTTTTACGAAAAAAACTAGTGAACTTTGTTATAGCCGGGATTTTCTTCTTGTCTTGTCGACAATAAACCTACACAGTTTCAGTCCAAAAATCTGCTACAAGAGTAGCGTTATCAGTAGCATTCATTATATATTCCTGCGTGCAGTTGTTTAGGCATGCAGGGCACGACATCATGTGCTTCATTGACTGGGGAACACAAGCACACTTGCACTCCAAGTTTGAACCATCTGAGAATCGTCACCTGAACAGATTGTTCTTACTACGGCCGGAATGGTTACTCAACTTACACTCGTCAAGTTGTATGATCTAAAAATCTGTAAAAAACGTGGCTTCAGAAATATTACAGATAAAATGTGACATTTGTGTATTTTCACCTGCGCCCTTAATTGTTTTGGACAACCTTAATATGCATTGATTGTGATGGTTACCGCCTGGAGCCAAATATTACGAGCATTGCGAACCTCCTTAGCGTCCATGACGGTGCCGACGCCGACGGTGAGCGCCTGGCGCGGCACCTTGGAGATGTCGTTGCCGAAGAAGCGCTTGTTGGCCTCCAGCGTGTCGTAGGCCAGCGTCTTGACGCGCGTGCGCGACACCAGCGACGAGCCCGGCTCGTTGAACGCGATGTGCCCGTCGGGCCCGATGCCTGCAACAAGCGCCTTTCGTAAAAGATACCAGTTTGCGAATAATAAAATGCTATTTAGATACTGTAGTGAAGGTCGAAGGAACGGCTCGGAGGTGCCTGGATGCGGGTGGCGTAGGGACGGTCGTTGTGGATATACTCGGGGGAGGCCTTTGTCTAGCAGTGGACGTCATTTGGCTGAAACGAGATACTGTAGATAAGGAACTCCTTTTTTTACACAGGGAAATGTTTACGCCTACCTACTGGCCCATGGGGACGGCCAGTGGTTTATGTGGGATCTCCCATCCGGAAGGGCGGGACCTATCCAACTACCCACCAAAACCCGACAGTGTCCTCTGGAGCGCAATGAAACGGACCTACGGGTTAGTGTCCTAACTTGGACATTCGTTCGCGCCACTGTCTCATGCTTCGAGGGGTTCCCTCCTCCGGTTGTTTGAAAAGTAGTTTTCTCGGACCACATAGGTAGTTGTGAAGTCCCAGTTGCACCTGTCACCACAAAATAATTATTATGTTGGGTGGCATGAACGCGTACCCCCGATGAAGAGGTGCACGCCGCCGGCCTGCTGGATGAGGTCCTCGAAGCGCTGGCACTCGGCCACGAGGTCGGGCGCGTTGCCGTCCAGCACGTGCGCGTTGGCCGGCTCGATGTCCACGTGCCGGAAGAACTCGTTCCACATGTAGTAGTGGTACGACTCGGGGTGGTCGCGCGGGAGACCTGATCATAAGAAAACTTGCTTCAACTTTCGACCGTTTATTTATGCAAGTAGGCTCCCAGAGAGAACTTTTACACGTCTCAACCACACCTCTGCTCCGGGACAGTAATATGGATCAGTGCCGAGAAGAAGCAACGCTCGAAATATGCTCAAAAGTGTGAAGTTACGAAGGTAGTTAACCGTAGCCGTTTAGACAAGTTCTTCGTCACATAATGTAATTTTTTCAAGGTAAAGGTTGAGTCAAACAACAAAAAAAGAGAAGCAAAGCGGAACCGAGCCGCGAGCCGCACTCCGGTGACACTGACCGACATACTCGTCCATGTTGAAGGTGGTGACGTGCTTGAAGGAGATCTTGCCCTCGCGGTGGAACTGGATGAGCTTGCGGTACATGCCGAGCGGCGTGCCGCCCGTGGGCAGCCCCAGCACGAAGTGGCGGCCGGGCCCGGGCGCGAACTGCGTCACGCGCTGCAGCACGAAGCGCGCCGCCCACTCCGCCACCACGTCCGCGTCGTCCAGGATGATCAGCCGCATCGCGCCGCGCTACTCCGGGCCTCTTGGCTGCAACGGGTCGAGTCGAAAGCGTATAGCGTGCCGAAAATATCAAAATTATTTATCTAATTCGCTGAAGTTATTATATCAAGGTTATGCATACGTTCCCAGGATATGAATTATACTGTATCAGACGTAAAAAAATCATAACTCTTCTTCTGGAGCAGTCGGGTAAAAACTAATTTACTCTATTCACACTCATCATTTACCTCAGCAAACTATTTTTCAAAATGATGACATCCAAACAACATTTTTTTTTTACATCAGGCACCTACTCATATCCATTTTCAATTTAATTTACTAGCGAAGAAGTATTGGCTACATAATATAAAGTAATACAAGGCCGGTATAAGGTAAATAAAGCTTTAGACTATAATAATATGTCACTTAAGACAATACCAACATTAGATATTTTATTATATTTATAGCGAAGTAAATAGCTGTGTATGCGATTGTAATGTAAGGGCCAATAAGTTATCATTAGAGTGCATTACACTTGGTTGGTTTCCAAACATCGCGGTATCAATAAATACGAGATAAAAAGTCAATGTTCCAATTACAGTGAACACTGATAGGTGCAGTATAAAAGTACTTAAATACATTAGTATGGCTTTTTAGTCATTATGTTGGGTGATTATTTTGTGAAAAATTTCAATAATTATTTGCTAAAAGAAATAGGTTTTAAAATCGCACTAAATGGGTTGCCATGCATATTGCATTCTAGCGGGCCGGCCAGCATTGTGATTAACGGTATTCATTGAAAACAGGAAATTTGGCAATGCTTGCGTGATGACTTTAAATGCAATTTACAAACCCCCATAAATAGGTACGTAGGTGTCTTGGACGAATAAAAGGAATACATACTCTATATAAACGTACATATGTAACTATACAACGTGTCCCAAAATTCAACGATAAGCCGGCGTCGCAGGGTGGACATAGTCATGACTACTTTAGGAAAAATAAGAAAAAAAATCTATCTCAATTATTTTTTAAGTTACACAATAAATAATGAAATTCGTCGAAAATTGACACCCCTTATGATATGTTACATTACCACGGCCACAATTTTTCAAATACTTCTGTTTTTTTGTTTGTATCGGCAACTTAACTAGTGCTGCTGTCCACCCCAATTCTTAAAACCCCCAGAATCCTTGCAGTTTTTACACAAAAGTTAATCAAAATATGATATTTCCTTAAAATTTTGAACGATTTTTACTTCAACTCCACTTTGACTCGTCGTTTTGTAAAAAAAAAGTATGAACACTACTGCGGCAAGTTTTTTATAAAGTTGACGCAACTATCCAAGATTCCAAAATGGTATAATACTCTAAGAAAACTAGTCGCAAAAAAGATATGCGTACAATTTTTACAAGCACTTCGCTTGTTAGTAAGTATGGGATAAATCTTGCAACTGAATTTAAAACCAGTTCTCCTCAACCAATTGAGCTGAAATTTGGTATACTTATGTAAGTACGATGACAATGCAATATTATGATATCATTGAGCTGGATGGAGCCTGGAGGTGGCCATAGGAACTTCTAAACGAAACGGCGGAATTGCATCTAGTTTAGGTTCGTTGGATTTATCTTTTCGAGCACTTTAGTGCTAGATGATGTCCAGGGTCCTGATGATGAAGTCAAGAGGTGGCCAGAATCTGGCCATAGGAACTCCTAAACGAAACAGCGGAAGCTTATCGAGTTTGGGTTCGTTGGATTTGTCTTCCCGGGNATTTAGTAAGCTTTTATATTTGCTGTAACAAATTTTATCAAAAAAATACTTGTTTCTGATCTCATTTTGTCTAATATTTCGTTACGTTTTTTACGAATTTCGTTACGTTACGAAAAAGTACAACATAATGCTGAGTGTATACTGTTATTACCTGACTAAGCATAGTAATATTCACTACTTAATTAATTTCAAAAAATATAGAGCGTTAATAACAAAAGGATTGGATACTATCTGCTTTACAGAAGTGCCACCAGCAAAAAATTATCAAATCATTTAGATTACGTTTTTATGTGATTACTTCTTTTGTTTTTTTAGGAATGCCGCCAAAAACCAATGCCGAAAGGCAAAAAGCTTACAGAGAACGACTCAAAATGGATAAACATGATGGAACAAAAATAATTTTATTAAAATAGTATGAATGATTACTCCCTTATTTTATTTCTAACCCCTTAATATTACCCCGTATTTGGGTGCATACTTACAAATATTTCGAATTGAATAAATAAAGAGCATTCACAATATTTCGCCAATGTATAACAAGCCTTATGGCCTTACTATTTCGTTACTACCGTTTCGTTACGTACATTTTTTTTGAGAAATACTCAAATACATTAGTATGGCTTTTTAGTCATTATGTTGGGTGATTATTTTGTGAAAAATTTCAATAATTATTTGCTAAAAGAAATAGGTTTTAAAATCGCACTAAATGGGTTGCCATGCATATTGCATTCTAGCGGGCCGGCCAGCATTGTGATTAACGGTATTCATTGAAAACAGGAAATTTGGCAATGCTTGCGTGATGACTTTAAATGCAATTTACAAACCCCCATAAATAGGTACGTAGGTGTCTTGGACGAATAAAAGGTGTACATACATACTCTATATAAACGTATGTAACTATATACACTAGTAAATACTTCTATCTCCATACAATGTCATATACCTAAAACGTAGACTGATGTTCAACGTGCGCCTAACTTTTAAAAGTTATTATTATGTAGGTTCGAGTACAGTTAAAGGTTCTTATCGAACTTATTTTAACAGTGCAAGCCAGAGTGTATTAAACATCTACTTTACCTTAAGTAGCAATAGCATCGAAGAATAATACGAAACAAAAGAAACGTGATAGACCGGTTTTTTCACCCTCCCAAAATGCTTTAAAAGACAAGCAAGGTTAAATATTTTACTAAATGCACAATAAATGTAAGACTCTGCCATGTTTACTTTCAATGATTTTAATTTAGTACTAAGTATATTTATTGTATTAAAACGCTTGCCGATTCGATTATACTTATTTTTTTAGTCGGTACATAAACAAAAAAAAAGTTTTTGCATGGACAGTTGTTAATTATGAAGGCAATACTTACTTACTGATTAAATAAAAATCAATTTTTAGCTGAACAAGAAACAGCCAAAATATTTTTGGCAGGTCATTGCTCTGTCGCAAAGGTCACTCACCTTGGTGGTCGCCGCACTGACTCACTTGATATTGCGCGATATATTTCTGTTGCCTCCCTTCGGCTCGCTGTCGACGGAGTTTAGTAAAAACAAAACACAACCTCTACGATTGGTAAATAAATTGCTTGTGACACGAGTTATCAAGCGAAGCCCATGCTCGCTTATCAGTCCAGTCAGCTGCTCTCCGTGCTGAATGACAGTGGATGTCAATAGAGAATGCCGTCGTTGACAACATTGTGTTGCCATTTCAAAATATGATTCATAAAGTAGTAGTTTCATACCACTACCGCAACACCCCTCTGATGGTTCGGCGTTTCGACGAAGTCTTCGAATCCGAAGCCGCACTGAAGCGCCGATCATTTCGCAAGAAGTGTAGTAGCGGAGGTTTCAGGATTTAAATAAAAATCCTCAAATCCAATAAATGATGTTTATTTCTAATAATAATACTTATCAAGAGATTATTTAAAAAATTGAGAATTTCGCTAGGAGATAATAATCGTAATAGACAGAACAACATTAACAGTAACCACATAATCGATAAAACAAATTAGATATATAATATATCTTGATCGTTAAAAAATAATGCTATCAAGAAATGAACATCATTGCAGTACCTGTACGAGGAAACTGGAAATGTAGAAAAGTTTGTGAAAGCACATACTGCCATAAACGATCAGGAAGTAAAGAGAGCGAGTTGCGTGTCATCTTTACATAAGTCACACAACGCGGTGAACCTAAACGTTTTACTAATTCTAAGTGTATTTGTTTCATTAAAAATAGGTACAAGTTTGTTTGCCCACCATAGGCCGAAGGCTGAGCCGAATGACCTAATTTAACAACACCTCAATCTGTCGGTAAATATAATGGAAAAAATAGTCAGGTACTCGTATAAGAATACCATGCAGATAAAAACAGACTCGAGTGTGCCTCCACGAGGCAGCCGCGAGCGCGCAGGCCACTCGGCCCCGCCCGCGCAAACACAACTCCTTATTATAAAAATATCTTATGCAGTAAAATACAATATTTATTTGCGCATCGAACGATACAATGTCTTACGCTAAAATATTACGATACCGCTCGGGTAATAGGAGACATCAAGATATACAATAAATTAACCACGATCTGCGGCGATCACGTGTTGCGACGTCTTCATATCACAGAAAATTATAACAATTATTAAAAAATAATTCATAGTTGTTGAAATTTATGTTCCCATGGATTGGACATTGGTTTTGCGGGCCCGGAAAATATTAAAAACTAGCTTTCCGCCCGCGGCTTCGCCCGCGTGGAATTTTGTCTGTCACAGAAAAACTTTATCGCGCGCGTCCCTGTTTCAAAAACCGGGATAAAAACTATCCTATGTTCTTTCCCGGGACTCAAACTATCTCTATGCCAAATTTCATCAAAATCGGTTGCGAGGTTTAAGCGGGAAAGCGTAACAGACAGACAGACAGACAGAGTTACTTTCGCATTTATAATATTAGTTGGGATTAAGAATCGCAGAAATGCACTACGTGTCCAACGGAATATAGTATTTGACACCATTCCCTAATAATTCGAAATCACAACATTTTAAAAAGACACTTCAGTGTGGTTTTAAAAAACTTAATTAATTTTAAATTACCTGTAAATTAAGGTTTTTGGTTGCATTGTAATTGAAAAAAGAAGTTTAATTGAGTTGACAAAATAGTGATATCCCTTGCTTGTATTGCCATAAAAAATCTTTGGGAGTCTCGTTTTGACAGTTTTTAATACATCTATTGATTGGTGTCAACGCTTCTATTGAGTTAGCTTATGATCTACACTATAGGCTAACAGTTATGTTGTGTGATGATAATGGTTTAAACATATTCTTGTAGAGATTTCTACATTCTACTTCTAAATAAACAATCATTCGTAACGTTAGTAACTTCACATTTCAGAAAATAACAACTTGTTTAAGGCAATGGGAAATGACAAGCTATTACTACGAAAACCATCATTCTGACAAAAAGTTAAGGAAGGCACTCTTCACTCTTGGGTATCCTTTGATAACGAAAATAGGTTTTGGCACGTTTTTTTAAACAAACATTTTCATAAAGTCAAAGATAAGTATAGGATTATAAATGCAAAAATACCAATAACTGTATTTTGAAATTTTATCAAAATTTTAGCATCACCAGAAACATGAACTTCTAACGTTAAGAACTGAATAGGACAGGACTCTATAATAACCAAGAGGCGCACGCCAACGAAAACGAATACCACTAATAAACTATCATATCAACACGTAGCCCGGCGTGACATTCCCGAGCGTCCTCAACAGAAGGAACATAATCTAACTTATCACTAGTCCCTACTCCTTCACGCGTTCCCTTTTAAGTACGTTTCGAGGTCAGAACATCGGGAATAGCAACGTAAAAGTAATACAAAACGTAAGATAAGTTTCGAGCATCGCTCGGACAGACACGAACGCTTCGAAGCGCTCGTCGCACTCCTCGAACGGCACAAAAGCGTTACACGTAGGGAGCGAAATTACTGTTGTTAATGGTGAGCGCGGTGCGGAGGATGCGGCTGGCGGGCCCGTCCGCGCCGGCCGGCTGCGCCTGCGCGTTCTCCTGCTGGCGGTGCGGGGGCGGCTCGCAGTCGCGCGGCGGCGGCTTGCGCTTGGCGCGGGGCGCGACGGGCGGCGGGCGCGGCTGCAGCAGCGCCGGGTCGGCGCGGCGCGGCGAGGCGAGCGGCTGCCACTGGCGCCAGGAGCTGGGCAGGTCGCGCTCCGCCGCGTGCGCCAGCGCGTCCGTCAGCAGCTGCAGCGGGCCCGGCGGCCCCCCGGGGTGCTGCGCCGCCGCGCTGAGGTTGCGCGCGAACATTTGCTGTTGCCACTGAAGCTCGTGTTGAGCCAGGAGAGCTTTCGGGGGCTGTTTCCTCGCGTTTCGTCTCTGAGGGGGCCTCCTCGGTCTCTGGCGGGCCGCGGCGGCCGGGTCGGTTCCGTCAGCGCTCCCCCGAGCCGGCGGCGCGGGGTAGAGACCCCAGGCTCCCGGTGTCGCGGGCCGCTGCGCGGGGCCGTCGGCCGGTTGATGCCAGGGTGTGCCCGGAGTCAGAGCTCCCTCGACGCCGAGACGCTGCTGATGCCAGAACGGGTTCAGACTTAATGGCGCTCGAGGTGGAACCGTTGGGGTGCTGTCGTTTCGCAACGTATTTTTTCCGCCGCGTTTCTTGTGAGATCTGGCCGCATCTCGATGAAGGCCGGGTGTTAAAATGTTTCGCTGGGGGAAATAAGGATTAGGGAACGGTTGAGCGTTTTGGTACGATCGTTCCAAAGTTTGGCGGCTCATTTGCTGTAAAGGAGTTTCAGGTACTGGAAGCGATCGAGTCGCAGTTTGGTCGCTTGTGGGATAAGATCGGTTGTGACGCTGTTGCCATGGATTGGATGTTTCTTGTGCATTAGTCTGAATGTATTGCTGAGCGGGCAACATGTACGGGCGGTAGAAGTTTTGCTCCCGCTTCATCGTATGCAGAGGTTGTTGCATATCAAGCGCGTTGGATTTCAATAGACCTGCTTGACGTAAATAAAATTCTGGATTGATTAATTGTTGTGTGTTATTTTGATGTTCTCTATGCCCCATCAATTCACGTAGCCGCGCCCTATATTGATGAGTCGCTGACGGATCAGTTTGTCCATACCCCCCATGTGTTGATTCATTTTTGTGTTCTTGTATGGGCAAACTTTGTTGTTGATGTATTGGTTCTTGTTTGACAGACTGGTGACGTCTCATTAAGTCGGCAGCGTCGTTTTGCTGTCGTCGAGTCATATCTAATTCACGCCAGTAGGGTTCCGTCCGCGGAGGCAGTACTGGTATTTCTGGTATCTGGCTATATTGTTGGACTCCGATTTCTTTTGGTGTTAAACTCTGTGGTGGGATACCCAATTTATTACGATCGGAAGTTACTGCTTGATACCAAGAAGACAGATTTTGCCGTTCTAATAGCGTTCCCATTGGGTTTTGTTGATGCAGCGGTCGGGTATTAAACGATTTGCCTGCATCGTCTGGACAACGTATTTCCGGCTGATGCCAAGCAGGTCTTTTTGTAGCCGGGAGTTCTAATGGTACTTCAGGGAATGGACTTGGTTGATGTAATAACTCCCGTTTAATTTCTCCGTGCTGTAACTGTTCAGTTGAACCATTTAAATCTCTTCGTTGGTTTGCGAGGCTTTGCGTTTCTGAAGATTTATCTTGTTGGACTCCTGATACATCTAACTGAGCCCAATAGGGTTTATTAGTAATTGGTTGCTGCGTGTTAATTTCATTCATTGTAGATTTCTGAGTTAATTCCCGTGTGTTATATTTCTTCTGCAACAAAGATAACATAGCTGGCAAATTCTGGTATTGTTGCAATCTATCGAGATCTGTGTGGTTGTCGCTAGCTACGTCCGGACCACGGCCGAGTGCTTCCTGTTTGATGGCATTTTTAAGATATAGCTCTTGATATTGCGCGTGGCTTACATTGCGATCGATCGACTGATGACCAACTTGCAATTGATCAGTCACATCCTTTACCTCATCAAACTCAATCGGTATAATTTGAGGTTCGCTTGATTCTTGCTTCATTGAGTATGATTGTATTTGGGGCGTTGTGTGTCGAGTTACATTTTCGTGTCGGGCAGATGGCGCCTTGAAATGTTCAAAGTCCTTTTGGTGGTTTATTTCTTCTGGAAGATGCCAACTATTAGATTTATGTGTATTTTCAGTAGCAGGTTTTTCTGATTGCGGATCGATCAACTTTTGTTTAATTTGCTGAAACTCTTGAAGCAGTCGTTTTTGTGTGATATAATGGGAATGAGTATTTTGTGATTCTAGATTTATCACCAGTTCTTCTTTTTCGGCATTCTGTACATGGCATTGAGGATGAGTTATTTCCTGTTTGATTGACCGTTGACGTAGTTCTAACTGATCTGTCATTTCATTTGCTTCATCAAACTCAATTGGAATAGTCGGAAGATCAGGTTGCTCTTGCTTAATCGAGTGTTGTTGCATTTGGGGAGCTGCCTGTTGAGTCAGATCCTCCTGCGGAATAGACGGCGCCTTCAAGTGTTCAACATTCACATGGTATTCTTTTTCTTGAGGACGATGCCAACTGCCAGACTTGTGTGCATCTACAATAGCATATTTTTCAAATTGCTGCTCCTTCGTCACTTGCTTAGTTTGCTTTTCATGAAGCTGTTGCATTTGTGTTAAAGAGTCATGAGTATGTTGAATTTCAAGAAATATTTCACGGTTCGATTTGACGGTTTTTGGCACATGAACCTCTTGCGATTGTGAATGGATAGGTTCACGATTGGTAGACTGATTATGTCCTTCTAATTGATCAGTCATTATCTCATCAAACTCAATTGGAATATCTGGGTATTCAGGTTGCTCTTGCTTGATCAAGCGTTGTTCAATATTCACATGGTATTTGTTTTCTTCCGGTAGATGGCAGCTGGTACGTTTTTGTGCATCCACTGTAGTGGATTTTTCAAATTGTTGATCTATCATCTCTTGTTTAATTGGTTTCTCTTGAAGCTGCTGTTTTTGAGTGATAGTAGCATCTTTGACGGTATTCTGCACGTGAATCTCTTGCAACTGCGTATGGATCTCTTCACCATTGACCAACTGCTGATGTACTTCTACTCGATTAGTTATTTCCGTTACCTCGTCAATTTCAATTGGTATATTTGGGTATTCAGATGGCTCTTGCTTGATCGAGTGTTGTTGCGTTTGGGGTGCCGTTTGTCGAGTTACATATTCGTGATTCGATCGATGGCGTTTCAAAACGCTCAATGGCCACTCGGTGTTCATTATTTTCCGGGAAATGCCAACTGGATTGTATTTGTGCATCTATTGTAGTAGACTTTTCAATTAGCTGATCTACCAACTCTTGCTTAATTTGCTTCCCATTATGATATTGCTTTTGTGTGATAGTGTCGTAAGGGTGTGGTATTTCTTGTAAATTTTTGACGGCATTAGGAACATGAATCTCATGCAATTGTTGATTGATAACTTTACCTGTCATCAACTGTTGGTGTACTTCTTCTTGATCAGTCGTGTCGTTTTCCTTGTCAAAGTCACTTGGTATAATCGGATGTTCAGATTCTTTCTTGATCGTGCTTTGTTGCGTGCGGGGTGTTGCAAATTCGTGCTTGATTGATGGTAATGACACTTCTGGGATATGCCAACTTATAGATTTATTTGCTTCATTTGAGGCAGTTTTTTCATAGTGCTCATCTATCATTTCTTGCTTAATTCGTTTCTGTAGTAGTAAATGTTGTTTTCGTTTGTTTGAATGAATTTGCGGATCAGTAAGTATTTTTAATAATTCACTGCCATTATTATTCATCTGTTTTGACAAGTCGAGCGGTTCCGACTGTTTGGATTCAACGGAATCTGATATGTTTTCGACCGTCGATTGGGACGCAGCAGCAGGAAAGTCAACCTCTAAGTCACGGGACTTTCGAGCGTTCTTCTTTCGTGAATTCTGTTTCATTCGTTTTTGACTTTCAATAAGCAATCGCCTCAAGGCGCTGGCTTCAGCTCTGATACGTCGCTTGCGCTCCCTCTCCCTTTCGGCGTCGATAGTTTTTTGTAACTTGGGTCTACCTCTCTTTCGCTTCGGCGGGTCGAGTTTCGGCACTTCGACTTCGATCGGCCGGGCGGCCGACCTCGACAGAGTCGTCGACCGTAAATTACGGCTCGGGGGCGGGTCCGGGGCGGCTTCGTTATTTTCCGATTCAACCGCGGGTGCGTTTCGAGCGGGCGGTTCGAGCGGACCGGCCGGGCGCGCATTCGATCGCGAATTTCGGGCCCGTTTCTGGGCAGGAATATGTTTTTCAAAGTCACCCGGTGCGACGGTCTCAACGGGCACCTCGTACAGATACGTCACGCTCGCGGCGGCGCGGCGCGTGGCCGAGCGGAGGGTGCGGGGTGCAGGCGGCGCGGGGTCGGCGGGCGTTTGCGTTCGTTTTCTGGCTTCGGCACTCGCACTCGGAGCGGGCACATTTGCGGAGCTCCCCGCGACGGGCTCGTCCGCTGGAGGTTCGCGTTTTATAGGCGTCCCGTCCGATTTAATCAAGTGCGAATTTTCTTCGGACACCGCAGGGTCTCGTTCGGGTGCGTCGACGCTCCGCAGGCTCGAATCGTTTCCGTCTCCCTCGGGGCTCGGGTCTCGCGTTAAATTTTCGCCATCGACGATGGTGTCGGGCGATTTTATCGGGAGCGGCCTCCGCCCGGCCGGCTCCGCGGCCTCCTCCGTCGCGGCCGAGTCCCCGGCGTCGCATTTGACGGGCGTCCTCGACTTTCTCTTGTTAAGTTTTCTCGGGGCGGGGTTTCTCTCGGGGGGGTCGGGTTTCAGGAAGCAGTCGTCGGCGGGGGCGGTGGACGCGGACGCGGCGGGCGGCGGCGGCGGGCCCGCGGGCGCGGATCAGCAGGCCAGCGCGTGGGCGCGCGCGCGCTTCTGCGGGGGCTCGCCGTCGCCGCTCCAGTAGGCGTACTCGGGCAGGAACTTGACCAGCTGCGCGTCGAAGAACTCCTCCAGCCGCTTGGCGTCCTTGAAGAGCGCCGAGTCCGGCTGCGGACAGAAACGCGACAATCAGTCGGGAGCCTCTTTCGGTGGCGGCGCTGCTGCTTCGAAATTTCAGCACTCAAGGAATAAAAAGAAACAGAAGTTTTCAAAATGTCAGTAAGCAATAAATAATACGGTACCGGGTTGTAGTGGTAGGCGTTGCGGAACAGCAGGCGGCAGTCGTGCACGAACTGCGCCACGTGCGTGTAGCGCTGCGGCGCGCGCGGCTGCAGCTGCATGCGGATGGCGTCCAGGCACATCGGCCGCGCGATCTGCACGGGACAAGGTGCACCATTACGACATCTTAATCTGTAAATCTAGATAATATTTTGTATACCCATTCTTATAAGATACACCATACAAGAATGCATGGTAAATTCAGTGAACTGCTCCTGAATCGAATGTACCTACTACTGCTATTTCTATTTATTTATATTAACCGGCAGACAGTGGTGACTGAGTTTGTTGCGTCGCTTCTTCTCAGCAAAATGTTGCCAAATGTTGGTCTCGAAGCGCTGCTGGTAGGGTAAAAAGATTATGAGACATGTAGAGGCTCCTTAAGAGCAAAATGGCGATTTGTAAGAACTATTTATTAGTCTTAAACAAATTTTGACTTTGACACACACAATACCTAATATACGTTAGCATCTCGAGTTGGCACTCATTAGAGAGGGTGTGGAGTTGACAAAATTGGATGTTGGACAATAATAACTACTCATCATTATTTCAGCCACAGGACGTCCACTGCTGAACATAGGCCTTCCTCAATGAATTTCACATCTCACGTTCGGTAGCAGCCTGCATCCAGCGCCTTCCTGCTCATTTATGAGGCCATCGGTCCACCTTCGGACCTACGTCGGGCTACGTCAGCGACTTTAGTTCGTGTACGGAGAAGAAAACTAATTTACAACAAACGGCAAGCTCAAGAGGATAGGGGCATCGGTCGACCAGATCACCCCATCAACATGTCTACACTCGAGTCCACGCCTGGATCTCATAGTTGAGATCGCGGGAAAGAACGGTATGCGTCACACGGAGGAGGTACCTTGGAGTGGTTGAATGTGTCTCCTGGGGTCAGCTTATCCGACACCAGAAGATTATAAGTCCCTCTCACTCAAGCACTTGATTCACTACATATCGATGGCTCCTACGTATACTGGCGTAAGTAATAAAGTTTTTTTAAGTAGCCAGTATGGTTCTGGCTACTTAAATGGCTCTCCTGTAAAATCTATTTTTTTCACTTACGCTAGTATACGTAGGAGCCATCGATATATGGATATGGTCTTTTGCGGATGAGGGGATAAAGGTAAAGGGAAGCACAAAAGATCCCAATGCGTTGACGTGCACTGCGCTCACGCGCGGCCCTAGATAAGATACCTTTTTTTTTCTCTTTATTTGGGACAACAAACAGTTATATTGAGGGCTTATGTACTAAATCTTAATAATTTGAAAACTTTGTAACAATGCAACCAGCAGCATACCTTGGAGTGGTAGTGCAGGTTGTCGGCGGGCACGGGCTCGCGGAAGGGCAGCGAGGCCTCGTACTGGCAGTACAGCTCCAGCGTGATGCGCTCCACGAGGCGCTGCTGGCGCGGCGACAGCCCCGGCCCGCACCAGCCCTCGTCCTCGCCCGCCGAGTCCGCGAAGTTCACGCACAGCAGGCACTGCCAGCTCTCCGTCTCGCTGCAACCACCGACACCGCCGTAAATGATGTAACAGTAACGGGCTCAAATTCTCCAATCACCAGCATATCTACAAGAGGCCTGCGGGGCTACTCCGAAAAACTTTATCCGAAGTTTCGAATGTTGCCATTCCTCTCACGCAAAGCGAGATGCTAGCACGAGCGACGGTGACAGATAGACCCGAAACTATGTAAATAGTTTCGTAGTAGCCCTGCTGTAGCAGCCTAGATAGAGTTACACAAAAAATCACGCACAATGAAGAAACTAAATTCGGTTTCGATTGCAATACAAAACTAACTCATTAACAAATGTAACAGTGGTTTGGGGACCATTGAATCGACCCCAGGGCATGAATAGTTCTACTTGAAGTACAATAATAATGTACTCTCACTGTCAAGAAGTCACGATGGTGTCATAGTGAAGGAATTTCATAAATATCAAACTCATTGTTCTTAACGATAACCACGATACCGGCAAGATTGCAGGACGATAGGACTTGCCGGTATCGTGACTTCGTTTTTTGTAGCCGATGTGACTGTTGTGAATGAAGTGAGGGGCGTAGCTAACTCGTTTGGACTTCGTTCGGATTGCGAGTACCGTAGTAGTTATACAACGGGGACCCAGATACGTTCCAAGGTTTAAGCTACAGCTAGAGACGGCAGGAAGAAGGTAACTTTACACTAGTATACTAACTCGGGCAGCTTCTCGATGGTGGGGATGTGGCAGTACTGGTGGAAGACCTTGGGGCACTTGTCGCAGCACATGAGCTCGCCGCCGTCCATGCACACGGCGCACCAGTCCTCGTTGGGGTCGGCCGCGCCCGCCGCGCCGCCGCCCACGCCGAGGCTCTCGGCTACGGCTTTCGCTGCGACAGACAGTCAATCTGGTCATGGTCATCACCCGCTCTTCCAATTTGTGCAGAGTTAGATGAGATGAAAATAGACAATTTCTGAAGGAACAGTTTTATTTTTTTATAACTAAATATGTGAAATATGGGATGGAATATAGTCGAACATAGTAATCTTTTTGTCTTAACACCAACTTTGTGGCTAAAATTGACAATAATCTTATGAGGTATAAAGTGTGTTTGGTCTATGGATAGGTCATGCATGCTTTGAAGGAGGGGCTTGGGCCTCTCGACCCACGTGCGCTAGAGGTTGCCTCAGGGGGTTTGTGTTAGGCCGCGTATTCACTAAAGTACCGGACTTTAANGTCCGTGAGCACGTAGAATTTTGTCCAATGACCCCAAGCTACCCATCCTTGTCGCTCGCGCGTAATTATGTTGTTGTCGCGCTCGCACAATCACTGCGGGCGCCCGTCGCACAGTCGCGACAGCAATATAATTACGCGCGACCAATAAGGATGGGTAGCTTGGGGTCATTGGACAAAATTCGACTATAGACTACTAGAGGAAGCCTCAGGCCGAGCTGCTGCCTCGTCATGAGCGGCAAAATGTGTCTCGGTCCGCGGCGACGAAATTTGCCTCGCAACGAGTCGTGACTCAGATTGAGGCAGCGTCTCCAACTTTCGCGTCCACACTGGACGCATGGGCTCACGAGTCACGATTGATAGCTCGCTCGTGAGTGAGCACGATCTCGAGCGTGGCTCGCGAGCCCATGCGCCCAGTGCGGACTGGTTTCGAGCAGCCGCGGGTGCGTCTTTCCGTTCTATACATAGCCAGAACGCAAGGGTGTGAAACTAATCGAGTATAGTTTGGAAATTACTTTTTACTGAGCTCCTCCAAACTATACACGACCAGTACGCATATGCTGCGTACTGCTCGCGTATACTTAGGTCAATTATCTTGCTCCAAAATATAAATACACGATCGTTACGCAAAATTCGTGTACAGTTTGTAGTCACAGATTTACAAACAGGCACTACAAAATAAGCCGTGTGGTGACGGCAGAGTAGAATACATTTGTCACCAACCCCTACTCTTCCCGCGGGTGTCGTAAGAGGCGACTTAGGGACTACACATCAAACAGAGAATGGGCAGCAGCGCTCTCTGAAAAACATCAATCTTTTAAACTGCGATCTCGAACCCGCCTGCCAAGCGTGGAGATTATGGCAAAACCCTCCACTATAGTGGAGGAGAGCCTCCTCCACTATAGTGGAGGGTGGATAGTCCAGCAGTGGACTGTAAAGGGCTGTTGATGATGATTGATGACTACAAAATATACACGAGCAGTTTCCTATGGGTGCGTTCTGGCCATGTATAGGACGGCAAGGCCTGTAGCGGAGCCAGCCGGGCAGGTACCGGTGGCGTCGACGTCGGTGCTGGAGTGCACGTGCGGCGCGGGCGAGGGCGCGGAGGCGGCGGGCGGCGCGCGCTCGGGCCGCTCGGCCACCACCTGCACGCCGTTGGAGTCCAGCTTGGCGATGGTGGCCATGAGGTCCTGCACCGACTCCGCGCACACCTTGTCCAGCTCCAGCGCGCCGCCCACGCCCTGCGGACCGGACAGGACAGCCGAATGAGTTCCAGCGAGAGATTGGTGCCGTTCAGTTTTTAACTAAAATAGTAGGCTGGTTTTAGAGTCGCGCTGACCGCTCGCTGATCGTCGGCGCTGATTGATCAATATGTATGTAATTGAAGGGAACGTTCCTGAGTCGCTGATCGCTCGGCGCCGACGCTTCATACATTTCGGCTGTCAGCGCTGACTGTCAGCGTGCATTAGCGTGACTCTAAAACCAGCCTAAGACACGGGTCTTCTTAACGCGACGTTTAATTACGTCAAGCCGTGAGTACATAATGTAACTCATTTGTAAACGCCGCGTTAAGAAGACCCGTGTCTTACTATTTTAGTTGAAATGGAACGCGAAAGTTTAAAATCTTATACTAAGTTTTCAATAAAATGATTTTAATGTAACAGTTCCGGGTCTTAAAATTTCTATGATCAGTATAAAAAGTGAATCATTGCATGACTAATACTCGTTTTCACCATCAATCCCTAATTTTTAAGTGATCCCTTTGAAAATAAAATTCATGTTAAGTATGTTACCATAGGGGTCACTTAAAAATTAGGGATTGATGGTGAAAACGGGCATTACTTGCTTACCCCTGACACTTTACCTATCAAATTCTAGCTTTTCTGCAACGTCACTGTTAGCGCCACTGTAGAGAGGTTCTGTCAATTGCTCATGCAAAGACAGTGGCGCCAACTCGTGAGCATTGACGCGGTAAGAGGACTATCATGTTTGCTCGCACTAGCTAGACCACTGTAGAGCCTCCTGTTACTTGACAGTGGCGCCAACTACTGAACACAAAAAAAATAGAGCCCTCGTTGTCCATATCAGCTGTGCTCACACGTGTTAGAGCCACGATAGGCCGGGTACTCACGTTGAGGCTGGGGCTGGGCGTCTTGGGGTTGGTGGAGGTGACGGCGGCGGGCGCGGCGGGCGCGCGCGGCCGGCCCAGCGTGATCTTGTACTCGGGCCCGCCGCACGCGCCGCCGCCCAGCGCGCCCGCGTCTACGCCGCCTGCGGAAACATAACCTATGTCACTGTACATCATCGTTCACAGTTTAATCTACGCCAGGGTGCAGGGTGATTTCTCTAAATGAAGATTGTCTCAGTACTCTCAAAAACACTGGCAGTCGCGGACGTTGCTTCTGCTTCTTTCGCTTTAAATGTGAGTCTAGATAGCCCGACTTTTAGACGTCACAAGTCTCCAAGGACACATCAACCACAGGACGTCCACTGCTGAACATAGGCTTCCTCCAATGATTTCCACATCGCTCGATTGGTACCGGCCTGTATCCAGCGCCTTCCTGCTACTTTCAAGAGGTCTTCGGTCCACGTGGTTATCGATAAACACAAACAAGGTGGCTACGTCGTACCGTTGGGCGCGTTCTGCTGCGGGATGTGCCACTTGGCGGGCTGGTGCGGGTAGTTGGGCGCGGGCGAGGGCGTGCGCGGGCCGCCGCTGCGCCGGCCGGAGCCCGCGGGCGGCGCGGGCGCGGGCGCGGGCAGCGCGTTCACCGCGCTCACCACGTTGTACGCGTTGGATGCGTACGCGCCCATCACTGCACAGAATAAGGTATTTAGGTTATTCGGCGAAAACCTTAAGGTGATTATAATGAAAGTTCAATATTTTTCTTAAATCTAAAAGTGATAAATAAAATAGTGTTGGTAAATGGTAAGTTTGGCAGTCATAACAACTAATCGTTTATTTATCATCATCATTTCAGCCATAGGACGTCCAGTGCTGAATGTGAATCGCGCAGTTCACATTAATAAACAGACATATAGCAGAGACTAACTACAACCCGTGTATCATTCATACGGTCTCCCAACATGGCACACTGAACATAGGCCTGCATTCAGCCCCTTCCCCGCTACCTTTCAAGAGGTAGTCGGTCTACCTTGTGGGTGGACGTCCTACGCTGCGTTTTCCGGTACGCGGCCTCCACTCCAGAACCTTGCTGCTCCATCGGCCGTCAGTTCTGCGTACTACGTGCCCTGCCCGTTGCCACTTCAGCTCGCTAATTCGTCGAGCTACGTCAGCGACTTTGTTTATTTATTGTTTTACGGGAATGCGTAGGTATAAGCGCGTGTATAGGTATATTTGTGATGTGTGCATCCTAAAAGACAAAACCATTGAATCCACGCATGTATAATATGACGATTCATTCTCCACGGGTAGCGCCTGTCTGTTGTATGAGAGGAACTGTAAGGGCATTGCCACACTGGCGTAATACCAGCGTTTTCGGCGGAGACGCCGCGCAACGTTTCCGCATTGTGTTCGCCGCGAAGCCGCGACGTGATGACTGCGTCGCCGCTCGGCTTTGAAAATGCTTGCAGTCCGCCAGTACGGCAGCTCACTAAAGTATGACGTTGTTGCATGACTATAGTCTGGGAGCACGCGACTGTGGGACGGGCGCCCGCAGTGAGCAATATAATTACGCGCGAGCGATAAGGATGGGTAGCTTGGGGTCATTGGACAAAATTGTACGTGCTCACGGACCAGGCTTTAGTTTCAATACAATATCAACGCTACACTCACTCTGCTGGTAGGCGTGCTGCATGGCGGCGTGCGCGGAGGGGTGCGCGGCGGGGTGCGCGGAGGGCAGAGGCGCGCGCGCGGGGGCGGCGCCTCGTTGTGCTTGCGCGCTCAGCAGCCCGCGAAGGTTCATCTCGTTCATGCCTGCAGTACATTTACAACTCATAGAAGCGGTACGGTTGGTACACTTTTGAAGGCACACTGACGAGCATTATACCACATAGAAAAGTACAGTAGTCGTATCTACATCAATTATATTTCTACCAGCAGAGTAAATACAAATGAGTAGGTCATCTTCATAGAAACGGACCGAGCGCGGTTTGTATGTGAGCGCGCAATACGTATGCGGCGCGCACGCACACACTGATAAACTTCGGCGCAACACCCCCGCTAATCCACGCTAAACCTACTCATTTGTATTTACTCTGCTACCAGTAACATATTGCCATAAAAATATTGCTCATTTCAAAATCAATGTAACTCTCATCAATAGGCTAGTTTCATTAAAAAATATTGGCCTTTCTACTTGTCAATCCAACAAGTAATAAAATTATGAAGTTCCGCGTGACATCACAAAGCGCTACTTTTAAGCACGAACGGGCCTCTTCTTTTGAACTTTGGCACGCATTATCTCTTTCAATTTTTAATAGTGAAAAATACGTATCGAGTATTTTTTGATAAGTTAACTGACGGACTAATTAAAACTTGCTTTTTTACCCAGGAAACATCCCTATTGCCTCATGTCACATAGACGTTGAAATCAAATCAAAAATATTTATTCAGTTTAGACCACAAGTGGCACTTATGAACGTCAAAATATTACTATAGAAAATATTAAAAAAAAAAAGTAGCCCTTAGGCGGTTATCACACTGCGCCGCGCTCCGCAGATTTCATATAAAAAAACACGCGCGCGGACGCGTTGTCAGTGTGAAGTGCCGCGCGTGTTTTCCATACAAACTGAGGTACTTGCATACAATTATTAAATCTGTCGCCCCGCGCTTCGCGACGGAGCGCGGCGCAGTGTGATAACCGCCTTATGGGGCACTTTACATAAATAAATAATAAATAATAAATATCCTTGGACATTTTACACTGCGCTTCTAGTCCCAAACTAAGCAAAGCTTGTACTATGGGTACTAGACAACGGATATAAACATACTTAAATACTTTTTTTTTTGTAAATACATACATATTATACATAGGAAACACCCAGTCCAATACAAACAAATATGTTCATGCACACAAATGTTTGTACTGTGTGGGAATCGAACCCGCAACCTCCGGAATAGTAGTCCGTTTCGAACCACTACACCAAACGGCCGACAAACATATGGCAAGTGCTGAGAAGAAAGTTGGTCCTGTCAACTCACCGTGCAGGTGGTGCGGGTGCGTGGTGGAGGTGACGTGCGGGTGTCGCAGCGGCGTGGGCGGGCGCGCGTGCCGCGTCTGCAGCAGGTAGCCGCCGCCGCCCGGCACCGACTGCACGTACGACTGAAACATCGCGGGCCACACGCTCAACTGGTGCGTCTTATGCACTCGTAATAAGAACTAGCTTGCGACTGAAATGTCTAGCCGATGTGCGGGCGACTGTACACAGAAGCGGGCTAACGAAAATTGGATAAAGGATCAGTGACTTGAAACGATGATAGAGCCAAATAGAGCCACATTTTACAAAGTATAGGTCAAATAAAATGTAAAGTTTACGTAAACACAAATAAATAAATATCTTGTTATGTTATCCGATTGTTCCTGGGCGGGCTCAACTGGCATCCGCAGAATACCAGTGGTCGTGACGCGCTCTCTGCCGTCACGGCGTATACTGAGCTGATGCCATTTTGGTGCTTGTACCCGTTCAGTTGTCTAGTTTTAGTTGTTATCTTGCTGTGTACTTGCATCGAATAAATACATTTCTTTCTTTCTTTCAAATAGCGCAAGCTTATTACCATTTATCAAAAACTCTCTCAAAATACCTGCTAAACAATGTGGTAATAACCAGACTCGGTTCTTTGCATTATGTTGATTACGTAAATCACAGCAGCCTATTTATAGTCCAGTAGAATTAGCTTTTAAATCGGAAATAATTNCGCGTTCACCGCGCTCACCACGTTGTACGCGTTCGATGCGTACGCGCCCATCACTGCACACAATAACATATTAAAGCTGGTTTTAGCAGGCCTGTTCATCTCCGCGAGTTTACATTGAAAACAAAACACGCACGATGGCCCACCTATAGGACACTATTCGACAAGGCCTCACATACGAGCGAACATTGACTCACGCACGCGTATTCTTGTGTATGATGGAAGAAAATAATACTGTGCAGTATTTAACTGCCTAAATAATAATAAAAACATAGAATGTACTTTTTTAAGTTGCCTCAAGACACTGGGAGGTAAATAAGTAGTTAATATTATTCATGATAATTCATGCTAAATCATGTATTTCCTCCGCCATTTTCCGCAGTTTGGCACCTCACGTCACATCATTTTACCGAAGTCAGCAGCTATAGCTTCGGCGCAGTGCCGATCACTGACGTTTGTCAACAAAATGGTGCTTGACTCTTGAGACAGGCTAGATTATGTGTGCATCCAACAAGAAACCTAAAAGACAAAACCATGGAATCCACGCATGTATATTATGACGATTCATTCTCCACGGGTAGCGCCTGTCTGTTGTATGAGAGGAACTGTAAGGGCCTTGCCACACTGGCGACTTACCAGCGTTTTCGGCGGAGACGCCGCGCAACGTTTCCGCCTTGCGTTCGCCGCGCAGCCGCGACGTGCCGGCTGCATCGCCGCTCCGCTTTGAAAATGCTTGCAATCCGCCAGTGTGGCAGCTCACTAAAGTATGACGTGGTTGCATGACTATAGTCTGGGAGCACGCGACTGTTGAACGGGCGCCCGCAGTGAGTGTGCGAGCGCGACAGCAATATAATTACGCGCGAGCGATAAGGATGGGTAGCTTGGGGTCATTGGACAAAATTATACGTGCTCACGGACCAGGCTTTAGCAGGCCTGTTAATCTCCGCAAGTTTACATCGAAAACAAAACACGCACGATGGCCCACCTACAGGATACTATTCGACAAGGCCTCACATACGAGCGAACATTGACTCACGCACGCGTATTCTTGTGTATGATGGAAAAAATAAAGAAAATGGTGTACTAAATACTGTGCAGTATTTAACTGCTTAAATAATAATAAAAACACAGAATGTACTTTTTTAAGTTGACTCAATACACTGGGAGGTAAATAAGTAGTTAATATTATTCATGATAATTCATGGCACATATTTCCTCCGCCATTTTCCGCAGTTTGGCACCTCACGTCACATCATTTTACCGAAGTCAGCCCTATAGCTTCGGCGCAGTGCCGATCACTGACGTTTGTCAACAAAATGGTGCTTGACTCTTGAGACAGGCTAAATTACACCATATTGTTAAAGACATTGAGCATACATTGTTTTTAAATACCTTCGCGAAGTAAAACTTCTGTACGTAGTACTTATTATCATTCTGTGGTTTTAGTGTCACGCGGACTGTCAGTGCGGATCGCTCCGCACAGCCGATTTGTATGAACTGCTAGGGAGCGGAGCGTTTCCTCCGGACCGCATTACTCTAAAACGCTCCTTACAAATTCATATAGATTGGCCGTGCGGAGCGGACGGTCCGCGTGACACTAAAATCAGCCTTAGGGTGTTCGGCGAAAACCTAAAGGTGATTATAATGAAAGGTCAATTTTATTTAATCCAAAAGTGAAAAGTGCCTTTGGTAAATGGTAAGTTCGACAGTCGTAATTAATTAATCGTTTATTTATCATTATCATTTCAGCCATAGGACGTCCACTGCTGAACATAGGCCTGCATTCAGCCCCTTCCCCGCTACCTTTAAGAGGTAGTCGGTCTACCTTGTGGGTGGACGTCCTACGATGCGTTTTCCGGTACGCGGCCTCCATTCCAGAACCTTGCTGCCCCATCGGCCGTCAGTTCTGCGTACTACGTGCCCTGCCTGTTGCCACTTCAGCTCGCTTATCCGTCGAGCTGTGTCAGCGAGCGGTTCACGGGAATATAACTTATGCATAGATATAAGCGCGTGTATGGGTATATTTGGGATGTGTGCATCCAACAAGAAACCTAAAAGACAAAACCATTGAATCCATGCATCTATCATATGACGATTCTTTCTCCACGGGTAGCACTAGTTGCATGAGAGGAACTGTAAGGGCCTTGCCACACTGGTGAATCACGAGCGTTTTCGGCGGACACGCCGCGCAACGTTTCCGCTTTGTGTTCGCCGCGAAGCCGCGACGTGACGGCTGCGTCGCCGCTCCGCTTTGAAAATGCTTGCAATGCGCCAGTGTGGCAGCTCACTAAAGTATGACGTTGTTGCATGACTATAGTCTGGTCCGTGAGCACGTAGAATTTTGTCCAATGACCCCTAGCTACCCACTAGCGCCCGTCGCACAGTCGCGACAGCAACATAATTACGCGCGAGCGATAAGGATGGGTAGCTTGGTGTCATTGGACAAAATTGTACGTGCTCACGGACCAGGCTTTAGTTTCAATACAATATCAACGCTACACTCACTCTGCTGGTAGGCGTGCTGCATGGCGGCGTGCGCGGAGGGGTGCGCGGCGGGGTGCGCGGAGGGCAGCGGCGCGCGCGCGGGGGCGGCGCCGCGTTGGGCCTGCGCGCTCAGCAGCCCGCGCAGGTTCATCTCGTTCATGCCTGCAGTACATTTACATCTCATAGAAGCGGATCGGTTGCTATACACAGAAAGCACACTGACGAGCATTATACCACATAGAAAAGTACAGTAGTCGTATCTACATCAATTATATTCCTACCAGCAGAGTAAATACAAATGAGTAGGTCATCTTCATAGAAACGCACCGACCGCCGTTTGAATGTGAGCGCGCAATACGTATGCGGCGCGCACGCACACACTGATAAAATTCGGCGCAACACTCCGCTAAACCTACTCATTTGTATTTACTCTACTACCAGTAACATATTGCCACAAAAATATTGCTCATTTTAAAATCAATGTATAGCCTGACCAGGAACATAAAAACCCTGGCATAGAGGCGCGTCAATTGCATTTGACAGTGCAACACTGAGTACAGTCGTACCTGTGTTAAATTAATAGGCTAACTTTATGTATCAGAATTCAGGATTACGGGCTAATTTGATATTTTCATAAATTAACGAAAAAATATTATTATAGGTAACCTGATTTAAATAAATTAAATGAAACCATCAATCGAGCTAGTAGATTTATTTTATTATTCATCAATAATCAAATTCAGAACTTGAATATTCAACTGCAATGTCTGCTCATGAACGCTTCAAACTCGGTACTTCTTTCCCAATCCCATCAAATTCAACACTTAGAAAGTGACAAAATTTTTAAAATAGGTAGTTGAAACAAACCACAGCTAATTTTCATAGTGGACTGTACTATACGATAAACATGTCAGTCAATTTGACAACCTTTGTCGGAAACATTATTCAATGAAAATATTGTCCGAACCCTTAGTATTTCTCTTCGACGAGTACTTTAACACATTGTGAACCACTTTTCTTTCACGACTATAAAAATATTTTAGCAATTTAATTCATAAAACCAATTGCGCACATTTAAAATAAACTTTGTTTACACTTTGACAGCAATAGACTGACATGCAAGGTGACATGTCAATGAAGTTTTTAGTTACTGTTGCCATTAAAAGAAATTAGTACTATTAGTTTTCCGCAACATGGCGAGGGTTTTTATGTTCCTGGTCAGGCTATAACTGCCGTCAATAGGCTAGTTTCAATAAAAAATATTGGATTTTTTACTTGTCAATCAAACAAGTAATAAAATTACGAAGTTATAACGTTCTGCGTCACAAAGCGCTACACTTTTATGCACTTCTTGACGTCACGCACGGGCCAGTTCTTTTGAACTTTAGCACGCTTTATATCTTTCAATTTTTAATAGTTTAAAAAGTGAAAAATACGATTTTTTGATAAGTTAACTGACGGACTAATTAAAACTTGCTTTTTTACCCAGGAAACATCCCTATTGCGTCACGTCACAGACGTTGAAATCAAATCAAATCAAATCAAAAATATTTATTCAGTTTAGACCACAAGTGGCACTTATGAACGTCAAAATATTACTATAGAAAATAATAAAAAAAAAGGTAGCCCTTAGGCGGTTATCACACTGCGCCGCGCTCCGCCGCGCTCCGCGGATTTCATATAAAAAAACACGCGCGCGGACGCGTTGTCAGTGTGAAGTGCCGCGCGTGTTTTCCATACAAACTGAGGTACTTGCATACAATTATTAAATCTGTCGCCCCGCGCTTCGCGACGGAGCGCGGCGCAGTGTGATAACCGCCTTATGGGGCACTTTACATGTCTCCTTATCTTTTGGGCCCTACCAGCGCTTCGTGACAATCATATGGCATAAGAAAGTTGGTCCTGTCAGCTCACCGTGCAGGTGGTGCGGGTGCGTGGTGGAGGTGACGTGCGGGTGTCGCAGCGGCGTGGGCGGGCGCGCGTGCCGCGTCTGCAGCAGGTAGCCGCCGCCGCCCGGCACCGACTGCACGTACGACTGGAACACACCGGCCACACGCTCAACTGATGCGTCTTATGCGCTCGTAACAAGGACTAGCTTGCGACTGAAGTCTAGCCTGATGTGCGGTCGACTGTACATAGAAGCGGGCTAGCAAAAATTGGATAAAGGATGAGCGACTTGAGACGATGATAGAGCCGAATACATTTTACAAAGTGTAGGTCAAACAAAATTTAAAGTTTACGTAAACACAAGTAAATAAATATCTTGTTATGTTATCCGATTGCTCCAGGGCGGGCTGCGCCTTTTACCTCAACTGGCATCGGCAGAATACCAGTGGTCGTGACGCGCTCTCTGCTGTCACGGCGTATACTGAGCTGATGCCATTTTGGTGCTTGTACCCGTTCAGTTGTCTAGTTTTAGTTGTTATCTTGCTGTGTACTTGCATCGAATAAATACATTTCTTTCTTTCTTTCAAATAGCGCAAGCTTATTACCATTTATCAAAAATTCTCTCAAAATACCTGCTAAACAATGAGGTAATAACCAGATTCAGTTCTTTGCATTATCACCCGTATTCACAAACGATGCTTGCTTAAGTGAAGCAGCAGATCGAACGCACAGCGTTGAATAGAGCTCTGTGATTGGTTCGTGGGTCACCCTGTGCGTCCACGCGCACTGTGAGACCTCATAGTAATGTTTGTGAATACGGGCTTATGTTGATTACGTAAATCACAGCAGCCTATTTAACAATAAACATGCAATCTTATTACGACATGACGTTACTATCGACTACCAAATGGAATGCTATCAGATGCTAAACTAAACCAACACAAGTTAAAAAATATTAAAACGTGGGAACACACTAGAATGATTAAAAATAACAAGAGTAAACTGCAAAAATTACCCCAGTATCTGAAACATTCATTAGAAAACAGCAAGCTATTTTACAGATTAAATTACAGCACTCGCCAAATAACTTTAAATTCGAGTCTCGTCATGCCTCAGTAGCGTATTTGTTATTTGGTGAATACCGTGTGTTGACTGTTGATCACGATTGAACCTATAGCCATGCACGTGGACTAATGGAGCACTAACAAGAGGAGACGACGACACAAAAGCTACGACTACAGGGTACTCTGACTGACCTGGTAACGCGCCAAAGTCTAAGACATGTAAATAATTTGGAGTTCCTCGTTATTTTTAGTTTAAAATTATTTATAAAATTATTCCAAATTACTGTCGAACTCGTCGGATTAACTCGGTCACAGATTTAGTTTTAGCTAACATATTGTGATATGCATAATTAGTCATTCTAAGTAGCATGCGATGTTTCAACATGATCGACAACCACCGCTGAAATAATCAGAATATCTTTCACCGAAATGTTACTTCATAATGTTGCTCGCTATCATCATCGGAGATCAGCGGACGGCGGAAATATTTATAAATTAATAAGCGTTCGTTCAACAACAAATTTTACTTTACTCTTCTTTATCAGAACTCGCAGCGACGTGGCAGCGACCGCCGAGGCGCCGTGACCGTTAACTGGCTAGTGACTGCCACAGAGCTACAGAAACNTGACCCCATTGGGATGGGTATTGCACGGGTCCTCCACTAGAAACCTAGGAAGAAACGTGCACTACGTCTACAGAGCCGACGAGAAACTTATAGAAGAAGAATCGACTAATTTCAGTCAAAGGCGACGAGTTCCTACAACACAGAATGTAGCAGACGACGCTACACGCGATACATCGAAACAGTTCAAATCTTCGCACAGATGGTTCACCGGACTGCCATTTCTCCGAGGAGTCCGAGGACCCCCAGAAAGTCGGCCACAAGAAAAAACAACGAAAAATAAGCAGAAATATCCGCAGCGGCCGTCTCCTGCCAGAAAAAGACATGCAACAGTTCCGCTTACGTGTAACGAAGAAATTGCCATTAATAAACCGTCAGGCGCAAGTCAAAGATCGCAAAACCGGCGGGAGTCGCCACTAAATGGAAACCGGCGGGAGCCATTGAAACTCCAACACCGGCGGGAGCCCCATGGCCGGGGAGCTCCCTTGAAAGTAGAACGACTTAGTCGTCGACCGCAACTTACCTCGCAATACTTGGCCCCGAGGGAAAGTCATCGCGACGTATCCGGGACNTTAGGAATCAGTTTCCTATGTATAATTTTTAATTAGTGCCTTTAATTATGACAACTGTTTTTATTTGACAAAGTACAAGTATTTACTTATAATTTAAAAGTAAATTAAAAACTGGAAGGGTATAAATTTGTTTTGATCATCGGTTTTCAATTTACCACAATTCTGATGAAAGAAAATGAGTATGCTCAATGCATGAAATGGGAGCGTAACAATTTTATTTATTTATAAAATATGTTATTCCATTTCAGTAGCCCATAAATTGTATCACCAAGTATAAATTGTAGCCCATAAGTGTATGTTCACATACATCTTCGGATCTCAGTACTAAACTTCCAGATTCGCACTAAAAGTCATCTCGTTTGACTAAAAGTGCTTGAAAATTTCAGATACCGTAAAAATCACGAAAAATAATATTTGTATTGAATTTTATTCAATTGACAAAGCTAAAAATATACAGGGTGTCCCGTAATGTAACGTCAAGCCGGAACTGGGTGTTGAGGCAAGTTATGCTGGTTATCAGAAAAATATAAAAAAAAATCTATGTGGCATATTTTCAAAATAATGGGCATTTAAAAAAAATCAAAAATTTCTACTCCAGGTGACGGTCTTTTTACTCGTGTTGCCACAAATCTTCACTTTTTCCAAATTTTTTTTTTCTTATGTAACCCTTNCTTTATGGGCAACCAATGAAGCCATTAAAGCAAAAAAATCTTTTGTAGGAATTATTTCCGATTTAATCAATTTTTGTGTTTAATTCTACTGGCCTATTAACAATAAACATGCAATCTTATTACGACATGACGTTACTATCGACTACCAAATGGAATGCTATCAGATGCTAAACTAAACCAACACAAGTTAAAATATATTAAAACGTGGGAACACACTAGAATGATTAAAAATAACAAGAGTAAACTTCAAAAATTACCCCAGTATATGAAACATCCACTAGAAAACAGAAAGCTATTTTACAGATGAAATACAACACTCGCCAAATAACTATTTAAATTCGAGAGCTTTTCTGGAATTCTTGTCATGCCTCAGTAGCAGATTTGTTATTTGGTGAATACCATTTATGTGTTGAGAACGATTGAACCTACAGTCATGCACATGGACTAATGGAGCACTAACAAGAGGAGAAGACGACACAAAAGCTACGACTACAGGGTGCTCTGACTGACCTGGTAACGCGCCAATGTCTAAGACATGTAAATAATTTGGTGTTCCTTGTTATTTTTAGTTTAAAAAATATATGATTCCAAATTACTGTCGAACTCGTCGGATTAACTCAGTCACAGGTTTAGTTTTAGCTAACACTAGCGGCCGCCCGCGACTTCGTACGCGTGAATCCCGTTTTTCCCGCTAATTCCCGTCCCGTGGGAATTTCGGGAATTCCTTTCTTAGTGCACCTCTACGGTACCTAAGCTACGTCCCTTCCAAATTTTAAGTGCCTACGTTTAGCCGTTTAGGCTGTGCGTTGATCTGTCAGTCAGTCAGTCCGTTTCTCCTTTTATATATTTAGAAGATATTGTGATATGCATAATTATTATTAGTCATTCTAAGTGGCATGCGATCGATAACCACCGAAACAAATTTTACTTTACTCTTCTTTATCAGAACTCGCAGCGACTGCCGCGGCGCCGTGACCGTTAACTGGCTAGGCGACTGCCACAGATCTACAGAAACATCGATTGAACATTTAAACTTTCACATGACACGAGGTCGTATGCTCACCTGGTGCATGGCGACCTGCTGGAGCGCGACGACGGCGGAGTGCGGGGGGGCGGGCGGCGCGGGAGGGGCGGGGTGCGCGGGCGGGGCGGGTGGTGGCTGCGCGGGCGGGTGGTAGGGGCCCTGCGCGCCGCCCGCGCCGTCCACCTTGCCGTCCACCACGATGGCGCCGATGCTCGACAGCACTGCCAGGGACGACACAATACGTCATCAATCATTCTTATCTTAAGGGATCTTTCAAATTATTGAAAGAAAGGAAGAAAGAAATAGACTTTATTGAACACAGTGGGCGGGGCACATAGCTCGAAGAGCTGACGGCCGCTGGGGCAAGAAAGTTCTTGAGTGGCGACCACGAGCTGGAAGAAGTAGCGTGGGCAGGCCTCCCACTAGGTGGACCGACGATCTGGTGAAGGTCGCGGGAAGTACCTGGATGCAAGCGGCGCAGGACCGGTCTTTGTGGAAATCCTTGGGGGAGGCCTTTGTCCAGCAGTGGACGTCTTTCGGCTGAAACGAACGAACGAACGAACGAACACAGCAAGCGCAAATTATAAACAATAACAACACGAAAACGAATATAGAAAATAGTGGGCCACTGTGTCAACAGGCTCTCCGCTCAGCATTTATCCTGACATGCTCGTAAGGGCATGTCAAGAAACTGGTCTTCCGCGAGAGCCCTTGTTGTGGCTTCGCGCATCCCTTCGGAAAGACATCGACTCGAGTTCGATATCTCTCAAAAGGGGTGAGCAAAGATTGCTTTTCTGCTTGGCTAAGATTAAAGTGCGTGTGTTCAGATTAAACGTTTCGAGCCAGACGGATATAGTGCGTGCCCAGGAGCGCTCAATCTTGGTAATTGTTATCTTTACTAGACAACTGAGGTCCTGCTCAAAGTCTAATTTGAAAAAACCCAAGTATCGCGGCTTTCATGTATCATATAATTTTTGAGACTGATTCCGGTGGGACTTTAATGTTTTTAGGGCTACTACTAATCTGCTATGGAAACATCGAATATTGAAATGGAAGACTCTTCGTCGTCGTCGTTTCAGCCAAATGAGGTCCACTGCTGGACAAAGGCCTCCCCCAAGGTTTTCCACAATGAACGTGCAATTCCACAATGAATGGTTCTCTCTTCGTGCAGCAAGAAAATATTTTCAAGATGAAACTTCACATTTATGAGATTAAAAATTGGTTTTAATTATTCAACTTCGGTTTGTCATCGTGCAACTGCACTCAGGAGGATTTGATGAGTGCTACTGACAACGCCACTCTTGTGGCGGAGTTTTGGGCTGACACTGTGTAGGTTTGTTGTCGACACGAAAAGAAGAAGAATTGTTACAACTAAGTAAAGTTGTGAATCTGAATGTGGTCGTTAAATATTCGTGTGGTATTAACCTCGAATCAGGTCGGGCAGCTTGTCGAGCGCCAGGCTGATGCGCACGGGGATCTCGGGGTTGGGGATGTCTGCGCGCCGGCTCTTGATGCGCTGCAGGTGCGAGCACACCGCGCGCTTGCTGTACAGCACCGCCGTGTCGCTCCCCTGCAAACACAGACTCGTTATACCGGGACATTATTGTTATCTATTACTACTACTCTGCCTGGCCTCGTCATGCGCCTTCAGGCGGCTCGGCTATTATTATTATCTATAACATACGGCCTAAATTCAAATTCTTTGTTGCTCCACGTTGGTCCTACAGTAGGCGCGCGAGTCCATCCTGAGGAATGCGGTAGTGCTGTTACCTAACTAATTATGCTAATGTCGATATCGATAATTATTACCAATTAAGGCCGGGTAGCAGAGAAAATGGCGAAAATGAGGTTTTCATTTTTCATTTTTGAGGTACTAAACAGTAAAATTAAAGGCTAAGATTTTTATTGGGCATAGTTGAGGATATTTTCTAGGGCTATTAACGGATGGAAACACGATTTGATGAAGTTGACTCGATAGAATAAATTCCCAAAGTTACCTCTATTCGTTTTCTATTTATGGTTTTATTTTTAAAATAAGCGATTTGAGATTCTAAATCTTTTACTAAACTAAAGTTCAGAAATAACTTGAGGGCTNTGCGCTGCTCGGCGTCGCACACTCGAGACGAGCAGGCCTGCCCTCGGTACCTGGTCGAGCGCGCGCGTGACGAAGTCGACGCAGTGGTCGGTGATGGCGGCGAGCTGCTCGAGCGCGTCCTTCTGCTCGGCGAGCGTGCGCTGCTCGGCGTCGCACACTCGAGACGAGCAGGCCTGCCCTCGGTACCTGGTCGAGCGCGCGCGTGACGAAGTCGACGCAGTGGTCGGTGATGGCGGCGAGCTGCTCGAGCGCGTCCTTCTGCTCGGCGAGCGTGCGCTGCTCGGCGTCGCACACTCGAGACGAGCAGGCCTGCCCTCGGTACCTGGTCGAGCGCGCGCGTGACGAAGTCGACGCAGTGGTCGGTGATGGCGGCGAGCTGCTCGAGCGCGTCCTTCTGCTCGGCGAGCGTGCGCTGCTCGGCGTCGCACACTCGAGACGAGCAGGCCTGCCCTCGGTACCTGGTCGAGCGCGCGCGTGACGAAGTCGACGCAGTGGTCGGTGATGGCGGCGAGCTGCTCGAGCGCGTCCTTCTGCTCGGCGAGCGTGCGCTGCTCGGCGTCGCACACTCGAGACGAGCAGGCCTGCCCTCGGTACCTGGTCGAGCGCGCGCGTGACGAAGTCGACGCAGTGGTCGGTGATGGCGGCGAGCTGCTCGAGCGCGTCCTTCTGCTCGGCGAGCGTGCGCTGCTCGGCGTCGCACACTCGAGACGAGCAGGCCTGCCCTCGGTACCTGGTCGAGCGCGCGCGTGACGAAGTCGACGCAGTGGTCGGTGATGGCGGCGAGCTGCTCGAGCGCGTCCTTCTGCTCGGCGAGCGTGCGCTGCTCGGCGTCGCACACTCGAGACGAGCAGGCCTGCCCTCGGTACCTGGTCGAGCGCGCGCGTGACGAAGTCGACGCAGTGGTCGGTGATGGCGGCGAGCTGCTCGAGCGCGTCCTTCTGCTCGGCGAGCGTGCGCTGCTCGGCGTCGCACACTCGAGACGAGCAGGCCTGCCCTCGGTACCTGGTCGAGCGCGCGCGTGACGAAGTCGACGCAGTGGTCGGTGATGGCGGCGAGCTGCTCGAGCGCGTCCTTCTGCTCGGCGAGCGTGCGCTGCTCGGCGTCGCACACTCGAGACGAGCAGGCCTGCCCTCGGTACCTGGTCGAGCGCGCGCGTGACGAAGTCGACGCAGTGGTCGGTGATGGCGGCGAGCTGCTCGAGCGCGTCCTTCTTCTCGGCGAGCGTGCGCTGCTTGGCGTCGCAGACCTCGTTGAGGCGCAGCACGAGCTGCTTGCCGCGCGTGTTGATGGCGTTGGTGAGCTTGACCACGGTCTGCGTGATGTCGTGCACGAGCGCCTTCTTCTTGTCGGCGATGAGCTGCTGGCGGTCGCGGATGACCTTCATGGCCGAGCCCAGCAGCACGCGCTTGTACGACACCTCCGACAGCAGCGACGAGATGTTGGCGCGCGCCTGTAAACATCAACGGAGGGATACATTAGTGTTAGACTCGCAAGAGGTCTTATCTGTGAGTGGAGGGCGTTTATACCTGCGCGGCCATCTCGGTGCTGAACTGGTACTTGTGGTCGCGGTGGTGCTGCAGCTGACAGTCGCGGCACGTCAGCCGGTCGCACGTCTCGCAGAACAGCGTCAGCCGCTCCTACGGACAACCGTAACATTACGTAGCTAAACGCTCAAGAAATCCTCTAATTAGGAATTCAGTTTATTTTCAAATGGTCGTGATCTGAACTTGGCCTAAAGCTAATTCTTAGGAGTTTGGAAAACAAATGTTCTGGGTGAAAACGTCACAAAGGTAGGTATTGGATTATAGCATTCATGATTGTGTCATTGTTTTAGATTTCACATGAAATCAATACTTTTTTGATGTTGAGGAATCCGGAAAACATGCCGCGAACTCTAGATATGAACCGTTTATGTTCCAAACCGCAACTGATAACGGTTTTCCGCAAACCTTCACCACATTTAAAGCGTGAGAAAAATTGAAAATGACTGCAATCAAGTACCGAACACAGTCTATGTGGACATACATAGATTAGAATGATCACAAAAAACACAGCTGAAATGAATAGCAGGAGGGTTTGTGCTTACCTGCACGTGGTCGCGGCAAAACATGTCGTTCGCGGAGGGCGTGGCCTGCGCCGCCTGCAGCTCGGCCAGCGCCTCCTCCTTGCTCTTGATCGTGTGGTCCTTGGTTATTTTTAGCCTGCAGGCACATAAGGAGTCAGTAACGCTTGTCTGCAAATACTTCCTTTTCTTGTGTACAGTCAGCGTCAAAGAGTAACACCCAGAGTAGTCACAAAGTTCGCGATATGTCTTTGTTACAATTGGCTATCACAAACTATTTGTTCAATTAAGGCTTTAGTTGTTCATTTCATTTGTTACAACAGACGGAATGATAGCTGGTCCTAGAAAATCCCCCTCTTAGGATTGGAGATCACTGCCCAGCAGTGCCCAGGTCTTGGTCATAATAGGCCCTGACTGAGCGCATCGAAATGGTGGCGAACTACAGCTGAACAGAGATGTTTCTGCAAAGATGGGGCGCTATCGTGTACATACCTCTGGTGCGCATGCACGCAGTTGTCGCAGATGAACTCGGCGCAGTCCACGCAGTAGCTGGTGGCCGGCTCCGTGTCCTCGCAGCTGTTGCACTGCTGCTCGCCCACGCCCGCGCCTGCGCACGTGACCAGACAACACGATGTTTACTGTCTACAGCTCTGTATAATGTGGCTACCTGGTCTTCAATGCAGAACAACTTCAAAATTATTTATTGTCGCTCGAAATCAGAGGAACTTCTTTGGATAGCTGATCTCAAAATTGATCCAGTCATTATACCCTAAAGCCAGAAAAAAGTATTAATATAAAAGTAATTGTTACAAAGTTAACAGTTCCCGCTTTACATCACCTGTTTTCGTATATCAGCACAAAAAGCCCATTTTATATCAATTAAAAAACAAATCGGCGATTTGAAATAAGAGGACACAAAAACGCGACACTATTGTATAATTGATTGAATGAGTGGGACGTCCAACCACCCACAAAGTAGACCGACGACATCGTAAAGGTAGCAGGAAGGCGCTGGACGCAGGCCGATACCAACCGAGCAACACGGAAAGCATTGGGGGAGATCTTTGTTCAGCAGTAGACGTCCTATGATGGCTGAGATGATTGAATAAATATAAAACAAATGATTGGGATACTGACTGCTGGATCCGGCCTGCTCGGCGGCCATCTTCTCGAGCACGAAGCGCTGGTCGATCATGTTGGCCACCTGGCACTGCAGCCGGCACGCCGGGCACGTCACTGTGATGCGCTCCGCGCCTGCGAGCAAACGGAACATTGCTAACTGGCGCAAATCTTCTCAATTGAATTCCCAATAAAATGGGACATTCAAGGGCAGCCAAGACCTATTGCTATACTAAAATAATAAGACACGGGTCTTAACGCGACGTTTATTAAAGGACGATGCCGCGAACCGCCAGTCTGCTTGTGACCACGGCTGCAGCATCGCAGCCGAAACGTCAAGCCGTGAGTACATAATGTCTCATTAATAAACGTCGCGTTAAGACCCGTGTCTTACTATTTTAGTTGAAATGGAACGCGAAAGTTTAAAATCTATTGCTATACTGCAAAACACAGAAGTTACAGTTGATCCTAGAATAAAGATAAACTGTCTTTCAAGTAAATCAGAATATCATACAACATTTCTATCTAAAGATAATAATGTTTATCAGAAGCTCATTTAAGTGATTCAAGAGACAATAGAGTGAAATACAATAAGGTTTCAGAAAGATTTATAGCAGTATATTTACTCATAACATCTTGTATTGGTTGTGTGTGCACATTTGAACATTGCGACTGCCTGCTGGCACTGTCTTTGAAACAAACTCATGTTAGCAATGGCAATTGTTGTACTTTTTTATCATTTCACTGGAAAGCATACAGTTCATTTACTCATTAAAACATAACAATATAATCACCATAAGTTACGTTCATTCACATAATTCATATCATAATAGAAAAAGGAAATGCATATAAAGAAGAATAGGTTACAATTCGCAAAGGCACCATTTAGCTAGTAAGGTTTCTTACCTAAGAAGTCCCTGGAGTTCGCTTGCCTCTCCTCGAGCTTGGCGTTGATGCAGGGCTCGCAGGCGGAGTGCAGGCACTCCATGAGCTTGGGCGTGCCGTCGGCCAGCGCGAGCGGCGCCTGGCACAGCACGCAGCGCGCGCCGGCCGGCGAGCGCGCGGCCCCCGGCGATGCTAGCGAGTCCGCGCCGCCGCCGCCGTCGCCGCCGCCCGAGCCCTTACCGCTCTCCGACGCGCTGCCCACCTGTAAGACATGAAATCAAATAGTTTATTCAGAACATAGGCCCTTTCCTGGGCACTTATATCCATCCCAAATATCTAATAGCTTACCCTACCACCACTTCAGGTCAACATATTGGCTGGTGCNACTGGTGGTGAGAAGAAGTGGCGGAAGAAATTCATGCCCGTTTTCACCATCAATCTCTAATTTTTAAGTGACCCCTATGGAAACACTTAACAGGAATTTTGTTTTCACAGGGGTCACTTAAAAATTAGGGATTGTTGGTGAAAATGGGCATCAGTCACCTTTAAAGACACCACACCCAAATCATTCATCAATAATTCATAACAATATTAAATAAAATAACAATTTCCACTGCTTTTGTCCTGGTTCAGAAGTTCATTCATATCATTACAAGATTACTGAATTTCAAGCATTTGTACATAATATAAGCAGTTGACCCAGATAAGTTTTAAAATAGATTTCTGTAAAATTATATTGATGAAAAATGTCCAGGTGAAAATTCCGCTAACTCTGTGGAGTCTCAGAATCTGTGATCAGATCTAAACCTTTTGTGTGATTTGTACTTGTGCCATATTTACATCTGTTATGGAAGGAAATAACTACAACTTATTTGGTTGGCTGTGAATTTGCAAAAGAAAAATAAGTTTTTATGAGTTTTAACCCTCTGTGTCCAGGTGGGGTATGACACAACTTCCAGATTCGCACTAAAAGTCATCTCATTTGACTAAAAGTGCTTGAAAATTTCAGATACCGTAAAAATCACGAAAAATAATATTTGTATTGAATTTTATTCAATTGACAAAGCTAAAAATATATAAATTACACCAAAACTGTTAGATTTTTTTTAAACTTTTTAACAACGTCCCGTACCAGGTGGGGTGTGTGACACCCACACGCACTTTAAAGGCATGTAACTCAGTTGGTAGTCACCGCTGGACTGATTTTGCAACGCTGATCGAAGCAGCAGTGTCATAATTCCAGCTACTGAGAATTTCAAATTCAGCACTTGCAAATTTTTAAAATTGTGGCTATTTTTAACGGACTGGGGTGTGTCACACCCCACCTCGTACAGCGAGGGTTAATGTAAATGTTTCATAAATAAATTGTTCTTTTAGACTATCTTTCATATAAAATTGTATGATTTCTATTTCACAAGACACTGGGCACATATTTATGAAAAGTAATCCAAGATCCAATAGCAATAATATTGTGATATTTGAGAGGAAACCTCAATACACCCAGGTATAAAGAGGCAAAATCTGTCCCAGTAGTATTGAGAAAAAATATACTTTAGAATACACATTTTAACTACTAATATTAATAAAGATGCATTAGACTTCAGTAATGCTTTTCTGTTAGATAAAGTCTCTTAATACTTAAAAATATACTATTACTAATACATATTGTAAAAACTAGTAAAATCACAAGTAACCCATGATTTTTCATACATTACTTTGTCAGTCTATAACTTCTATACCCTGTCGATTTCAACATTGAGTTTTTGGTGCGGTTAAAGGAAAGTACTGATATCCATTTAGTCCCACAATAGATTCTGGGGTTTTTGAACCATCTCTTTTAGGCCTTGAATCAATCTGAAGATAAAGTCATCGATCCTCAAGCAGTTGCATATGACTGCATAACAAATTGATATGAAAACTATAATTAAAAGCTGTTATTGTATCTAACAATGTACTATACTTGATAGACAGTACTATTTTATAATTTGAGATCATACTAAATGTAATGAAAACAATTTTAAATAATCCAGTACCAATAAAAGGTGTTTGGAATACTTGGAAATCTTTCACTATGGCCTCATCAACAGGCTTAGGCTAAGTAGGTAGCTCCAACGACAATCTATGATAAAAAGAGAAAATAAACAAATTTCACCTGCCATCTGCCATGTTTACAAACTTTCTAACAATTTTCATTGTGGTGTTGGGTATGCTTACATTGACGCGGGATGCCGGCGCGGAGCTCGCCTCGCCCAGCTCGTCCTGCACCTCCTCCTTGATGGTGACGCCCAGGAGTGGGCCCAGGTCCATCAGGGCCCGCTCTATCTCCTCGCCGCTCGGTTGAAAGTTCACGTTTTCCATGAACACTTCTTTTTTTTTCACTTTCTTAAAACACTCTACTCCTTCAAATGCATTTCTGCAACCCCGCGAGGAGATCTATAACCATAACTTTCACTAGCTAGTCTGAGGAGCAGGGCACGTAGACATAATTGAGCACTTCGAGATGGAGCAACAATACGGCGTCCTCAGAAAAACCTTAGAAAGAGTCTATTGTGACTATATTTTACACCTATATAAAATCACTGCACTTCTGTTCATACGACACTTTCTCATATTTTAATAATAATAGAGATTTTATTAAAAATGAATATTCATGAAAAATATGACATGCGTCCCCTTGCAAAGGAAAACCATTATAGTGTTGTGCATTAAACTAAACATTTTTAGATCGAATCACTTGAATGCAGTAAATTCTTTTGTACTTTATTCAATTAAAAAACTGAATTTAAATCGAACATCCTCTCACACGCAGTGTTTTTATTTTAATTATTTTAAGTAATTCCTTGTCAGTCTATTTTACAACTGTTTGGTTACAATATAACAAATATATTTGCGGGAAAACTTAAAGGCAGATTGTTCATTATTAGAAAGTAACGAACAGATGAAATACAACTAACGTTTTTATAAGAATTTTGCAATAAAAATTTTCTTTTATTTAATTTTAAAATTTTAATTCAATTAATTACTTACATTGTAACATCACTAGATGGTCGATTTTTAATCATAGACTAGACAGACGACCATGGGCACAGATTACATAGAGTGGTATGGTCTCTAATCCATATCTGTGGGTATGGTATTAGAAAAAGAGAAAAAAATATTAGTAAAATTAGGAATTAAAGTATTTAAACGATAAGTTTCCATTTGTTTAAATTTATTAAATTGAATTAAATTAAAAAGTAATTGATATGTAAAACTTCATTCATTATTATTCATTTTGTTTATTTGTTTGCCCGCCACCCTATTTTTTTTAAATCAGTCGTCAATTTTTGATTTTGACATTTGTGTGACAACACGTCGAAAATGGCTGACTCTGGGCCAAGTAAAAGCGATATTGAGTCAATTTTTCAAAGACTACGAGCTATTCCAGCAAATAAAGTACGTGCTATTTTGTGGTTTAATTAGTTCTCTATAGGTTTTCAGTTATTGTTATTATGGTGGGCTTTGTTGTAGGTATGTTTCGACTGCAACGCGAAGAACCCTACGTGGTCGTCGGTGACGTACGGGGTGTTCATCTGTTTGGACTGTTCTGCGGTGCACAGGAGTCTCGGGGTGCATCTAACGTTTGTGCGCTCAACACAACTTGACACTAACTGGACATGGAAGCAGCTCAGGAACATGCAGCTTGGCGGGAATGTAAATGCGGTATGCTACCTCATGTCAAACATTTTAGCTATCTGAATTTTCTACAAAAGGCATAGATTAGTGACAAAAGGATTTTGTAATGATATTCTGGTTTATTAGATAATTGGCAAGTCTATTGATTTTATATACTTAATCTCTACTGCAGTCTACTAGTTGATAAGACTTCTACTAGCATGATGTCTGTTCCGTCAGACTCAGTTCTTCCGGACCCACGGGCTGGCGACGGAGGACGCGCGGCAGAAGTACAGCTCGCGCGTGGCGCAGATGTACCGCGACAAGCTCAGCGCCCTGTCCGACCACGCCATGAAGACTTACGGCACTAAGGTGGGTGCTTATTTCACTTTCAAGTAACACCAGAGCTGCCAAGAAAATTTATAAAAATGGTGGTGGAGAATGACAATTCTATAATTATTTATTTTACTAATACCAAACCTGGATCTAGCATAGGATCTGAGGTGTTATCAGTGTGTGTATTGTTAATAATTGTTTCTGAATTTATGCTATATTTCAATGAAAATGAAAAAATGAAAATGAAAATATTTATTGCCAGAATCAAACAATACAATAACTAAAAGACAGACCTCCACACTAGGCATTGTTAACTATTATGTTTCTTAAATTTTAGGAAGAGGCAACATGTGTAAGTCAACAAGTTAACTCTTGTGTGATATTAATAGCTAAAGTGCTTTTTCTTCCTTTATTTATTTCTTGTTTTATGTTCATAAAACTTTCATAATGTCTTTAATCTTTTGTAAAATTTGAGGCTGAGATGCACCAACTTACTATAACTGTAATGAATAGCTGGTGTTTTTGTATGGAGTTTGACAGACTTGACGTTTTAAAGTAAGATGGTGCAACTCACCCTAAAAGCACAATCTCTTTACAAGTCCATAACTAGATCTGCTGATTAATGTTTTTTTCTCTACTATAAGGTTTAAAGTGGTATCACTAGAAAAACCTCATTTGGAAGATGTTTTAAGAATGGAAATGTTTCAGCTTCACCTGGAGCCGGCAGCCCCGGAGCCCAAGGAGAGCAAGGAGGCCGAGGTAGACTGGTTCGCGGAGCACGGTGACGCGCCGCATGCTAACTCGCACGGGCTTGCCTCGCAGGTACCCGCCCACGCCGGCACGGGCTCCATAACATACTCACTTTACATACACATGACCAGAAACGTCTTAAAAGATGCTTAATGCTAAAAAGATTGCAGTAAAAAAGTAATAATGGCAGACTTTTCTGGATATGTGTACACTTATAATAATAGTTACCAAATTGTGTAATGTAAGGATTATTTAATAAAAAATAATCCATGGAATTTTATACATCAAAATTTAACACAGTTGACCATTTCAATGTTTTACAGATATTGTTTTGAATTTTTGTCTTTCAAACTTGTAAAGGTAACTATATTATTATTTCGTTTGGAATTCTTGCGTATTCCACATCTTTACATGATCAGTCATATCACTGCAAATTGCTTACATAATTGCAAACATAGTTTGATGTGTGTTGAGTCATAGTCATAGCTCCTATATTCCTTTAGTCACTGATAATAACAGTGTGATAACAACTATGTGACTGCATTTATTGATTTCTCTAATGGTTTTAACTTTTATTTGCTGTTTTGTTTTTGAGATAACACATCATTTTAATATTTCTTTATAATATTGATAATGAAGCTGTTGTTTTAGCTAGCAAAGCTTAAATGCATAAATGATAGCTTCATTTAGATAGGATTTTTTTTTACCAGCCGTTTAACAAAATTGTAGCTTTTCTGTTTGATTGGTTCTTTTCTTAGGCGAAATGAAAATATAAGGGATCTTAAGCTTGAAAATACAATATTGTTAATATGTGTGCAACTTCTTGTTTAATTGGTTTGCTCTGTAAATGGAAATATTTTGATGCTGCTAATTAAATACAACTTAATACTAATTGTGCATAATGAATGTACATTATCAATGAGCAGAATGCAGGTTATCCAGTTGTTAACTTATAAAACTTATTGACGTAAATAGATTTTTTGTGTAGTGTAGTAGTCTGCAATGCTTAAAACAATAAATCGTGCGCAGGCGCCGCCCGTGAAAGAGGAGCTGAGCTCGGAGGCGCGGTTGTGGGGCGCGCCCGCCGACGCCGCGCGCCCAGCCGCCGCCGCCGCCCGCCGGCCGCAGGGCAAGCGGCAAGGGGTACGAAACTATTCTTTTTCTTTAAATGCTAGGGACTGGAATTCGTTGCCTGCTGCTGTCTTTCCCGAAAACTATAATCCGGGCCTTTTCAAGGCGAGAGTGAATAGGCACTTACAGGGCAGATATGTACCACCCTAGACTGCATTTCACTTAACATCAGGTGCGATTGTGGTCAAATACCTGCCTTGTTATGCATTAAAAAAATACACACTGTATCGTTATTAAAAAATTTAGTACTTTTTTACAGCTAACATAAAATATCGCAGCATTTTAAAATAGTTCAATTATCTTTTGTTAGCTGGGTGTACGGAAAGGTCTCGGCGCGACTAAAGTGGCGGCTAATTTCGAGGACATTGAACGCGAGGCCATCATGGCTGAAAAACTCAAAATGGAGGTGAGCGATTGTTTACTTCAATCACAATATTAATTAAATTATCATTATTGAAACATTAAGACATCGTTTGTACAACTGGTTTCTCGGAGCACGCAACACATTTTTACATACGTCATAGTTTTTCGCCTTCAATAATGTGAAGTGAAGTTTCGATCAATGTTTGGATTTATTTCGATGAGTTTATTTCATATGGCATCCTTTTAATGTGACCATTTAGCGTAGTAAATTGGTCAAAATTTTCTGAGTATAAAGCATGGTCCGTGAGCACGTAAAATCCCGTCCAACGACCCCAAGCTGCCCATCCTTATCCCTCGCGCGTAATTATATTGCTGTCGCGACTGTGCAGTGACGCCCGCAGTGAGTGTGCGAGCGCGACAGCAACATAATTACGCGCGAGCGACAAGGATGGGCAGCTCGGGGTCATTGGACGGGATTCTACGTGCTCACGGACCAGGCTTTAGTAACATTTTTCGTGTTTCGTATATACTAGGCGAAGGCGGCCGAGAGCACGGCGACGATCGAGTCGGTGGAGCAGGAGGTGGCGTCGCTGCGGCTGCAGTACCGCGACGACCGCGCGCGCCACTCCGACCGCCTCGGCATCGCCGCCGCCAGCCGCGCCGCCCGCTCGTACGTACTCACGCACACACATGACGGGACATGACACGAACAGACAGTCAAAGTCAAAGTCAAAATTTCTTTATTTGTTTAGACTAATAAATAGTTCTTACAAATCGTTATTTTGCTCTTAAGGAGCCTCTACATGTCTCATACTCTTTTTACCCTACCAGCGCTTCGAGACCAACATTTGGCAAGTGCTGAGAAGAAGCGCCGCAACAAACTCAGTCACCACTGTCTGCCGGTTAATATAAATAAATAGAAATAGCAGTAGTAGGTACATTCGATTCAGGAGCAGTTCACTGAATTTACCATGCATTCTTGTATTTATTTATTTATTAGGTCTACCAACATTGTTACATTACAACATGTACACTTAAAAATTACAATCTTATTTAAATTAAGTATGGTGTATCTTATAAGAATGGGTATACAAAATTGCGTGGTATATTAAACAAGGTAGTGACGTACTAATAACTAGACTTACAGATTAAGATACTAGTAGAAATGACTCGCATACATAAATTTGAATAAATTGGATTGACCAGTCCCCGAAAGCAGCGCCTGTTCACAGACATGACGAGAGACGATAAAGTAATACACGATTCAATAAAAATAAAAATTCATAAAATTCATTTATTTTTGCAAATAGGCTTTAAAAAAGCGCTTTTACACGTCCCAATATTAACCCTACCACTGCTTCGGGACAATAAATGGGCCAGTGCTGAGAAGAAGCAGCGCAAGAAACTCAGTCAATGTCGGTATTCACTTTTGCTAATATGTCGACGATATCTTACTTTCGCTTCTGACTGTACTTCCAATATTTATTTTAACGGGTAATTTCAACGCGTTTTTGTTTTACTTTTGCGCAGCGGCGTGTCGCACTCGGCGGCGTCAGATATGACTACGATCGAGCAGGAGGGCGCGCCGACGCGCACGCACGACGCCGACGACTTCAACTCCGCGTTCACCATGATCAGGTGCGATTCTGGATGAAAACACTTTTTTTTGTGAAAAGATATATCTATTCAGAGCTCATGGAATACAGGGTGGAATTTTGTAATGCCACCTGGAGGGAAAGTACTCTTAATACTGCAGGTAGAAACTTTTACTGAAAGAAAACATTCCTTTATTTTTGAAAAGAAAGGGAACTGCATTCAAAGATTTTCGAAAATTTTTCGAAAATTCACTACCATACCATGCAATTTTCTGTAACATAATTAAGATAATTTAAGATTTCATGGTTTTCCTTTCATTTGATTTATTAAGTTTGTTAGATAGATTTCATCCTTATACTTGACCCTAACGATCGATGTAATAAAAATATAGGGTGTAATTTTTAACACATTTTAGTTGGTTCGATTCTCGGGTGTGGCAAGAAAATTTTTGGAAATCTTTGAATGCAGTTTTATTTCTTTTCAAAAATAAAGGAATGTTTTCTTTGAGAAAAAATTTCTATCTTTAATATTAAGAGTACTTTCCCTCCAGGTGGCATTACAAAATTCCACCCTGTATAATCGTTTGATTCGTCGCCAGAAACGAGCCATACAGCAACAACCGCGGCCTGGACTCGCTGCTGGGCGAGGGCCCGCCGCGCGCGCTGTCGTCGTCGTGGGAGAACATCGAGCCGGAGCCGACGCGCGCGCTGCACACCATGTTCTCGGCCGAGCCCGCGCCCGCGCCCGCGCCCGCGCCCGCCAAGCCGCAGCGCTCGCGCCGCCCGGAGCCCGTCGAGGATGACTCCGCCGTCAAGAAGTTCGGTTCCGCTAAGGCCATCAGCTCCGCACAGTTCTTCGGGGAGAATGTGAGTCTGTTTCGATTTTGTTGTCTCCGCCGAGTCGTACAAAAAAGTGGCACGGCCGTACGATCCTTTTCTCTAAACGATTCAGGATGTTCGGTGTAATATGACCGAACAAACTGAATCAGCGCACTCGTTCGCGATGCATCGATTTTACCTCAAATAACTAATTAGTGCAAATCACGGAACCATCGCGACCGGGTGCGCTCAGAACATTTTTAACATTTTAACATAACATTTTAACATACCTTTAACATTTTTAACATTACTGTGGAACATTGAATAGAACTATATTTTTAACATACAAACTCTTTTAATCCAAACATTCAAACCCTGAGCCGCAATACAGGCAATTGTCGACCCCTTAACTTCGTAGTTGACAAAATTATTTAATAACACATCAAAAATGAGACAACATTAAATTTTCAACAATTTTCAAATCTGTAGGCCTAAGATGCGCGCCGCGATAAGCGGTTATCACGCCATTTTGTCGATTTTGCCCATACATTTTGACGTCGATAAAAGTTATCACGGTGCGCGTCTTAGGCCTACTGTGCGTGTTTGAAAGTCAACAAATTAACGATGGACTCGTTTCTACGATGTCAAGTTTATAGTTTGAAGCGATGACGATGACGTATGACATGTGCCATCGTTCGCAGGACAACCGCTTCGAGCGCGACGCGAACCTGTCGCGCTTCCAGGGCAGCTCCAGCATCTCGTCGGCGGAGTACTTCGGGCGCCGCGACGCCGCGCCGCCCGCCGCCAACGCCTTCTCCGTCTCCGCGCCCGACCTCGACGAGGTACGCAGCCTTTTGTTGTTACATCCTTCTTTATACTCAGTAGTTCTGATAGCCTAACCCCCGTATTCACAAACGATGTTTGCTTAAGTGAAGCAGCAAATCGAACGCACAGCGCCGTCGAATAGAGTTTTGTGATAGGTTCGTCTGTGACCCTGTGCGACCATGCGCACTGTGAGACCCCAGAGTAATGTTTGTGAATACGGGCGTAAACTCTCGGACGCCAGTGTCAACTCCATTAGTCTAGTTTCATTTGAAATCAAATCTGAACTTCGAACTCCTCCTATGTTTTCTTTAATTTCTTTCCGATCAGGCGCGGATCCAGCTCTCAAAAAAGGTTGTGGGCACAGCCACCAAAAATTTGCAAAGTGAGAGTTAGACCACTACATGCCCGGACATTACATGCCTATCGAACTTATCAATAGATCATAATTAAAACAAGCAAATTAGGGTTGTGGGCATGCCCACAGTGCCCACAACGGTGGATCCGCGCCTGTTTCCGATGACTGTTTAACTTTTCTCCGGGACAAACTTGACCTTCACTGGTTGAGTTTCTATTGGCACTATTGGCAATCAAGCCGTAGATCCTGGCTAGGCTACACAGGAGTTGCAGCGGTGGGAACGAGAGGTGGGAATAGTCTCGTAAGTCTAAGTGTGTGTAAAAAATAATTATGAGCTAAATCTGCCGCCCTAGGCTTTTTCCCACTCGGCCTGCTGGTAAATCCGCCACCGCCCTGACGCCTATGATCCCTAATTGATGTTCTTTTGTTTATTTGAAACGTCTCGGTTGTCCCTTCAGGTGCGCGAGTCGGTGCGCGCGGGCGTGACGCGCGTGGCGGGCCGCCTGTCGTCGCTGGCCAACGGCGTGGTGTCGTCCATCCAGGAGCGCTACGGCTACTGACCGCCGCCGCCCGCGCCGCCGTCGCCGGCCGCCGGGGACATGTAGATAACACGAACGCTGCGACTGTCATCGTTACATCTCAATCGAAACAAAAAATAAACAAACCTAACATGATAGCCCGACTTTATAAATGTTTTCGGAAGTTTACAGGTCGATGTGTGCCCGTTACCTCCGTTTAGTATTTTTCTTCTCGAAGAAAGTGTATGTGGAAATTGCCCAATTTACATTAGTGCAATAATACGATTGATGTTTTTGAGTATTAAATACATTTATGTCCATTTATAAATATCACTTGTTAAATAAAATTATTACAGCAGCGNCAGCAGCTGACTTTGAAGCAAATGTGTGTAATGCAATATTGTTACTATTCACTAGAAACGATAATTATCCTAATACTATGGCATAATTTTACATTTAGTATATTTATAATGTTAGATAACTTGCTCACTAATAACTTGGTATAATATTTCACATTCGGCTTGTAATAAAATCTACTGCAATGATAATATCCTCCTAACAAATCGTCAGTATCACCCGAACAACGATAAATAATAATTATCAGCTGACATAACCAATCAATTAATACAGTAGGTATACCACGAGTTTTGTCTAGGGATTGTGTACTGTAAATATTGTAATATAAAGAATTTATATCGATTAGCAGGCTACTGCTCCTGCACTCTCTATATGAACAATTGCATCATTTTCCTTATAGAACATTTATAGTGGTTATTCTTTATTTGTATCTGATACTCTTCGACGGGCAGGCGCGGATCCACCGTTGTGGGCAGTGTGGGCATGCCCACAACCCTAATTTGCTTGTTTTAATTATGATCTATTGATAAGTTCGATAGGCATGTAATGTCCGGGCATGTAGTGGTCTAACTCTCACTTTGCTAATTTTTGGTGGCTGTGCCCACAACCTTTTTTGAGAGCTGGATCCGCGCCTGTCGACGGGGAAGGTCGAAACTATTTAGCATTCCTTAGGGCGTTTACAATCGAGGTAGTCTTCGGCGTATAATCAAACTTGTTAATAGTGATGACCAGTATTGCCGCCTGAAAACGCCCTTTGATTATACGATTGGCGAGTTGCGCACAAATTCCCTTTTCGCTTGTACATTCGACATACCTCGCCGCAACGATCGCCGCGGAGCATTTAAATTGAATAGATTATATTTATTTTGTGTATTTGTATAGCTAAGTTGTGTTAAAACATTTGTTACATAAGTTGATGTTGATTTAGAGTATTGTTCTCGAAGTGGGCCTGTAGGCGCATTCGCGTATCTATGCTCGCTGGAAGAATTTATTTTTATTGCTTTAGTTAAGTCTTAGAAGAGTTTATGTACTTTGACGGCTGTGGCTTTGGTGACAGAATTCTTACAAAGTTCAACGTTCACCTAAAATTTAACTGTAGCTGCTGTAGCTATGAATTAATATCAGTCTACAAAGTGATAAGAGTTTGTCAGGAATTATGATGGGCTCCAGCCCTATGTCCTTAAGCTGCCAAAAAGAATAGGCACCAGAGTCCGGCCGGCAACACCTAGCCCGTAAGTAGGATACGTTTAGCTGGATACAATAATTTCGAATTGTTGTTACCACTACTTAGCCCCTAATCGATGTTATCAATAAACATTTGTCACTACTAGTTCGACGTGTCGTCAGACTGCAACCAGCAGTAGGCGGTCGACGATCTTATATTTTTTAGTTTGTCATAAAATTATTGTATTTAGTATTTGCTGTTCACGCGAGTGTAAGCAGTATAGGGCATTTCCGCTGATCCGACGTTTGTATAAATCAAAATAATTGAGTTTTGTTTTTAGATTTTAATTATTGATATAAATATACAAAACTATATTTGCATACAATCGTTTTATTTGAATCTCATTTCTAAGGACAATTTCGAGACTCACGTATCCTCAAACTTCAAAATAATAAGAATTCACGAAATAATAAAATACAATATCCTTATTTAATACTTATCCGTAGATCTAGGTATATTATTAATAAATAACAAACTTAAATAAATAAATATTGCCTTGCCCATTAAATGAGATATTTTATATTGAGTATGTAAAGTCACAAAATACTTCTTAATTGAAATACTTAATACGAGTAGTAATAGTAATTAATAAAATGCCTGAGTAGAGTAGTTAGGATTGAGAATGAAGCTGGTCACTGCTATTTATTTAGTTAATTATAAAGTTTATAATTCGAAAAGTCCTTGATTTAATCATTCGATACTATGATTACTATCGAGCAGCATATTGTAAATAAATAATAAAAAAATTGTAATCCTATTGTTTTAGGGACTAAAGCCTGGTCCGTGAGCACGTAGAATTTTGTCCAAGCTACCCATCCTTATCGCTCGCGCGTAATTATATTGCTGTCGCGACTGTGCGACGGGCGCCCGCAGTGAGTGTGCGAGCGCGACAGCAACATAATTACGCGCGAGCGATAAGGATGGGTAGCTTGGGGTCATTGGACAAAATTCTACGTGCTCACGGACTAGGCTTTACACCGTTTACATCCATCCGTTCTTGGTCTACTCTTCAGAATAGTGGCTTGGGTTATTATCTCGCGCGGCGCACGGCGACGATGGCGATGTTCTCGGGCGAGGCGGCGGCGGGCACGTAGCGGCGCAGCGCGGCGGGCAGCCCGAGCGCGCGCAGGCGCCGCGCGCGGCTCCAGTCCAGCAGCGCCTTGGCGCGCCGCCCCACGCTCTCGCGGACCGCTTGCGGCAGCTTGTAGCCTTTCGTCTCGAGCACCTCGCCTGCTGGCAAAAAACGTCATAGTTTAGAATGGTGCGAAAACTTAACCCTTAAATGCATAGTGTTGCCATATGTCTACGAAGTACTTTTTTAATTATAAAAAGTAACACATTATATAAGCGTTTCTGAACGTACGCTAATATCATAGAAAACATCATAATAAAAATGAAAAAAACGCAAATGAAGGTAGATTTGAAAAAAAATTAACCGATATTTGACGTAGCGATTGCGAAAGAGAAAAAATTGGTAGTGTTAAAATTTGTGGTATTTGAATTTCGGATTCAGTGAGAATTAATTGCTAAAACGATTGGAAAAAAATACATACGTGTTAGAAATAATGTAAGAATTCATTATTATAGCTTATTTTTTGGTAATCTATCCCGAATGTGCCTTCGACTTGATTTTTGTGTATGTAGCCAAATGTCTACACCATGCGTTTATGCCATAAAATTGTTCTATGGTTTGCTCATTTGGCTTTACTTTTCAGCATGTTTAGCTCGCTATCTGAAAAGGAAATTGAGGCAGCTCTTGCTGCTTTAAATGATGGTGCAGTCTCAGAAGATGATGAAAATTTAGATGATGATAATATCGATTTTTACCCAAACGTACGGGATTTATTGCATGCTCTGGATGAGGAGTCCATAGATCATAATCTACCCTTGGAACATAACGAAGATCTGATCTAATATATGCTCCTCTTCATAGACTATGGGAGGGTTATGTTCCAGGGTCTTCGTTATGTTCCAAGGGTAGATTATGATCTATCTACTCCTCATCCTGATCATGCAACAAATCCCGTACGTTTGGGTAATAATCGATGTTATCATCATCTAAATTTTCATCATCTTCTGAGACTGCACCATCATTTAAAGCAGCAAGAGCTGCCTCAATTTCCTTTTCAGATAGCGAGCCAAACATGCTGAAAAAAAAAGCCAAATAAACAAACCATAGAACAATTTTACGGCATACAAACGCATGGTGTAGACATTTGGCTACATACTGTTAATTTTCAAAAATATACTTTTTTTTCGTACTACGATTTTTTTTATTATTTTTCCCCCTATCTGTGACTAAAAATCTAAATGAAATATTTTTTTCATAACTAAATAAAAAATCATACATTTAAGGGTTAATGTGCTGGACGTTCGTTCGTTTCAGCCGAAAGACGTGCACTGCTGGACAGAGGCCTCCCCCAAGGATTTCCACAAAGACCGGTCCTGCGCCGCTCGCATCCAGGCGCCTCCCGCGACCTTCACCAGATCGTCGGTCCACCTAGTGGGAGGCCTGCCTACTACGCTACGTCTTCCGGCTCGTGATCGCCACTCAAGTCAAAAGTCTTTGACGAGTGTGTGTTGCTAGTGATGGTATGCGGATCTGAGACGTGGTCGCTTACTATAGGCCTCATAAGAAGGCTCAAGGTCACCCAAAGTTTCCCGCGTGATCGAATCAGAAATGAGGAGATCCGTAGGAGAACCAGAGTGACTGACATAGCCCGCAGAATCGCTAAAATCAAGTGGCACTGTGGCAGTGGGCAGGACACATAGCTCGTAGAGCTGACGGCCGCTGGGGCAGGAAAGTTCTTGAGTGGCGAGTGCTGGACGATATTAATTTGTGAAATTATATTACCTTCACCTTGTCCGTTTGCCGCCTGGTCGTCCTGAAGACGGCGCTGGCGGCTGCGGCCGTCGCCGCACGTGGCCCACGACACCACGCCCAGCAGCACGCCCAGCTCCTCCGCCGTGATGCCCATCTCCTGGTAACAACGTCTTATCGTAATCCGTGGCGGAAGATTACCAGTACAAGTGTCGAGTGGCATTTATAAAGCAAACCACCAAACGAATGAATACGAACGTAGAGGTGTTGAAGGCCGAAGAATGAGTTGGGGTCGCAGCGATGGTGGCAGCACGTTGCGATCACGACTCCCTGTGTTTTGTCCCCCAGCCCCTCCGACGTTATACATCGCAGTGCGAAGTCTGAAACAGAATTACACTGTACAACGAAAGAACGAAACATGAAAAGGGAATATGCTATTATACTTAAAAAAATCAACTGGATCAATGGTGGTGCTCTTGCTGCTATTGAACTACAGAGGTTACCTGGTCGAACCCTTTCATTTACAGTACAGAAGTACTTGTGATAATAACACTCACCAGTAGCTGCACCACAAAGATGTTTCGCAAACCCAACTACCCCGTCGCATTCTTGCACCACTGGAACTTTCTCGAGTGCCAGATCTGCTAAGTCTGCTCTGAGTCGTATCGGTGCTTCCGTACTAGAAGTTTCTGCATTCGCGTTTGCATACACTTCACCATTCGTCGTCTTAGCGAGATCTGCTTTGTGTTTGAAGACATGCGACGTTCCATTTGATGATTCTGGTATAGATTTGTCAGGGAGCTCTTCTCTAGTGGCTGTCGTTTCAGATGAACTTGAGACAGTTCGGTTTTGGCTATTGTCAGTAGGAAGGAGTGTGTCCTCAGTGGAAGCCTCTTGTGCCTGGTTCCTGGCGGAGGTGTAGGCGACGTCGCGCAGCTTGTTGTCGCGCTTGTGGCGCAGCGAGGCGCGGTCCACCAGCAGCACGCCGCTGGCGCGCGACACCGGCTCGCACCACGCGCGCCACGCATAGTACGACATGTGGCCTGGGGAAAAATCACAAATTGCCATATGGAAAACAATATAAGTCGGTTGGGATTGTGGGAACTCAGGAGCATGGATAACAGCCAGTGTCAAACAGGTGTACATAAATATCATAATGATGATTCTAATCCTTTACAAAACTGTAATAACCTTTGCCTGCACCCAGCTCCACATAGCAGGTCCTGTCCCTGACCAAGCCCTCCTGCTCGGCCAGCCGCAGCAGACTGGAGGCCTGCTGCAGGTGGCGCCGCGAGCTCTCTGTGCGGTCGCCCTGCTCGTAGTCCTCCAGCACGATGGGGTGGATGGGCTGTTCTTCCACTGTTGATATATTGTCCTTTACGTACTCTGAAAATGTGATTCTTGGTTTGAAAAAGTCTAGCCTTCCTTATTAGTTTCAAAATAAAGGTTTACTGCAGCTCTAGCAAGAGTAACATTTTGGTCAGCTACTTACTGTCATAAAGTCTGTTAACTTTCTCAACTAGCTGCTCCATCATTTCCTTAGGTACTTCACTGAGGAGTGGCCTTGGACATCCCTCAGAGCTAGAACCTGCATTGATGCCTTTTACTATATACGGTGGTAGTTCGCCCTGCCTCGCGTTGCAAATGGATAGATGCTTCTGCAGTTTGCTAATGTAACATGTGCTGTAAATAGGGGTAACTTTGTTTCAACTGCACATCANGCACATCATACTGATAAATTAAGTTTAAATTATCTACATGTGATAATAAATAACACAAACAAGTTGCAGTTAAAGTTAAATGGGACGTTTCAATAAGAGAGATATGATAAGCATTTACATGGGCTAGGTACATAGGTGAATAATGTAATGCTTTAGCCTGTAGCTTAGTGTGTACTCACTGTTTGGGATCATTTGGGCATGGAATGCGAGTATCAGCCTGTAGGGAAACAAACAAATGATAAAAATGGAAAAAATAGTGATACAGTTTAGACATCCATATGGTTCATATAGTACCATGATTTATGTATAAGTTAAACCTTATTATAATTATGATACGATTTAAATCAGAGCTTTGACCAATTATATTGTGGGTAGTAGTATACCCAGACATTTAATGAATATATTTTCATCGAAAGCTTTTAGAAACTAGAGAATTTTTTACCTGTCCATCGTCAAGTTTAGGTTCTGGCTCATGCTCTCCGCAGTACTGCCGCCCCGGACGAACAGTCATGCGGCATAGCCTTTTCTTTCGAACGACAAAGTATTGACATTGCGGCGATTGTACTTCATTCAGAGATATCTTGAGTTTTTCCATTTTAATTGATTTTAGTGGTTTGTTTACAAACGTTTTTGAGGTTATGATTTTCGTTTCAATGGCAGATCGGTGACGTACGTGAGCTGTCATAAATCAGCTGTTCAAATATATTTTTTTTACTATCATTATTTTAAATATTTATATTAATACTTTAAACTGTGAATCAATAAAATATAAATAATGTTAAATAATTTATTTATTCTTTATCATTATTATATAAGTTGATCAAGTGTGTCAGTTTTATGGGAGAAACCGAACGTTTTTTGATAGAACGTTTTGTCTGTCTGTTGGCAGTATTGTTTAATCGAAACGTCAACAAATTTTGAGGTTAGACGTAGCATCATTTTGGTTTGCTTTTGTTATTTTAGCATATTATGTAGTGTTAATGCGTTAAAATGAGCTCCCCAAGTAACGAAAATGAAGAACCGTCCTCTACAAGTCAGTTAGCAGACGATGAGCCCACCAGGAGCGGGGGCGAAAGCTCCTCTGCAAAGACGCAGCGACCGCCCGCCAAGCGGCGGCTTTCCAGCACGGTGATCGAGATTTCTGATACTGAGAGTGATGACTCTGATGTTTGTGCAGTGAATTCATACCAGGCTTCTGCCGATGAAGTCAAAAGGATCCGCGGGGGTGAGTTCCATTTAACCACTTGACGGCGCAAAAGCTTGATAACGCTAAGCGCGGGAAACTGAATTTCGAAATGTTGTTGTCTTTTTTTGGGTTGACTATAAATACTTGTAAGAACTTTGCTTAGTCACTATTTATTGAAATATATGTCTAGGATGATTGAATTCGTAATTCATGGAGATAAATTATATTTCAGCGGATTATTCTTCATCATCATCATCATCAGACTACAGCTCTGATTCTGAGTCCCCATGGGAAGATGACTCAGTGCTTGTGGAGGATGAGGACCTTACCAGTAAGCCTGTCAAAGCACAGCTTAACCCTCGAGCTAACAGAATGGATGAACCTAAACTTAACCCTACTCTCAAAGTGAGTATTTTAATACTATGTATCTGCTTTTATTCAAATGTTACTCAGATTCTGTTTTTAATTTAAGTGTGTTTCTATAATTTTCTAGTTTGAATCAATTTTCTTATACAATATGTCTCATAAAATTTTTTGTCTAGGCACAAGAATTAAAAGATAGTCTAAAAACACACTGGAGCGAATGCAAGGACCACACAAGCAATGAGGTCACACTTACATGTGAACCTTTCCGAGTGTGCTTACTGCACAACTTACTAGACAACCCTGAAATCATCAACAACATAGTGGACGACATGAACACCTTGGACTGGTCGCGGAAGAAGATGGACCTGTTTGAGTTCCACCAGACCACAGACCTGGCCAGTCTCACGTGGCAGCGGAGTATAAGGGGCATATATGAGCTTTTGAAGACTGAAGTGATGAGTTGGGTAAGGGTTCTATTCTTAAAGTTCAACATTTTATGTATCTGTCATTTGACTATGTTATTACAAAACAACATCAAAAATGTTGTCTTTTCAATTTTGAGTCACTGGTTAAAATAAAACTGTTATACCGTGCTCTCTGTATAGCATGTAAACTGTATGTTTATTAATTATTGGAGCAAAGAAAAAAAAAAATTGATTCTGATTAAAGCATATTAGAACACTACTGGTGGTGGAATGAATCACTTTTCTTAACATACCAAAATTTTATCATATCTTTTGTATATTTGTTTCTCTTTCTTTTCTTCTCTTGAGTGATTTGCAAGCATGTTCAATCTGTCTATACCAAATGAGCATTTTTTTTGGACTATCTTGTAGATTTATTGCTGCAATGATTTTGCCAATGTCAAGTGTTCAAGGAGAACACATACTTTCTATAGTCCGCTTAGTATTTTAGATAATGCTGAGCATTCTTAGCGCTCCTACACACGACGCCGCCGCCGCACCTTTGCACTGTTTATACGCGCCGTGTAAACATCTCTGCCGCGCCGCTGGCGAAATAATGCTTTTTTGGCGCGGTGGCGGCGTCGTGTGCAGGAGCGCTTATGATGTTTGTTCCGTAGGTGTCGGAGGTGACGGGTCTGGAGCTGACGTCGGTGTCGGCGTCGTGCTCGCTGTACGGGCCGGGCGACCACCTGCTCGTGCACGACGACCTGCTGGCCGACCGCCGCGTGGCCTTCATCCTCTACCTGTCGCCGTGGGCCCCGCGCGCCGCCGGGCCCGCGCGCGTCGAGAACGGCAGCGGGGACCATGATGAGAAAAAGGTGGGACTGTTTGTTAAAATGCTGCCAAGGTTGCTGTAAATCATAGTGATGAAATAGAAGTAAATGTGATAATGTAAAGTTAAAGTTATTTCAACTCTTCTAGATCATGTAGTCATAATTATTTCTTTATTGCATCATGTAGTCATCAGTAATAGGTATATTAAAACTTCTATCATTAGTTCAGATTATTTTGTGTTTGTAATAATTTAATGACGATGATGAGCAGACGACGCCGCATCTCTTCAGTCTGCCCGCGACCATGACACGTGCAACAGAATTGAAATGTCTGTTTACTGTTAGAAAAGTTTTTGTTGCAAGAGTGATAATTTTAATGACGACGGTTACCAAGTGTTATTCCATCACCTCAGCAATCGAAATTGTGTAGTTCATGGTTAGATACTTATAATTTACGCTATGGTTGCGTCGCTACAGCCGTTATCTTAAACAGACCCGTTCTTCTCAGATTATAAGTCTAAAATGTTTTTGTGCTTAGGCTGCGTCTCGGCAGCAGGAGTCGTACGCGTGGTGCGAGTCAATGGGCGGTGCGTTAGAGCTTCTAGCGCGGGATGAGAGCGGGCCCACGGACGTCGTGCGCCGCGTGTTCCCGCGAAACAACATGCTGGCCTTCTTCAAGGTCGGCGTCGACTCCTTCCACCAGGTACTGTATACTTGTGACTCAAAAAAATCAAAATCATAATCGTCAGTAACTATATTTTTTTTGCAAGTAGGCTCCTAAGGTCTAGAACAGACGGTGAAACGCAACTGCAACGAAACTGCAACTGCTAGTTACTTTTGAGTTGCATCTAAGTTTCTGCCATAGCGTCCAGTGAGAGACCACACATGACGCGACCAGTTTGAAACAGTTGCATTTCACAGTTGCGTTTCACCGTCTGTTCAGGGCCTTAAGAGCTCTTTTACGTTTTACGTCCCAACCCTACATATGAGTCGGGACGGTAATATGGGCCAGCGCCTAGAAGAAGCATAGCAAGAAACTTGGGCACTATTTGCAGCCTATTCCAGAGATTGCAAGTTTCATTGCACATTATGTAAAAAAATTGTGTATGAACATTATACTTATTACTTTTTGTAAACCTTATTTATTGCAAATAAAAAAAAATAATTATTTCATTGGTCTGGATATTATATTAAATTTGTTTTTGCAAAAATTTTTCCCTCTTGAAACATTTTGCTGTTTAATTTGTGTATCTTTAAAATAACGGCTGGAAACTTTTCCCTAACCTCCCCAATCCACTTCGTGCTCGGTACAAAAATAGTCACACTCCAGTGATGGCCTTGATGACGTAATGCTCCGCTTGCAGGTGGGCGAAGTGTTGTCGCTGGAGCTGCCGCGGCTGTCGATCAACGGCTGGTTCCACGGGCCCGCGCCGCCCGGCGCCCACCCGCCGCCGCCCGACCCCGGCCCGCCGCTCGACCCGCCGCTCACGCCGCACACCGATGTCGTGAGTATTAACAGAGTCAATACAAATGAGTCGCTCATCTTTATAAAGCCTGGTCCGTGAGCACGTAGAATCCCGTCCAATGACCCCAAGCTACCCATCCCTATCGCTCGCGGGTAATTATGTTGCTGTCGCGACTGTGCGACGGGCGCCCGCAGTGAGTATGCGAGCGCCAACACGTATGCAGCGCGCACGCACACACTGACAAAATTTAGCGGTGATTAGCGGTGGTATTCGTGGTTGCGCCGAATTTTGACAGTGTGTGCGTGCGCGCCGCATATGTATATTGGCGCGCTCACATACAAACCGCGCTCGGTGCGTTTCTATGAAGATGACCTACTCATTTGTATTTACTCTGGTATTAATGTCATTACGTTCATCTCAAAGTGATGATGGATCTAAACGAGGAACACTTGATCAGACAGGAATATTTATTTTTTTGACCGAGTCATTTTAATGTTGATCAGCCGAAAGGTTAGCTTACGGGGCTACTCGCACTCGTTCCCACCGCTGCAACTCCTGTGTAGCCAGGATCTACAGCCTCACCTCCAATAAAAACCCAACAAGAAAGAAAGAAAGAAACATTTATTACGATGAACATCACTTAGTTAAGGACAGAGAACGTATACAGAAAAAAAGACAGAAATAGTACATAAATATTACAAGGAAATGAAAAGTGAACTGAGCAGTGCTATCCTGTCGCAACAGCGATGCCCATCGCAATGGGACTCCCTCCACTCATCATATGCCGTGGCCCACGGTGGGGAAGGCCATGACGCTGGTTTTCAGTGGGCCCCATGCCGAGTGGAAGTCACGGACACTAATCTAAACTGCATATCAACATCAACAAGGCCGTTTAAATATAAATATACACTCGACATCAAATAAATCGCACCTCCCGCGATAAGCACTTACAAACGTATGCATCCCCACACCCCACCAATATTGGCACCAAATAAAAGCCTANGACTTGAGTTGAGTTGAAATAACTTGGCGGGGGCACTGCCGTGCCCCCGCAAAGTTATTTCAACTCTTCTAGATCAAGTAGTCATAATTATTTCTTTATTGCATCATGTAGTCATCAGTAATTTATTAAAACCTCTATCATTAGTTCAGATTGTTTTGTGTTTGTAATAATTTAATGACGACGATGAGCGGACGACGCCGCATCTCTTCAGTCTGCCCGCGACCATGACTCGTGCAACAGAGTTGAAATGTCTGGAGGGTAAATATCTGTTTACCGTTAGAAAAGTTTTTGTTGAAAATTCCCGTGAGAGTGATAATTTTAATGACGACGGTTGCCAAGTGCTATTTCATCAATTTGGTCAGCAATCGAAACTGAGAACAACTGTCTCAAAATCAAAATCAAAATNCGGATTGCAAGCGTTTTCAACGTGGAGCGGCGACGCGCAACGTTTCCGCCTAGAGTATTGGTTCCTAAACTTATTTGAGACGCGCTTTCGATCATACAAAAAATTCCGCGCCCCCCCTCCTCCAGTCAAGATTATTTATTGGTCATATCAAGCAGTCTGGAGTGCATTCTCTCAGCGGTCGCAAGTTTTTTATACTTTAGTACACAGATGGCCCGCGCTCCCCTTTATAGGGCTTTGCACCTCCCTTGGGGGGCTCGCCCCCCACTTTGGGAACCAATGGCCTAGTGTTTGCCGCGGAGTCGCTCCGCTTTGAAACCGCTTGTAATCTGCCAGTGTGGTCTGCCCAAGGTCTGACTTCCCTCCAGTTTAAGCTGTGGTGTTCCCAGGTGCTCCTGAACCAGTGGGTGGAGCCGACGTACATGTCGCCGCGCAGCCGCGGCCAGATCCAGGCGCAGATGGAGCGCGAGAGCGAGGTGTGCCTGCGCGACCTGCTGCTGCCCGACAAGCACCGACAGGTGCTCGAAGCGCTGCAACACCCGGGTGAGTGGCACGGCGGTGCAAACTTTTAATAGTTGTAGGAATGTTAGTTAGTTAGTTAGTTTTGCAGGGCAATCGAATACCGCACTTAGCCTCATGATTGGGCCATTGTGCGCGATTTGTGGTTTGTGATATCTTCCTACTCCAACCACTCCAGATCCCCCCAGATGGCAAGCAGCCCGTCTAGGCAGCTACAGGCCTCCTGCAGCGACGATGGTGATCGAAGAAATTGAGCCCGTTGTTCTGCTACGCTGCTGCACTCGATGAGCACATGCTGCGGTGTTTCCTCTGCCTCCATGCACCCCCTGCACAGTGGGCTGTCTGTAACACCTATGTTGTGTAGGTGCTTGTTTAACATACAGTGTCCGGTTATAACACTCAGGACCTTACGGATGCTGTCTCTGTTTAGTCTGATGAGGCTGCGGGAGAACTTTTTCGATACGTCCGGAACCGCATCTTTTGTTTGCCTGCATCCTTCGCTATTTTTCCATTCTGTGTGGCGTTTTTCTTCTGTTTTGGAGCGCAGCCAGTTCCTGATCTGTGCTTGTGGTATCGGCAGTAGTTGTAGGAATATTAAGAAAAACCGTCTAGACTAGAGTCAACATTCGCGCGGTAGAAGAATCTGTATTGATAATTATGTGCTCATAATTTGCTGCTGTTGCTGCTAGCTGCGTGTTACGTTTTTTCTTCGCACGGCGGGCGTGTATGCGATGGGTGCCCGCAGTAGGCGTCTGCCTGCCTCTTCCACGATATTTCCGCGGTGGTACCGCGCGAGATTTAGCGGAGGCTCTCGTTCGTTCGTTTCAGCCGAAAGACGTCCACTACTGGACAAAGGCCTCCCCCAAGGATTTCCACAAAGACCGGTCATGCGCCGCTCGCATCCAGGCACCTCCCGCGACCTTCACCAGATCGTCGCTAGTGGGAGGCTTGCCCACGCTTCGTCTTCCGACTCGTCGTGGTCGCCACTCAAGAACTTTCCTGCCCCAGCGGCCATCAGCTCTTCGAGCTATGTGCCCCGCCCACTGCCACTTTTTAGCGATTCTGCGGGCTATGTCAGTCACTCTGGTTTTCCTAGGGATCTCCTCATTTCTGATTCGATCACGCAGGGAAACTCCGAGCATAGCATAGCGGAGGCTCTAAATACATAATTTTTTACAGACATAGAATGGGAGCTGGTGGGCCCGGCGCACCAGCGGCGCTACGAGCGCGTGTCGGCGGCGTGGCTGGCGCGCGCGGGCGGCAAGGCGGGCTGCGTGCGCGAGCTGCTGCGCCTGGCCGCGTCCGCCGCCTTCTGCCGCCTGCTGGCCGACTGCAGCGACCTGCAGCTGGCCAGCTACCGCCGCCTCGAGCTGCAGCGCTGGGCGCCCGCCTGCTTCACGGTGCGTACGCTCAAGGGTGCATGTCTACAGGGTGGAATTTTGTAATGCCACCTGGAGGGAAAGTACTGTTAATATTTTAGATAGAAATTTTTTCTCAAAGAAAACGTTCCTTTATTTTTGAAAAGAAATAGAACTGCATTTAAAGATTTCCAAAAATTTGCTTGCCACACCCGGGAATCGAACCGAATAAAATCTGTTAAAAATTACACCCTGTATTTTTATTACATCGATCGTTAGGGTTAAGTATAAGGATGAAATCTCTCTAACAAACTTGATAAATCAAATGAAAGGAAAACCATGAAATCTTAAATTATTGTAATTATGTGCAGAAAATTGTATGGAATGGTAGTAAATTTTCGAAAAATATTTGAAAATCTTTGGATGCAGTTCTCGTTCTTTTCAAAATTAAAGGAATGTTTTCTTTCAGTAAAATTTTCTATCTAGAGTATTAAGAGTACTTTCCCTCCAGGTGGCATTACAAAAATCCGCCCTGTATACTAATATTATAAAACTGAAGAGTTTGTTTGTTTGTTTACTTGAACGCGCTAATCTCAGGAACTACTGGTCCGATTATCGAGGAAGGCTATAGGCTATACAACATCACGCTACGATCAATAGGAGCAGAGCGATAATGAAAAATGTTGCGCAAACGGATTTTCACGCGTACGAAGTTACGGGCACAGCTAGTAACAAATAAAGCACAAAGCCCTCCGCCACCCATGGTTCTTCCTACTTCATGGCATACGAACCGAATCTCGGGAGATCGCGCGGGTATTGCTCAAAGCTCTTTTTCCCGGGCGCTCTGATTACCTTCCTGCAAATTTCTCCTTTCCTTGTTCCTTCTCGATGTCAATTCTCCTCCTTCTGGGGCTCGACACCACAAAACGGTACTTCGCATCGGGCCGCTAACGTTGATAAAAGTACATCACTTCTTCTCAAAACTTCGTCCAAATGTGAACCAGGAGTGCGCAAAGTCGCGCAGTGCAATCCGGTTACTGCGGCCACTCGTGAGATGAAGTCCTGGTGATAAACAGGTCCTCGCTCGGCTCTCCGTATCGCATCCAGAATATCAAGTCCAGCTTCATCATATAAGTTACATTTCCAAAGTGCGCGATCGCGGCTCTCCTCGACTTCCTCGTCGCACGGGCACAGTGTAGATTCGCACAGCGTTAGCTTATTTATTATTAATGGTTTTTTTGGGCCTTCATTTGCGCCACTTCGACCGGGTTGGATCTATTGTCCCGTTGAGTCTATTTTCTAGATTCTTTGGAGCGTAATATCTGCTATCTCATCCGGGTGCATGATGTGTCGCCCGAGATGGATACTTATTTTGCTCATAAGCGGGCCCCGGGGGCGTCAGTTTATGTGCACCACATTTAACGTCACGCGTGTGTTGCAGCTGCTGCCGCCACGGGAGCAGTACCAGTGGGCGCGGCTGGAGGCGCTGCTGTACCTGGGCGCTGGCGGGGGCGGCGGGGGCGCGGGCGGCGGCACGCTGTTCGTGGCGCCGGAGGAGGGCGGCGCGGGCGCGGCGCTGGTGAGCGTGCCGCCGGCCGACAACGCGCTCAGCCTCGTGTACTGCGACGCCGGCGCCGCCTCCTTCACCAAGTACGTGTCGCGCCTCACCACGCCGCCCGACCACCGCTTCTACATCCTCACCTGCACCTACGCCGAGTGAGCGCCGCGGCGCGAGTGATCGTGCTCGGACTTTAATTCGAGTTTGTAATTTGACGTCACATGTTTTCGAGATCGCGATGACGACCAGCCGGGGCGGCGCGACCCCGCGACTTTGACGTGACGCGCCCGCCGGCCGAGTGACGTTGCGGTTTGACATCTTCCGTTTGAGTCTGTGTTCATACATACGTACACCCGCTTCCGTCGCCGCCCCGCCTCGTCGTGTGGCGAAATCTAACAGAAAGTTGAAGTACTGACTCCGATTAAATGTAATGTTGAAAGTGAATTTATGTTTGCGTGAGTTGCACGGCTAGACTGTTAATCCGATGTTTACCCCCGGTCGATTGATTGATCGATTAAATTATTCATTTTTGTGTTGATTACGGACGGCTATTTTTTGTGACGACGGCCGATCACGTTGAATCACAATCTGTAGCTATAATAATATTCGATGTCCTAACTAGTGATGTATGATTGAAATCTTGCAAGTTCTTTTAGCAAATTGTTTCATAAATAATATATTCCTGTCATCTGGTTTGGTACTTTTTCTCTGACTGTATGGTTTAATAAATGTATTTTACTGAATGAAAGTGCATTTGATAATCATAAACGTATCCTTCTTTGAAGATATGATGATATTATTGTTCATGTATTAATCCAATCAAGATAAATAATGTTTCATAATAATAGATTAGGTGTCATTTATGTGCTTAGTGTTATGTTTGATATAAAAATATTGGAGTTTGTAAACAAATCATATATCACATGTTAATGTATTATGTAAAGACATTGTATTTTGTTGAGTTTGCAATATTATTAGCAAAAAAGTACCGAACCAAATACAAATTAATCCAACAAATAAATTACCACTACTCACTAGTGATCGATTGACTCTTTTACACATGAGTATGAAGTGATTTTGTTCTTAATTCAGTGTAGTGTATGATATTATGGTGTGTGGTTTAGCACTGTTGTTTCAAGACGCCAGGCCTCAAAATTCTTAACATATTTTTGCTATGAAATATGCATAATGAGCTTGACACATTTTATAGTAAGAAGTAACTTTGTGTGTATTGTCAAACCAAACTTAGTTTTAGTGAAATTATAAAGATTTTTATAACATCTTGCGGGGCCCATCAACTTATTGATTGTAGAATGAAATGTCATCCAAGCGGTAGCCATATTCTACCGATATATAGGAAATATTAGTATCTCAGGAGTTTGTTATAGTATTAAAAATGGGTTAAAAAATAAGCAAAGGGTAAAAATGGCGCATTGTAGGATTTTAGGTAGTTTTAATTTGAGCAGCCAACATTGTGTTTTTAAGATGTAAAGTTATTGTTTGGAATACCCTTATTTCGTGTGGTGTTATATTCCTAATATTATGACAAGTTTCTCAGATGACGTATGGCGACCCCGCTATGAAAGCCAGGGAATTTTGAGGAACTAAAATATACGACTTAAAAGTACTAGACCAAATGTCGTAGTCCCCATTATGGAATTACATCCTTGTTATAAAGTAGCAGAACTACAAATTATTGTTACTGCTGTGTTTCCCAATAGAGGTCATATCTTTTAGTTCCCGGTAGGGCTGTACCTTGAGATTAACAGCTCAATTTTTATTGTTGTTTGAAAATTGATTGATTTGGTTTCAACGAAAACTGTGTGAATGTAATGTGCGTATAATGAATGCATCAAAGCATTCGTCCAGCGCTACGGTAGTGTTATCATGCATATACTTGTGCTAAGGTTTCAGGTTTAAATATGATAAATAAGTTTTTTTGCGGATAACTTACAACTTTTCAGTCTAAAGCTGAAAAAGAATATAACCCAAGTTAGGGAAATTCTACCAGTGTATAAAATAATGTTTGCTTTATCTGAAGGCCATTGTTAATATTTTTGCACGGGGGTTTCATATTCTGTAATTATTGATACTTTTTCAACAGGTAACTACTTTTGTATAGCATTGATTTAGGGACGCGTGCAAATATTATGCTTAGTTTCATGTTTTGATGACTCCGGATAATGTACATACAATGAAGGACTTTTAAATATGAGTCCTTGCATCTAATCGTACATGTATGGTATAAACTGGTACAAACAATTTGTTAGCTGTATGTTATTGTACCCAATGTCATGCCATGATAACACGACTGTAATTCTAGAATATAACACATAATTTATAGATCGATAGCTATATTTTGTACATAGGTATTGTAATAATAATTAAATTAAATAGTAAGTAAGAATAACCTTTGTTTTTTATTATTATCTGCTCTGTGATTTTATCATACAGCGCCATATTTAATTTTCTAATTACAGCGTGCAGCGACATTCTAATGTCTGGTAATATTTATAAACGGGTAGATGTTTTATTATTTTTCAATGATTATTATCAGAAAACAGAAAAAAATAATATTAAAGTAACTAAATATAGACAATGGCGCTACAACGTCTGCCATAAAAAGAAAACCAAGAGAGGGCGCTACAAGTATCGAATTTTTTAAAATTAAATAGAATAACTTTGCTTTTTTATTATTATTTGCTCTGTGGCTTTGTCATACAGCGCACTCCTTGCAGCGATATTATAATTTCTGGTAATATTTTTAAACGGGTAGTAGGTATTTTGTTATTTTTCAATTATTATTATCAGAAAACAAAAAATCTAAAGTAACTAAATTGACTATGGCGCTACAAGGTAGAAGCTTATGAAGAAAACTACCAAGAGAGGGCGCTACAAGTATCGAATTTTCTCCTGATTTTTTAACACAAGATTTAAGGCTTTGGAAATATCCTCCATAAGCAAACTTTTAGTCTTAGATTAATAAATCCTTTAATAATTATTCTATGCTTTTAGTGTTTTTCTCTTTATTTTAGAACATAACCCATTAAAATATGAGGGTGAGTCTTACGCGCGTTTGTCAGACAGGAGATGCACTTTTCTCTACTTCTATTTTTAATTGTTATTGGTACTGGCACATTAATTTATAATCCCAACTAATATTATAAATGCGAAAGTAACTCTGTCTGTCTGTCTGTCTGTCTGTCTGTCTGTCTGTCTGTCTGTCTGTTACGCTTTCCCGCTTAAACCTCGCAACCGATTTTGATGAAATTTGGCATAGATAGTTTGAGTCCCGGGAAAGAACATAGGATAGTTTTTATCCCGGTTTTTGAAACAGGGACGCGCGCGATAAAGTTTTTCTGTGACAGACAAAATTCCACGCGGGCGAAGCCGCGGGCGGAAAGCTAGTGTCTAATAAAAAACTACATTGTAAGAAAACTGATCTAGAAAATTGTGAATGAAGCCCATCCTCCTTCTTTTCTTGTCAACCGACTTCAAAAAAGGAGGAGGTTCTCAATTCGACCCGTATGTTTTTTTTTTCTTCCACGTAAACCTACTGAAACTGCATTTTGATTGGAAATAGATTAGAAAGAGTATGTGATTGGTTCGTTTGCGCTTACGTGCGTATCCCATGTAATGTAATATTTTGAAATATTGGGTATAAAAAAAACGTTGTGGCTAAACGCTAACCGCGAAAGCCAAAAATAAAAAAAAAAGCAAAATGGCGGGATTTTTAATCTGTGGCGGGAGTACGCTCTAATCTGTGGAGTCAGTATTTTATTAATTTCGAGTAAAGCATTGCCGCGAAATTATTTTGATTATTTATCTTCAAAAGTAGGTGGACAGTAACGTTTTTTCCATTCCATGGATTGTGTTCGTGCTAGTAGTGCTAGTGGTTCATAGCTCCGATCTGGGGAGCCGGCTAACTTCGTTCTCATCATCAAAGGAGGTTGCTGACCGGCCGCGACAGGACTAATAACAGGTTGGTGGATTTCTTCTTTGTCTGTAATCTAAGTTGAAAAATCACTACTAAAATGCGGAAGTAACTCTCTGTCTGTGTCACTTTCACGCCTAAACCACTGAACCGATTTTGATGAAATTTGGCGCAGAGATGGTTTGAGTACCGGGAAAGGACATTAAATAGTTTTTACCCCGGTTTTTGACAAACAAAATTTTACGTGGGAGAAGCCGCGGGCGGAAAGCTAGTTAAAAATATAATTTAAGCTACGAATTCCACTTCAATTTGTGTACGGCATAGTACAGTGCTATGATTAGGTACATTGAAGGTAGGTAAAGTCGCCAAATCGATCATTTATCAGAACAAGTTAACCGCAAAAAATCTGCCCAATTTCCCTGGAGGGAGGGAGTTGCGTCTATTTGTTTTATCCGGATTAGCTGCCGATCGGCCGCTTGATCCGGGATATTGCACCGGTCGGCCCGACCCCGACATATGAACGACTTAATTTCAAGTTCTTTGTGTTTCAAAGGTTATCGAATGTTTGAAATCAGGGGGTAAGCGTTGACTAGACATCAAAATAGGGTCTCATTTAAGTACTAACTGAACTTTTTAGTTAATTTAACACACTGGTACTAGATGGCGATAGGAATCTGAGAATGTATTTTCATTGGTAAAAAAATATTAGTTTTTCCTTTAAATAATAATTAGGTACCTAATTTGTGACGATTTTCATGTAACGAAGTAAGTAGGTACTTTAAAATAAAAATTCTTACCTATAACGTGAAAAATCTGAAACAAAAAGGTTGTTAAGTATGAAGGTCAGTAAATAGCTACCTATTATATTTATGTACCTATGTAACTTCATACTTAACAATTCGCGGAGTGAATACCTACGTACCTACCTCTCGAGTATAATAATACGCACCTACGAATATAATAATGTTTTGTAATAATCGTTTCAACTGTGTGTGCGTGGCCTTGTTCATTCAAACCGTCAATTCCCTTCCCTTCGATAGGCGCAGGTGTGACATCGCCTTCGCCGGTGGGTAAGAAACATACGTCACGATTTTCAGCTCTAATTTAGATAAAAGGTAAACAAAACTCGTCAATTTATTGTTAGACGGTGGTAAAGGTTTTTAAATAGACTTACGATTTGTTATGTTAGACAAGTGAGTAAAGAAAAATTACTGCAATGCTCTACAGCTGCTAAGTACCTATTCAAAACGTAGCAGGTACCCATGAAAAATAGCTTAATCAATGGGAGAACATGTTCGAATAAAAGCAACTCCTAACTTCGCGTTATTATCTCGGAACTTAATGTTTACGTGATTATTTACGTTCCTTTACTAGAAATTCTTCGCAACCACCGAGGTCTGATACTGCTCTATCTGATTTGCCTCATTGCGAGCTTTCTGCGCCCAGGGACGCAATCTGGTCACTTGTAGCTGTGGCAATTTTTCTCAAATAATCACACCATTCAAGCTGGTCACGGAGTGCCGAAGCTTGTTGTTGTGAGTACCTAAACACGACTCGAGAAGTAGCGATATTGATGTATTACTTATTTGAGGAAAAGCTCTGCTAAAGGTTATGTGCACTTACTGCGAGTGCGACGTGATGCACATCCCATCACAAAGTTACTGAACTTCAGTTAAATTCAGTGTTTCTTTCAGTATCTTCACTTACACTTGCAGGAAGACCCAAGCTAACTACTATTTTTAATTTCAAAGTTAATTTTCCCGGTACCTATTTCAAATGAATATGAACTCATGAACATCCTTATTTATTTATTTATTTATTAGGTCTACCAACATTGTTACATAACAACATGTACACTTAAAAATGACAATTATGAACAAAGTTACAATGCAACAACAGTAATTATAGGCTTACACAACATTATTTATTAGTATCGTTATCGCCAGGCTGCGCTGGTGAATTTATGATTGGGGCCATTAGTTTATTTCTCGTTCCGTTACGTTATAGCCTTGGCTTTATTAATCTAAGGTTATAGCAAGAAGATTTCTTTGAATGTAGTCAAAAGTATAGTAAAAGTATCATTAGGTGAAGTTTATCAATCGACGCGGAGACGTGTGCGCGCGAGCGTGAGGTTCTATTAAAGTTTGAGTGGCGCAGCTGAGGCGTGAGACGCGAGCGCGAGCCGTGAGGCGTGAGCGAGCCAGCGGCAAACGTGAACCGGATTCATTCGCATGCGAACTGTTGCGCTTGTTCCGACGCAGGGATGCCAAAATGTATTAGATTTTTTTAACTACCTAATTGAGGTAGTTTATTTTAAAGGACTAGATATTGTTAAAGTGCCTTTGATAAAAAATATTTTCCACAAGACAATATCAGAATTAAAAGTTAAAACCAACCACCCACTATGTAAATTGTGTAATCCATTCAGGATTACACAGTGGGTGGTTGGTTTTTCTTTATTGTCTTTGTGCAACTCTCCGTAACTTTTTTGTGACCTAGATTTGGCACTATACCTAGGAAAATACATTAAAAGGCTCTTTAAATGTCTCCTTATCTTGTGGACTCTAGCAGCGCTTCGATACAATGTCAATATCTATATACTTGTCTGTCAATATTCTGTCTACTTACTTATTAGTTGCCAGCCCTACGGCGGCGAAGCGCGCATTCGGCTCCAGTGAACCTGACCCCTGACTTTTCAAATATCCAATAATATCTGTTTTCTTGGAGAGATCATAAACGGGAGAATTGACGCGGAATGTCTCAGCCAAGTGTTTTCATGTTTTCAACCGATCCAGTTTATCATTTGTCTTCGGCACATTCCCGTTTTGATTAAATGTTTGATTTACTGTATCACTCGTACCTATGTGTATTCAATACTGTAAACTTTTGTAAGTAATTGTGTAAGTAATTTGCCGCCGTGCCGTAAGTAGGTAGTTACTTTATTATAAAAAAACTAAAANGGTAAAAATTATTTAAAATATGTAGGTACATACATACTCGTAGGTGTCTTTAAAAATCTTTCAACTTTATAAACTAGTTTAAGAATAATTCTTAACTATTTCGAGACCTGATATGTGAAATTTAAAATTAAACTTTTGACTGATTTCAGGTAAGGCTTGCTGTGCGATGCTGTCGAAATTCTATTGAGGTAAGTCATTTTTTTGTAACTTTTCAGTAAGTTTATATGAACTACATACATAATTATAATGAAGAGTTATTTTCTGCATATCGGACTTATTCGCCTTGCACCTTGCACTTTACTATACTTTAGGCTTTAGGNTTTCTACAGGATTATTTTTCCATTGAATCATTATGAAAAAAAATGTATCCTTAGGCTAGATCTAAATATATTTAATCACTTTTTACAAGAAATAAGTCCGTGATAACAAAAACTGTAAAATGATATAGCCTCAAAGTCTAAAAAATTCTTAAAATGGCCAAAACCGGGTCACCTGCCCTACTAAATCGTTGAGGTAAGTTTTATCAGAGTATAAATATTAAAACAGCTATTTAAAACTACAAAAAGCATTTTCTTTGCTAGATACAAAGGCGTGAACTGAAATTAATAAGTATTATGTTGGTTACGTTTAAAATCGAGGTGATTGTTGAAATGAAAGTGACACGCATGGACGAGTGTTGGAACTTACGAGTGCTTTTTAACCGTTTAAAGGTATGTACATATGTACTTATTTGATTTTATTTATTTCGCTCAATATTTAGGTATTTTTATTTCCTTGTAGGCGGCTCTACAAATTGGCAACCCTATCAATGAAATTGCCGAGATAAAATTGAAATAAAGACGAATTGCAGCCAAAAACAAAACTTAACGCGTCCCGTAAAGGTGGTCATTTGTTGATCAATTACCCACTTCAGCGTACGCAAAGGGAAAAAGCACGACTGACTTTGGTTATTTGTTTTGCTCGTATTTATTTTATACTTATTATTTATAGAGGATTTTTTTACACATTGATTAGTTGGTAATTCATATATTTTATGAATCACTAATCACTTTTACCGAATTGCAATAAGATTAATATCTGTCTATCTCTTAGTTGTTGTTATAGCAATTATTATGTTTTTCGTAAGTCCCTTGTAAGTTTAACATTGGGTAAAATCGAAAGTATCATGAATATAGATGGATAAATCAATATTCGTTAGGACTCCTTAACACAAAAACTATTGAAAAGTTTTAATGAAACTTTTTAATTATCTAAATCCTCGCAGCGACGTCGCGAGCGGAAACTAGTGTACCACGAACCAAATGTAGGTAAATGTGCCGCGGTCCAGCGTGCGAGGCTGGGCCCGTCCCGCCCGTAATCCGATTTCTATGCCTTATTGGGGTAATTTGCCTAAATGATATTTACATTACAGATCGTGCCCAGGGGACGTCGTTTTGCCTTAAATCGCCTATTTAATGGGCCTTTTCGAATCTTTCATGTTAATGTCGGGCTTTCTAAGTTTTTTTACTTAATTACATGCCAAACATTTGAGATATGGTGACTGGCTTATGTAAACATCTAGTATCCGTTTATTATACACATTTTGATCAATTAACGATTGTTGTGTTTTTTTATTTACTTAAACTTAGTATTTATATTTAAAAAATACCAAATTATATATTTGGTTTTTAATTTTCATTCATTTCAATAATTATCTCAAATGAATTGTAATTCTTGTGAGAAAAACAATCATTCACTATGGTTAACCAAAATTGGAATGAATGATACCTATTGTGTTTTTTCATGCCATAATTTCGAATAAGCTTTAAGTTATTATACGTTACGATAAAAACATAACCTCCTTCTGGCGAAGTCGGGTAAAAAAGGGTCTCCTTGCTAAATCTATGTCGATAATTGAACCAAAACGTAAACAAAAACCGGCTGGACATTTATCTTATGGTAATGCGACGAGGGGCATCTCACTACCACTATTGCTAGCAGCCCAAGTCAACCAGGCTTAAGTGATCTTGACATTAGGATTTAAGTAATAGTCTTGTTTTTTCCATGTAAATACGATATTTTGTCGGCAGGCCGTGAATTTTACGAGAGAAACTTGTTCAAAAGCACGTAACAAAGTTGCGCAATCTGTTAGTCGTAAGAGGCTTTATTAAAAATTTTGATGTCGCGTGATGCGCCACAACTCTGCTCATTAACATGTTGCCACAGTGGAGGGTTTGTAAGTAAGGACCCTTGTTCTGGTATAAGATATTTCGTACTTGATCTTCTGTGGTCAAAAAATATTTGTATGTATGATGTAGTGGAAAGTTATATTTATCTGGCTGGTCTTTAAAAAATATTTTATTTGCTTTCAGTCATCGTTACTTCCAAATTCCATATAATATAACAGCAGGTTATAACAGCAGGGTGTGCGTGTGTTACAGTGACTGGTCGAGCGGAAAGTTTTCCAAGCATGAGAAGTTTTTGGCATTATTTTGTCAATTTAAGACTGTACGAGTTTCCAACTCATTCAAGGAAAGACAGTCACTACTTCATTTACTTCCCATTTTTTCACATTTTAGAAGTCAATCCGCGCATAAAACGGTAAGTGAGCCCTCTGTATCGTTCGGTCCTGGGTTTTCGCCGCAATCGCGATTTGCGCATTATAATGTTAATACAAACCAAACTTACTTTTTCTCCCGAGAGAAAAAATAAAAAAGGAAATCACAAAAATGTTACCATTCCGTCTGATTTGGCTTGTAATTAACGTATTAATGTAAAAACTTCCGAACACCTGCCGCAGTAACACAAAATGAAAATACTCGTACCTACTTATTGGTAGGTTGGTGCTTTGCCAAAAAGCTCATTCTTAGATTCTTGGTGCGTTTGAATGTTTATAGGTTTGATTTAAGCCTCTATGTGGTCGTATAAACGTCTGCTCAAGGATTTACTGGAGGGTATATTATAATTTGGCTAAATTCGTTGTTAAATACGTATCGCTTCATAGTATAATAAGTGATTGGTTGTAGTTAGTCTGTGTATTTAGTTCATAAAAATAAAGACATTTTCATATTGACTTTGTAAAGTTCCTAGTAAAATACGAGTAGGTAAGTATAGAAAACAAAAGAACTATCCGTTTGCTAAAAGCTTGTCACGCGTAGTCTTTGGCAACGCTCTGGCGCAGTGTCGGGNGTGTCGGCTGCTCAAAGCTCGCTGCAATATTACTTTTTTGGGAACGCATATTATTATACTATTTTTCTCACGCTGTGAGTATCTTTTTGTGTGTTAAATATGTAATTAAAGTTTACAGATATGAACAGGAGTTCTTTACAGATAAATATTTCCTGAGATTTAGGTAGGTATAATTTACCCACACTGTCCCTTCTGATTTTCTCACACGTTACCTGGTACTTATTGAAAGGGTTAATTTAGTATTCCTGTTCGAGGATCTTTTTTATTTGGAACATATTACGTGAATAATCGTGTGTAATCGTGGTCGGCACAGATGCCGCCGCGCCGCTGTCAGTCCCCTGTCAGAAACTAACCAGAACGCCTCTTTATTTGTTCGGGTTCTGTCGCTTTTATTTGTACCTTTTTCTGCTTAAATGAATGTTCAAATATTCGTAAAAGTAGGAAAATAAACATTTTCAAAATTGTAATTGTTATTTAAGAATAAATAGGCCGTTTTTAAAAAAGTCATATATGGCTGGGAATTAGAATTGACTCAGCTAAAAAAATATTGTTCAGTCATTGTGTATTAAAATATTTAAGTCTCGAAACAAAATAACAGTGATTCATATAAAAATAGCTCTGCTATTTTTGCAGTTGACACATTTTCATCCTTTGTGCACCATACATGCGGTTTTTAAATTTATTATCGGTAAAAAATCAGCTTTTGAAATGCTAAAAACAAACGTTTAGATTTAATCTGAAAGCAAACAGCAGTAAACGCGAAGTGTTAAAAGCGAGTTAGGCTCGTGTGGACGCCGCGGTGGCCACAGTAGCAGCGGGTTAAGTGTAAAAACTCATAAAACTAAAAACTCATTTATTTCTGTAAGTAGGCTTTAAAAAAGTTTACACGTCCCAGTTTTAACCCTACCACTGCTTCAGGACAATAAATGGGCCAGTGATGAGAAGAAGCAGCACAAGAAACTCAGACACTATTGTCAGCTTCAAAGGTTTACAGGTTTTCAAAATACATATCTATTATATACAAGAAAGTCGTGTTAGTTACTCCACTTATAACTCAAGAACGGCTGAACCGATTTAGCTGAAAATTGTCAGGGAGGTAGTTTAGAGCCAGGAGAAGGACATAGGATACTTTTTATCCCGTTATTTATTGCCATTAAGGCGGAACAAAGTTCGCCGGGTCAGCTAGTTATAAATATTTATGCGAGCTAGGCAGTTACGCATCTCAAACATTTTTATCTTTTAAATAATCATCATCGTATAGGGTAGATCTGTTGAATTTCTGTTCGTGATAAAATAATGAACAATTTTATAATTTAATTCAATTATTTAAAGTTTGCGACTTCAAACGCATATTGATGTTAACCGTTCTTAGATTTTCCGATGCGTTGCCTTGCCTATTTCTGATTTGTTCAGCAAGAAAGTGATGGAATATTGTAAAAAGTAAAGATATTAACTATGCAGATCATAAACTTTACTTAATCAACTCATAAAAATCTTGTTGTTTATACCGCGCTAACCATGAAGCTATTATTAAGTGGAATCAAATGAATTATGGATGGATTCAATAATACTAAGATGGTTAATATTCCGCTGCAGTGATAGCCGCGCCCCGAGAGGGCCGGAGGTAGCCGGTGGAACCGACGCCTCCCCGGGGAGCGCGCCACTCGCGATCGCAATCAGCTAACCGCTCCTTTTACACTAATGCAAACACCACTTCTGGAGCTTGACCTTTCCAAACAGCCTGTTTACAGCGGCCCACTGCCACGAGTAGGACTTGATCTGACGACACTGTCAATATTATTCATTAGTTGTGAACCTGATACTCCAGTGGTGAAGGTGATCCTTAACGATACTAGCCATGGTCATACACTTATGTCCTTATATTTTTTATTTCGTAAGAATTCGTTAAAAATATAAGAATTTTACTGATAAGCTTATACCGAATTCTATAATTACAATGAAATTTCAGCCAGTTATGTAAATTCGATATCGTTTTTCTTCTAACAATGAGTAGAGTGCTGTTTAAAAACTTTCATGTAAGTATGCAGTTTTATCAATGCATTTCTATAATAGTTTGAAATTGAAATGTAAATCGCACTTTTATGTTTCCTTTAAAATGAATACCTGCGTCTGAGCGCTCAGAGCCAAATCCCGCCCGCGGCGAGTATGATGTTCGGATCGAAATGTATGTCTGTCTGTGTTTATTGAGCGAGTTAATGTACACATTAAAAAAATTAAAGACCTTTGCCAAATAAATTACGTTTATTATTTTTATTGCTATTGGTTTAAATGTTATTGTTTAAACTCTTTTCGCAATTGATTAGAATTTCTTCTAAAGTGGCCATAGCTTCACTTTTACAGGGTCAGGGATTTTCGGGCTCAGAGACTCATTATATTATCAAACACACTGGTGCTATCTTCATTACACTTGTAGCTAGTCAGAATATTTTTTTTATTTTATTCCTTAAGGAAATAAACAGCAACATTGCCATAATATTTTGCCGTAGTTTGGCGTAGCATGTCGTAGTAGGCACGGGACTACGAGAGTGGAGTCGTAGCATGTCGTAGTAGGCACGGGACTACGAGAGCGGTGTCGTAGCACGGAACACTACTACGAGCTACAGTGTTGTTTTCTGGCTACGCGCTACACCGCTACGGGCCGTCTACGATTTCGGACTCGTAGGTCTCAGCAATTGATTGCTTTTTTTAATTAAAAAAAAATTGAAGTTGGTTATACATATAAAATGTGAGTGATGTTATGGTGTGAGATTTATTATCTTGATGATTGAGTATCTGTCGAAACAATAAAAATATTATTTGATTGAAATATTCGACGTTATTTTACAAAACAATTTAACTTATTAACATGTGTTATTACCTAATTATTGAAAAGGCTGCAATATTTTAGCAGTAGATAAAACAGCGATAAATATTTTTATTAATACATTGAATATGCGTGTTATAAGTTCGTGTATACGTAATAGAACAAACTTGCATCTGAAACAACGATAATTCAGGCTCTTGTTGGACATTTTCAATTTAACTTCTCATTGTGTCTCCATTGTGTGTGGGACATCTATTATATTATGAACTTGTGGTTATGATGACTCGTGAAATGGTGAAACTTTATACACAAATACTAGGTATATACTTATTACACGTTCAGGCAACGGTGTAATTTGATTAGGCCCAAGCATTCATAATAGTGAAAATTGTATGAAATCAATACATTATTTTCTTACGTTCAGACAAACAACCTTGATGTCAGAACGTCAGAGCCGTCATATGCCAATGGCATACCTAATTATCGATTACAGTTCGTTGGTTACGTACCTTCCGAAATACACAATCATTTCCATGACCTAATAGTTTATGCTGGGGACCATTACTTGTTGAGTTTAACTCTATAACCACTATACCATACAGACTTTTTAATTTATTAATGAATTGTGCTCATTAATTATTAAATCCATAATGGCCTCCAGCTTTGATTAAGATATAATTTGTGTTGAAATGTCAAATAAATGTTCAAATTAATGGATAAGTTTGAACACAGCGAATACGGAGCAACTTGTAACAATCGTGGCGTTAATAAAGTTATCGGGACGAAAGCGAAACGCCGAGTTTAAATATTAATATTTAATCCTATTAATGATCGGTAAGTCTAAAGATCAACGCGGCTTTGGGGAGCTCAAACCGCCTTTGTTTTATTTACTCCGAAACTTTGTTCGTGGCCGCCGCGCGCCGACTGGATTAATCGCTTCAAATTGCATAAAACCGATCGACTTCAATTGAGAAATACTTTATTATGTCTATAAAACAGTGAATATTACTTAAGTTTAGAGGAATCGGACCCTTGAGTAAATTAGTGTTGGGCATGCGGAATAGTCAGAATGTTTTATAGTAAAATACCACAAAATCAATAATGTAGGTAAGGCTTCGCCCGCATGACGTGAAAAACGCGATCAAAGACTTTTTATTTATTACCAAAAGCATAATAATGAGTTTTCATATTGTTAACTTGTTAACTTGCGAAAAAGATCAAAGTTACCTTATAAATAGGGATTGAAATCGAAGTTGCAAATCATAAAGCTGTAGATTGAATTTATGTATGCCGCGCTATACAATTGATTTATTTTATGAACGGTTTACTTGGGACTAAATTATCGTCCGACATCCACAATTTGTTTTATTGTTATTCTTTAAAACCCAATTTTTAACAGTTACCTGTTCCGAGGTGGCCCCAGTGGCCCGGCATTCCTCCCCCAGCCCTTGCCGTCTCCGTCCTCGCACATACTACGAATACTTCTGCTACCCGAAAAAGGTACCAACCTCCGCTTGCGCTCTTTATTAATTGTAATTCCTTGAACGCGCTAAGCGTAAATAATCATTTTATAAACATGCTTTTAAAATAACTGACCTCAATTTGGAGCAAGATTCTTTAGGTTTTTACTTTATTTTATAGAGTAGAAATCCTTTAAACATTAATTAAATTAAGAATGTTTAAAGAAAGATTTGCTTTATAATCCAGTTAATATAATCATGAAACACTTAACTAGCAACAAATCGTTTCATATGACATGCCAATAAGTAGTAAAGTGAAGAAATAGTACCTACCTACAGCATTTGAGATTTTGGGTCTGTATTTTTTATTTTTTCTTTCTAAAGTTTATTTGTAGATTCGCCTATGCGAGAGACTGCAGTTACAGGTTATAATTTGGCCTAAGAATCAAATAGGTTGACTATTAATATCAGCTCAGGCACTGCGCTTACGTCGCAGGAGTAATTGGCATGCATTAGGCCGTGACCGGTCTAAGTGCCCTTTAGATCGCATAACCGAATTACCAGACGTAGATACCGGAGGATATCCATACCGTCTATTGTTGGGATCTGAGATGATCCAAGTGTGCATGGCATGGTACACAAGGTACTACATGCATTTACAAAATGCAGGACGAATGAGTGAATGGAAGGTCTTGTGGCGCTTGCATTTTGTGTTGTAACGAATTATTGTCGAAGTATTGATTACGTAGTCTATTTGCAATACATATAAGTACTTACCCGGTTGCAATTTAAAGCATGCTTAGTCTGTTTTCTTGTCTCGTTGTATCTTAATTTCATTCAAGCCGACAAAGAAGTTATTTGTGCCTTTACCCCTTCGTGGCAACGTACGTTAATTAACTACTAAACTTTTACTTATTTTTTATTTATTTATTTAGTGCACAAAACAGAGACACAACCATAACATAACAAACCTTTTTTCGTCAGCTTTCTGTGATGTCATGGACTAAGTGGTGTGCAATAAAGAGTCTATCTACTCAAACTGAACTTCAAGGTCCATCCACACAGANACTTTTTTGATAAGTTGTATAGTTTTCGCGGCATCTGCTCTAGAAGGTCTGTAATATTGGAAATTTCATTTTTGTCTTACATGTTCCCATCAGGAGAAAATCGACTAAATCAACATTGAGCAATCATTCTAGACATGCGGGAGCATCTTAAGCCTAGTTCTAGGGAGGAGACTGCACCGTGCGTATATTTAGACGAACCACTTTGAGCCACTATTGACTCCTCATCACTCAAAAACTACTGTGCATTAACACTTCAAATTTGGCTCATGTGTTGAGACTTGCAAGATAAACATCAGCTTCAAATTTCATAAACATACCTCAAACGGTTCTTTAGGTATTGACGTCCAAAAATCTACATGTCTGACCTATATACCAAATTCTAACCACTTCCAGATGACCTCGAAGGTTCAAATTTGGCATCCAGAAAGGTAGTTATGTAAATACAAAGGAACAAATAAAAAACCAGTAAATTTTAACATTTCACAGGTGATAGATAGATTTTAGTGTTCTAGATGTCGATTTTTGAACGTCAATACCTAAATAACCGTTTGAGGTATATTTATGAAATTTTAAGCTGATGTTTATCTTGCAAGTCTCAATACATGAGCCAAATTTGAAGAGTTAATGCACAGCAGTTTTTGAATGATGAGGAGTCAAAAGTGGTTCCAATTGGTTCGTCTAAATATACGCACGGTGCAGTCCCCTCCCTGGAACTAGGCTTAACATCCTCCTGCATGTCTATAGTGTTTGCTCAATGTTGATTTAGTCAATTTTCTCCTGATAGGAACATGTAAGACAAAAATTAAATTTCCAATTTTACAGACCTTCTAGAGCAGATGCCGCAAAAACTATACAAGATATAGAAAAACTTGACGGTCTCGCCTGTAGCAAATTGAATAAGCTTTTTTTGGTTCATAGTAGTCATGTTACTAGGACGCATAGTTTCCGAGGATTAAGCGAAAAACCGAAAAGTGGTACCTTTAAACCCCCCTGTCCCTGCCGGCTCAAGGGCTAAGGGCGGGGACTTTTGCTATGTTCACCACCTAACTAGGCTAAATAAAGTCCCGAGGTCAGAAATTGTGTTCCACGGATTTCTCTCTACACCGTCGTTAAGGCATTCATTGACTGGACTAGATATAATTAAAGAAAGATTTGCTTTATAGATAATCCAATTAATCTCATCATGAAACACTTAACTAGCAACAAAACGTTTCATATGACATGCCAAAAATAAGGGAAGAAATAGTACCTACCTGATGTACTTACAGTAGAATCTCGATTATCCGGACTTCGATTATCCGGATATCCGATTATCCGGACTCATTCTTCAGAGCTTCTAATAACCGATTTAGGGTCTGGTCCCATAAAAACGGAAGGCGCCGCCACCGTAACACGGTATGGAGTTCGTCCTAGTTCATTGTTAAAAGAAATGTACCT